CTATTAGGCCCCATCTGTGAGCTCTTTGCCCATTTGACTTGATCCAATAAGGTATATCGATAATAACTACTTAGATCTTCGGCCCATCACAGTTTATCTGACATCGAAATATTTTATATCACATTTCATATACTTAATATTAGTACAAAATCTGTAATTCAACTATACAACAAAAGAAATCACCAAATCTTTTCCTCGTATGAGCAGATTGAGCAACACATGCCCTGATGAACATCAATTAAACATTCATGGAACAATAAAAAAACCAATTAATTAAAAAAATAATACACAAGTAGACATGAACATCGAACAAGTCTTCATAAATCATTGCATTTTCAACCTAATCTACCTTGACATAAAAGTGAAACAAAAGTAAAGTGATCTATCAAACTCGGGCCAAAGTTCGCTAGGTAATTATAATGTACTCACAGTTTGTGTTTTTGTTACAAAGTCAATTTCGTTCTATTTCGAATAACATTGAAAACGACCTTAGAACAGTTTGTTTAAAGACTAAACTTGAATATCTTATTGGTTAAGTGGTTTTAAATGTGTCTACCGAATGAGGGGTCTCGATTTCAGTTCAGTGAATGAAAACTGAAGAATCAATCAGAATTTGACAATGAACTCGCCTAAAAACTGTTACCTCGCCTTGCTGTCTACCATTTTTCCCTTCTTTTGAAAAACAAAAGCCTTCAAGAAAAGAGCGTACTTATTCCTTTTTGAAAGGACGGCATCGCACCTGTGACCTCTCTGGTGTTGTGTTCTTGGGCGGCGCTGATCGCTTATCATCATGTGATCCGTCTGCTCGTTAACCCCTTATTCCATAAAAAACCTCTGATCCTGTAATGCCATAAATTATTTTTGGAACTACATATGTAGGTATGGTATAATATGAGTTGGGCTTTCTCTGAGATTTAGCAATGAGTTTTTGGCAAGGGTTCTACATACATACACACATAACTTCACGCCTGTCTCCCATGACATGGAGGCAAAGGTTCTTAAACTATCTATTTATCTATTTCTCTCTTTCAATGAAACTGGATGGAGCTCTCACTCTTTTTTCACCAATTGAAAGCTACCGTCGCCTTACTTCGATACGGTTCTATCTACAACCGCTCATTGTGCCCTAAAGAACCTTGTAATAGTATTGAACCGTGTGAATACACGTCAACAGTACCGTTTTTGCCTTAAGATTACTCTACAGTACAAAAACAATGTGAACTGTCTCTTGTATTGAAGTTTGCGACACAATTGTTGAAAAAAGTACTTTGAAGTGAGCTGAGAATAGTTCTAACTAGTGATTAAGATTTGTTATAATGATAACGAGATTGTAAATGGGTAATCAGAAGCAGTAATTACAGTATTGCAGCCACGTAGATCGAAGTTATTGAGGGTAAAAGAACTATTAAAGAAGTGAAGTTATAGATGCTTCTAAACGGGAACTATTTTTGGACAATATGTGGTCATAGTATTATATCTTACATAACATAACATCACCCCTTATATCCCCGAAGGGATAGGCAGAGGTGCACATTACGGCACTTAATGACACTGTACAATGTAACACCCATTTTTCACTATTTATGTTAAGAGTCCCATGTAATAGGGGGTGAGCCTATTGCCATATAGGAACCGAACACAATTCCAGACTCCGTGCTACTACTAAGTTTTTTGAAAAACCCAGTAATACTTTGCCTGACCCGGGAATCAAACTCGAGACCCTTTGCCTGGCAGTCACATTTGCGACCACTCGGCCAACGAGGTAGTCATATCTTATCTTATTAATATTATAAATACGAAAGGGTGTGTGTTTATGCGTATATTTGTGACTGAGCCTCGTCAAAACGACTGAAGGTATTTTTTAAGGGGGGAATATCATCTTATGTTTTCTCTCACACGGGTGAGGCGAGAGGAAGTGTAAGACTCTTACTGACTAAAAACCACCCCGTTCCTACTCCTGCACTTCGAGCCGGAGCCCCGGCAACCCGTTAAGTATTCCGCGGCTCCGTATCGGCATCAGCCCTGTTGGGCCCCATCTGGGATGGTCTGATGGCTCTTTGAGGCGCGCGCGGAACGTGACGCGCCGTACGCTCGGGTCAGTCGGTGTCTAGGTTAATTATCCTAATCGGTTGAACTAATTTGAATGAATTTTTGTTAAATTACATTCAAGTGGATATGCAGGACAACGTCTGTCGGGTCCGCTATTTTAATATATTTTTTGCATAAGATAAAAGGATAAACCAAATCAATTAACAACATCCACACACAAAAAACCATGAACATAGAAAGAAACACAACTCATTTGTTTTATACCCTCACAGAATTCATTCCTTGCAGTATTTTTCTGTTTTGTTCATTAGAGGCTGTACATCCGACACGGCCATCTCTGGTTACAGATAGACTATTTCTCCCCAAGAATTTATACCAACGGGTTCGCCTCGGAAACACTTAACTAAATTGAGTTTGTAGGTAACGGGAAATAAAACATAATACTGCAGCTATCAGAAAACAATACGAATGATTTTTGAACAATGTATTGTTATTATATGAACTATGAACTGACTGGTTGTTCGATGCGGTCAATATAAATCGAGGTTGGAATATGCAATGTCAACAACACTTAGTTGTATGAAATTGTAATACATTTTTTTTATAGATAGCTGTCGCTAACAATTTCATCTCTAACGCATTACAATTTCTGTTTTACTTGCCACTTTGTGCTTAATAGGTACACTGCAAAAAGGTGCTTATCAAATAGAATATCTCACAGACTGAACAAAGCCAGAGTAATTTTAAACGATGATGTAGTTCCTAATCCCTCTACAGTTCAATAGGCTGGGAACAAAACATAAGAAAAGTATAAATACTTAATGAATAAATTACAAATGCATATACCCTCGGTTGCTGTGGGCTTGGAAATGAATGCTAGTAAAACCAAAATAATGACAAACAGCGTGAAAAAGCCTATCATCATAAGAGAAAATACAATAGAATATGTCGACAACTACATTTATTTGGGTAAACAAGTATCGTTTAATAAAACAAACAACGAAGACGAAGTTGGAAGGAGAGCCAATATAACATGGAAGAAGTTTTGGGCTCTCAAAGAAATCTTAAAAGGAGACTACACAATATGCATGAAGAAAACAGTTATAGATACTTGTATACTGCCCTGCCTGCTGTATGGCTGCCAAACTTGGGTATTTACGGCAAAAGCTAAACAAAAGATCCTAACTACACAAAGGGCTATGGAGAGAAGTATGTTAAACATAAGAAAAATATACAAAGTCAGAAGCGAGGAAATAAGACAAAGAACAAAAGTAACCGATGCCCTGAACCAAGCTCTAAAACTGAAATGGCAATGGGCTGGACATGTAGCACGGTATAAGGACGACAGATGGACAATCAAAACCACAAAGTGGAGAGGGCCTACAGGTAAAAGAAAAGTAGGCAAACCAAAAAGACGATGGGCTGATGACCTAAGGGAAATTGCAGGAGACGACTGGCAAACCATGGCCAAAGACAGAGAAAATTGGAAACAACTGGAGGAGGCCTTCACCCGAGGAGGGACCCACACCCAAGTGTAATACTTATTTGTAAAAAAAAAAAAAAAAAGTTATGTAATTATTTATGGTACTGGGAAATAAAGGCTTTTTTATTTTTTATTTTATTTATACCCTCGGTTTCCCTGGTCTTCCATCATTAAATCCTGATTTCCTTATCATGGGACCATTCTGGGGCTGTCTCCTTTCCAAAAAAAAAAGAATTATCAAAATCGGTTCATAAATAACGGAGATATCGGCGAACAAACATAAAAAATGCATGCAATGTCGAATTGAGAACCTCCTCCTTTTTTTGAAGTCGGTTAAAAATACAAACCATACCACACGCCCTCGCAATCCTATCGACGATTCGATTTGAAGCTTAACGTTTTACATTTTTATATTTAAACTAGCGGACCCGACAGACGTTGTCCTGCATATAATATAATGATAGGCATAGATAAATAACCTAAATACCAACTGCAGCGCCATCTGTCGGGCTAATTTGTGAATCTAAACCATCCAAGGTTCCACTCAAACACATACAAAAAAAATCATTTAAATCGGTCCAGTCGTTTGAGAGAAGTTCAGTGACATACACACACATACAGAAGAATTATATATATAAAGATAATGATACATATATTTCCCATAAACAAGGCATGTTAATTATCTTAAAGCTACTAAGTTGATGCTGTAAGGATTCAAAGGCAATTAAGATGCTCGCTTGCAGCGATTCAGTGAAAGCTCGTTCAATTAATCTCCGTCACTGTCATTCTCTTTTTATATTGCCTTCATTAGTTCTTCCTTGTCTGAATTAGGTTTCAATTTAATTATCGCTTTATTTTCTTTTTATTACTTTTACTCTCATCCAGCTTAATTTTCCGTGAAAGAGATTTACAGAAGTCTGTAGTAGTTATGTCTTTTGCTAGTTGAAATAATTTGCTAATATATTGTAGGTAGGACTGCCTCGTTGGCCGTGTGGTTGTAAGTGCGACTGCCGGGCAAGGGGTCTCGGGTTCGATTCCCGGGGCGGGCAAAGTATTACTGGGTTTTTAAATATTCTCAGTAGTGGCACGGAGTCTGAATTTGTGCCTGATATATAGCAATAGGCTCACCCTCTATTACATGGGACTCATAACATAAATAGTGAAAAGTGGGTGTTTTATTGTACAGTGGTATAATGTGCACCTCTGCCTACCCCTTCGGGGATAAAAGGCGTGATGTTATGTTATGTTATATTGTAGGTGTTGACGTGACTTTTTCTACGTATTAGATTAAATTGTATTGTTGTATTATTGTAGAGCCGATGTAAGAAACTGAAACCAAAGAATAGAAAAAGTGATGCGTGTAAAATCGCGTAAAGCTAAGTGAAAGCGTCAAAGAAGCGACTCCGTAGTCCTAGGTAGTGGTTATTGCTTCCATGTGTAACTAAATCACCTTTTGTTATATTTCCAGTGTGCCTCACCACATGGGCTGAAGCCCAGAATGGTAGAGGGCAGCACCAAGATCACAACGGACACGGGTGGGACATCCGGCTAGCGGTTCCTGGAGAACCGGGCAGTGACTATCCCACCCTCGGCGCTATACCAAGAACATCCTTCTCATGCGCCGGTAGAGAACCAGGTAATGAGCTAATTAAATACTTATTTCAAAGTAAATACATAACGTCACGCCTTTTATCCCTGAAAGGGTAGGCAGAGGTGCACTTTACGGCACTTAATGCTACTGTAATGTAACACCCACTTTTCACTATTTATGTAATGAGTCCCATGTAATAGGGGGTGAGCTATTGCCATATACCGGGCACAGTTCCAGACTCCGTGCTACCACTGAGAAAAACCTAGTAATACTTTGCTCGACCCAGGAAACGAACCCGAGACCCTTGCCCGGCAGTCGCACTTGCGACCACTCGGCCAATGAGGCAGTCCGTTTTCGCAGTTATTTCAAAGTCAATAAGTCAATTTCAACTTGCATCTTTTAACTTAGATTTTGTTTGTGATTTTTATTGTATTTTCTGGTATTTATATTGTTATGAACATCGAACGGGTCATGTAAATTGATCAAGTATTTTTTTTGTAATTTCAGGTTATTACGCTGACCTGGAAACGAACTGTCAAGTATTTAGAGTATGCACGGTTGGATCAACATACGGCTTCCAATCCTTCCTCTGTCCAAATGGAACATTATTCAACCAGGCAGTCTTCGTGTGTGACTGGTGGATGAACGTCGACTGTCAGAACTCTCAACAGTTCTTCAACAATAACAATGATAAGTTCGAAAACCTTCGGCTAGGACCACAACTCATGAAAGACATAAAGAAGATGCTCACACATCCAATGTTGAACCCTTATGACAAGAATGCGATGAAAAGCAATCTCATCGTAATGCAGGACTACAAGCCACCCTTTGGTCAACTGTTCCCAAATGGAGCGTTACTAGCTGGACCTGAGAGGGCTCCAAATAACGTCTATGTTCCTGCAAAACAAATACAACAAAATCTAATTCAGGGCAACCAAAATGATTACGCATTTTCTGCATCAACACCTGATCCAAGATACATCCCTGCTCCTCTAAACTTTGTGCCATTACAAAGAGATACAGAACTATTCCAAAGGCAAAGACAAAATGAACCTTTTAATTCAGTTAATAGTATCCAAAACGCTAGAGTGCAAACGACACAAATATCGCAGACTGGAAACCTAATTTCTAACGGCCATGCGGGTAGATTAACACAAAATTCTAATGGAAACTTTGTCAATAATAATGGATACGCACAAGCACCACGACCAACACAATTAACTAACACTTTCTCACAGAGACAAACATCACAAGTAGTAAACAACAACCAGGGCAATACACTACCAAACCAAAGAGTTCAGAACAACAGACCACGTACACAGTATTCTGAACCCAGAAGACTCCCTCAAACGAATAATGATGTACCATTTTCGAAAATCCAAAACAATGGAAACAATAACCAAAATAAACAACCATATACATACAGCCCGCCGACTACAAATATTCCAAAATATTCAAATAACTTAGATAACCCAGCTGGTAGGGAACTAAAAGAAAATCTGGTAAGTACCATCAAAGATGTTCCATCAACTGTTATTACAAAAACTTTAACGTACAGTAGACTTGTGCAAGAACCGAAGCCAGGTAAACCAAAATCTAGAATAACAGTCAAAACTTGGATTGTTAAACCGACCAAAGCTGCTAAACTTATAGCAGAACCGACCCCCTATACGTATTCAAGGCCTTCAGCGCCTACCCCTTCTTCTCCATCCCCTACAGCTAGGCTCATAGAGGAAAATACTCCATATGTTTATGAAAAGCCAACTGTTTCACCTCAAACTGAGAGAATCGTCTCACAAGAACTGGATTCTGAATTAGAATCTGAAGAACCGTATGTGTATTCTAGGCCGACGCCTGCTGCTAAACAGATTGAAACCACAGAGATACAAACAACACGAATTTTCATTGCTCCCTCAACAACTTTGCCAACTCGTCCCACGTTTTCTGGACGATTAAACTTGCCACAAACTTCTCCTCTTCCAACGAAGGCTTCTCGTTTGTATCTGACTCCGTCACCATTTATGTCAACTGCTCGATTCTATCTACCACCACCACGAAACCCGACCACACTTCCTCGATTATATTTACCGGCAAATAATATTCAGCAACCCTATTATTATCAAAGTTCTCAATTGCGAGCCTCGCCGACCATACCCACATCCACCATTGTAGCTTTTACTGAAAATGTAAACCAAACTCCATTTTCTGTATCCAGACAATCTCGAATCAATTCGAACAATCAAAATTTGACCTTTACTGATATACTAACTAAAGAAAAGCTTGACATAACTGTTAATGATATAGTAAAAGATACAGATGATATTTTGAAAACTGCATCTCCTCCCCAATACACACAATATCGAAAAGAATTCAAATCTCTCGAATACCCAGAAAACTATTCATCGTCCAGAACAACCACTGACAGCGGTGAAAATTTGACGTCCCAAGTTCCAACACAAACCACAACGGTCACTTCACAAAGTTCTCGAATCGTAGCAACACCAGCGACCAGTCTGCAACCTCCAAACGAAAACTTTATATTCCAAAACAATAATCGACTCTCGAACTTACCCTTCTTCAAAGAAACAGGCATACCAAACACAATAGAGCGCACGGTATCAATAAAAATAACCATCCCTGAGAGAATAGCTGCATTCCTTTTCAAAAACCGCAGTGATTCTGATTATGACAAGTTAGAAATACTGAATACTGGAAGCAGCAACTACTTAGTTATGAGTAACAACTTATTAACGAAAAGTAATGCGTTCAACTTCATTCCCATAGCAAAATTAATTGGAAACCAACATTCAAACAACTTTTCTGATTCACAGGCACTCGTGTATTCATTTTTGACTGACTCTATCAACGTAGCGAGAGAATACAACAACAGAGCACAACAAGAGATAATATCATCTACATCGACACCCGCACCACCACAATTCCAGAACTTGAACAGTGAGAAACTATCACAAATTACAAATCAAATATCACAGCTTACCTCCTCACAATACTCTAATAACAACCTCAACAGCTTTGGAACTAACGCAAATATTATTCCAACACCAAAAACGAATACTAACCAACTTTCCAACCAATTTACAGCTAATGCAAAATACACCGACGAAAGTAGTCAAGCTCAACAAGTACGCACTAATCAATTCACACCCTCACAACAATCTCAAGGTGAATTTTACTCATCACGCATACAAGTTCCTAACACTCAGTCAAATATTCTTAGCACCCAAAACTTATACAGTGGTCAATTATATCAATGGTCTGTTCCAGATGTCACACAAATCTTCAACAATCCGAGCGCAGCAAACATCGTAAATCCTAGCAACATACAACAGCAGACTACACAAATGCTCACTTTACAACAAAACACAAATCAAAACAGTCCGAAGCAATCAAGCCCTCAATACGAAGTTGTTAAAGCTGAAACTATAGCTTTAAATCCAGCCAAACTGCAACTAGAACCGCCTAATGAACCTGAACAATTTAACAGTCAAGAGACTCTCAATAGAATATTGAACAGTGGAAATGGTATTTCAGCACAACTACAAGATAAAATTGTCAGCACAATCCCACACCCATTAGAAGAAAATAAATTGCTCACATATAAAAAAGATCAGTCATACTACCTTTACACTAAATTAGAAGATAACACTATTGAACAAAATTCCCAAACAAACCAGCAAAGCAATTCACAAATCAATACTGCACAGAATGCTAAATTTGTTGAGGGTACAAACAATAACATGGCTAATTTAGTTTCTTTTCAACTTATACCGTCAGTTAGTTATGAATTGGAGGATGAGAAAGAACAGCAGAAATTCCTTAATGCCTTCCAAATTGATGAGTTTGGAGCTCCAAGAGACATTACGAAGAGTGAAAAGGTAAATCAAGGACAGATAATGACTTCTAGCGTTGATTACTCCGTAGAACATCCTACGACAGTTAAACAAAATGAACAATACGTAATAAACCCTCTTTACTCTGGTCCCTCCTCATACACTGCCCCTCAATCTTCGGTTGGCAGTTTAGAATCTAGACAGATCCAACAAAATAACTTTAATTCCAGATTAGAAGATTTTGAGAGTAGTAATCATAATGGATACCCTAAAGAACGACCGGCACGCCATTTTTTTTCTTGAACTGTTAACTAAATGAACATTTAGAAGTAGGTACTTTGTCCTCGCACATAAGAATGTGTGTACCTATGTATGTGTCTATATAACTACGTAGTTAATGTTACCTAATGTAAATACAATTAGATTTAAGTAATAAAATGTTCTATAAACTTAAGTAAATGAAATAAACATTTCTAGACTTGACTGCAACCAAAAACGAGGGAATCAAATATTAATTTTAGGTTAATTAGAATTAGTTTTAAAAGGAATACTCGTTAACTAAAGTTAGAATAGATAAGTTTGGTTGGAAGTATGGTTGTAATACAAATGATGCGTGTTATAATAAAGGAATATTATTATAATTGGGACTTTCATTTAAATCTATATAAGTATGTATGTTATTTACTGATACGTTAGCAGGCAAAGGTGTAGTTATGTACAGTAACCAGCAGCAACCTACTTCAATATATCAAAATTGGTTAGATTTTCGACTTTATGTCAATACAATACAGTTAAAGATGTAGGAGAGAAATTGGATAGGAAAGGTTAATTTGACCTGTGGCCAGGTACACAAACATGAATTATAGCGAGTTAGTTATCGAACCTATTTTTCGTCTCAACTCTATTTTGAAAATCAACTTAATAATATTCTTACCTGAATACCAAATTATTACTTAGTTGATTTTATCTTTAAGGATGGTAAGGCAAATTGGTTTCAATTGGAAGACGGATGAATATGAAATTAAAGAATTTTGCTACTGAAGTCTCGGGTCAAAGACTACCTTGTTAGAGTTACATGATTACGACCTCATTCATAACTTAACAGCAGGTACAACAATTTTTTTATATACCAAATAGCAATTCTTTCATACACCGTGATTTCATATCTTGTAAACCAATCATCTTTCATAGTTTCATAGATATACCGGTGCGCTGTATAAAGGGATGTCGACCCGGGAGGTCGCTAAAGGCGCCAGCGTGCCGCGATCTCAGGGCGCCACGCGTTAGGAAATCAAACGCTGAATATTAACATGACGTCACTACACAACATATTCAATTACTTTGAATATAGAAAATAGAAATAGTACATAGTAAGTACATAGTTCGGATATTTAATGCTACAGTCGTTTAACAGAACTAGAATGCGTATTCTTTTCTGTATGGTATTTATAATCGATTATAGGGGTCTCAGGTTCGATTCGTGGGTTGGGCAAAGTATTATTGAGTTATTTATTTATTTATTGAATATTTCTCAGTAGACAAATTAGGAGACTGGTATTGTGGCAGATGTAATAATAGGCTCATCACCAATCATAATATTGTAGGTACATAGAAATTATAAAGTGGATGTTTCATTCTTGCATTGTGTAAGTGCCCTTCAGTCATTGCAAAACATTGTGATATATTCCCTAAGTCCTTAGATAATCTGTATTTTCATTACACAACAAAATGCAATTATTGTTCAATATTACCCAATTTGTAAAATTTTTGCGTCATAAGGAAACATATATAAGTGCAGCGTGTATCAAGCCATCCTCATTCGTAATGGACAGTTTGTAGAGTAAAGTATATTGATTTAAAATCATCTCATAACTAATCTATAAGTTTAGTTTTGTGTTACAGAGTTCAGTGACCTGAATGGATGGAGGCGCTCAGCATTGAAACAAGTCAGGAAACTACTACTGAAGATGTGTGTGCGACCGATAATAGATGTGAACCTCACCCAGATCCTATTAGAGAATGGTATAGACAACGTAAACGATCACGAAGTAGATCCAGGTGCAAATATGATAGACACAGAGGGAGATCCCCCAACCATTCTAGAGATCGATCCAGCAACCGCTCCAGAGACGGATCCCGTAGCTGCTCTCGTCGACTATCTAAGGAGAGATCTCGTAGTCCGTCCATGATCAGGTCTCGCTGTGGTTCCAGTGAAAAATCACCTGGTGACTCCAAGGAGAGATCTCGTAGTCCGTCCATGATCCGGTCTCGCTGTGGTTCCAGTGAGAAAACACCTGGTGACTCCAAGGAGAGATCTCGTAGTCCGTCCATGATCAGGTCTCGCTGTGGTTCCAGTGAAAAATCACCTGGTGACTCCAAGGAGAGATCTCGTAGTCCGTCCATGATCCGGTCTCGCTGTGGTTCCAGTGAGAAAACACCTGGTGACTCCAAGGAGAGATCTCGTAGTCCGTCCATGATCAGGTCTCGCTGTGGTTCCAGTGAAAAATCACCTGGTGACTCCAAGGAGAGATCTCGTAGTCCGTCCATGATCCGGTCTCGCTGTGGTTCCAGTGAGAAAACACCTGGTGACTCCAAGGTGAGATCTCGTAGTCCGTCCATGATCCGGTCTCGCTGTGGTTCCAGTGAAAAATCACCTGGTGACTCCAAGGAGAGATCTCGTAGTCCGTCCATGATCCGGTCTCGCTGTGGTTCCAGTGAGAAAACACCTGGTGACTCCAAGGTGAGATCTCGCAGCCGCTCTACAGGAAGATCTCGCAGCCGCTCTACAGGAAGATCTCGTAGAGGCCCCAGAAGGAGATCCCATAGTTGTTCCATAGGAATAACTCGCGTTTGCTCCAAAAAGGAACCTCGTCTTCGCAGCAGGAAAAGATCCCGTAACCACTCCCGGGATAAGTGAACTAAATTGGGAGTGCAAGGTCACTCTACTTAAATAATAAGATAGGTAACTAGATAATACAATAATGTGTTTAATACATTGATTAAAACTAACAATAATATCGATAATATTTGTGTTAAGTGTTTATAAATATTTTCTTATCTCTTGATTACAAGGTAAGATATGCAAGAATATTAATAGCAGGTATGTAGGTAATAGAGTCTATCTATATCATCACTTAATAATTATCATTTATTTTTTATCATGTTGTGTATGCTAAATACCTAATGTATTTTAAGTAGGTACTTCCTTAACTTCCTTCATACTTCATTTAAGATTTTCAGATTAGGTACTATAGAATTAATCTCTACCACCAAAATTGGCCACTCAAGAACTGTTTTCCATCAGGCGGATCACCAGCTGCTCCTCACTTCAGAATGCAGTGCTTCAAAAAATACCCTTTCTTAGAGGTATTATTTTTTTCCCTGTTATAATAAAATACCATCACGTCACTCTAGATAGTCTAGACAGTATTTAAACTCTAACCTTACTACCTAATAAAAATAAGTTTAGACATTGAGTTATCTAAGCATTAAGTAAGATTATTTAATAATAAATAAATAAAACATAAACCCTTTCCGTTTTATTTTATTCCCTTTTTGTGTGTAAGTCGAATTTTAGGTATGGCACGGCATAATAACCACACAATCGTGCAAGGATATGCTCAATCCAACTTGTTTCGAGTTCGATTCTCGCACGGAATTACTGTGTGAAATATAAGTAAATAAATAATGACAATCACGCCTCAAACAAAAAAAAAAATTTAGCTAACATAAAAGTTTTGATAAATCCCTGTTTCTGAACGCGACCGTGAACAAGCGCGGGAAAATAGTAGTTCAAATAGCTGTCAAATGTTGAAAAGAAAATGGAAACTTGTTGCTATGACAGCCAAAAGTTGTTTTTATTCCGTTGTTTTATTTACCTCTTGGTTACCGCTGGTAATAATATCGATTGAAATATAGGTTTACTTCGATATAAATACGTCGAAGTACTATAAATACGTTAAAAATGGGTGAAAAGTGAGATTAGTGCAAGTTTTCTAAATAACCAATTGTAAACTTATTTTCAGGAAAAGGTAATGTTATTATCTAATATTTATTTATAGTTACGAAGCCCAGGGTACTTTAATTTTCGTTACTAATTTGTAATAAGTTGACAACTGATTTGATAGATAATTTGTGAAGTACCACACGAACTAGTCGGTAATTAATCAAAAATATGTTTAGATATTTTGTGTGTAGGCTTGTTTAGATATTTAGTGTGAAGATAATAATAGTTATTCTTCTATATCTGAGTAATTCTTCAATATCTGAGTAATTCTTCAATGATTCGATCTTCATTGTTAACTCAATCTATTGGTGATAGCATTGCATAAGACTATAGAACATTCAACTACTTCAATGAATAAAATGCATGCATGCATGTAGCATGATAATTCTCCATGAATGATTTTCAGCACCATCATCAAGATGTGGTCCAGTAAAAGTCTTAACGCTTTGCAAGAATTGCACGTGCTATCAGACTCGGATAGTCTGTCCGTAACTACGGAAGACTATGAAATGTTCATTGATTTGTACAATGATCCAAGAGTGAAGTGGTTCAGGGACCGTATCCTTGCCTTCATCGGCATGGATGACGAAGAACTCTTCTACAACATGTTGGATTACGAAGACGCTAAGCAGAAGTTCATAAACTTCTTAATGACCACTATCAAGTCTGGTGAAATGTCTCTGAACAAGAGAATGATGTATGTATCCAAAGTGATTGTCGACAAGTTGATTCATGAAGATAAGGAATTTACTGAGTGGAGTAAGTATGAATTGAATTATTGGTATCTGCCATAGATTGGGGTGCATAAAACTTCCGAAGATTAAATAATAATAAAATATATGTAATGGTAACATCAAACCAGACCGTCTCATCTTTTACTGGTACAATTTTAACATTCTCTATTGTATTTGCTAGTATTTTTTTTTCTAACTAGCAACTACTAACAACTTAACTAAAGTTCAATTTATGAGTAAGTTAGTTATAATATGTATGTAACTAAACTAATTCTTAACTGTAGAATAAAATTGACATTTGTTTTTAGTATGGAACAATTGTCAAATATTCAAAGTTATTTTTCTGATAGAATCTAGCATTGGAAAAAGGGGTCTAGTCCTTAATTTTTCATAGTCCTTACAGTCTGTTTCTATCCATAGATGTATCCTTTCCACTATAAATATTACTTCAAATTATAAAAAATTCAGGAATCATACCACCAGTGATTGTGGAGGCCCCACCCCAAAAAGGTAAGAAGGGTAAGGGGAAAGGTAAAGAAGCGAAGAAGCCGGAGGGTGAGGATGGTAAATTGGCAAAAGGCAAAGGCCAAAAGGGTGCTAAGACCACAAAAAGCAAAATAGGTAAGAATAATATCATTTTTTTCATCATCATTCAACTTTATTTTTAATTTTGGGACATGGGACTCATAACATAAATAGTGAAAAGTGGGTGTAACATTGTACAGTGGCATAATGTGCACCTCTGCCTACCCCTTTGGGAATAAAAGGCGTGATGTTACATAATGTTATAATTATATATTATTTTTAAATGATAAAGTATACTTACTTATTCTATAGCAATAGTCTAATTTACTATTTCAATGTGATTCTTTTTAACACATTTTTTAGGTACATTACTCTAATTAATGTCTTTTATTAATTTATTTATTTTCAGATGAAATTCTTCCTACTACTGGTGGTAAGTGCAATTTGTACATTAAATAGATACTTAATAAAATATTAAATCAGTTTCATACTATACAGGGTGTAAACAGAATGCTCCCAAAAACACATGTGATGGTAAAAAGCAAGTTTTATTTTACCTAATAAAAGTAAGGAATTAAATGTTTCTGTTATATAAATAAATACTAAAATATTTACACCTTAAAAAATAATAATAATGACAAAATAATAATACCTAATGAAAAAATAATAATAATGAAAAAAAAAAATAAATTATAAGGCATCAAAGAAAATATTTTCCTCATCGCTACCGTGAGGTAGGGTGCCCAAAAGACTGGCAGCATTGCCACGTTGAATGGCAATGCTTAACCTTTGCCCAAGGTAGTAGCCAGCCCTTCGATCACCTGAAGTGTCAACCATCCTCCTTACAATATCTTTGTAAAGAAGATGTGCACTTGGGCCCCACGGCCCTAAAGTTTCAACCCCAAACGGTTCGAAAGCATAATTGCCAATCAGGCTATTATACTTTCGCCGTTTGAGGTTCTCGGCAGCGGCAGCGGCAGCACCGGCTCGACACGCTGAGCTTGGAAGATGGGATGGCGCCAGAGTATCAACGCAAGTGGCGTCCCATACTAAAGCCCTACCCATCTTCCAAGGGAATAATGACATACCGTCGGGTCTCTTGCCATCGTCGCGTACCAAGCCATTAGGTTCTAAAGTAGCTGGCACGCCAACGGAGGCAAGAGCTCGACGAATTATGTCATTAATACTTGCGTGTCGAGCAAAACGGCCCGCACTACGGCTACATGACAAGCCGTGGTGTCCAAGGCTGTTGACAACTTCACCACAACGACAACGATGAGGTGAACAAAATGAAGCTCCAAGCCTTAAACAAATTGCAGCGCGGAACGTGGTGTCGTCCAACAAAGTACCTAGGTTAGACGAAGGTAAAGCAAGAAGCCATAACCCCGACTCCCACTCACCCACAGCCAAAAGGCGAGCTCTCTCTGCAGTTGAACAAGAGGAGTTCAAAAGATTTTCGCTCACTTTTCTGCAGAGCGGCTCGTCCCATTGTCTCTGGGAGAGTGATTTGACAGGGGGGTCAATATTTGGGCAAGCGATTTTCCAAGCATTCACAGCTTCCACTAAATATGGTACATCAAAATTAACCAGTGATTGAGAAAGAATTTTCCTGGTTAATTCTTTAGTACCATGGGCGGAAGATATGAAAGCCGGTAGGCTTACACTGGAAATTTTACGGACGCCAAGCCCACCCAAGCGGACAGGCAGAGTGGCTTGTGTCCAAGCTCGGTCATCAAGAGCCACATTCAAAATTAAGGACAGGGTTCGCCTAATAATTTGGTCAATTTTTTCTAAAAGAAGGGGTGCAGACCAGAGGTGGGTCGACCGCAAAAAGTACATAAATTTGGGACCAAAGCAACAAAACCGAATAATAGTATAAGCCGAATGCATTCTAATGTTATATAGTTTTTCTGAAACGACAGAAAAATTTTGAATTTTTTCTTCAATAAAACTTGGAAAAGAGTCCTCGAAGACGGGCGCACCTAGGAGGCGAACTTTCGCGCTTTCTGTTATATAATAACTAGCGGGCCCAACAGACGTTGTCCTGCATATCCACTTGAATGTATAAACAAAAATTCATTCAAATTAGTTCAGCTGTTTAGGATAAATAACCTAAACATCGACTGCAGCGCCATCTGCCGGGCTGATTTGTGAATCTAAACCATTCCCAGATCCCTTTGAATACACACAAAAAATTTCATCAAAATCGGTCCAGTCGTTTGAGAGAAGTTCAGTAACATACACACTCACAGAAGAATTATATATATAAAGATAGTTGCAATCAACTGCTCAAGGCTGATGTTGCACGATTGATATTAAAACAAAAACGACTAAAATTGAAAAACATTCTTTTTTGTGAGCGTTTCAGGTGCTTTCAATTACATCCTGTAATATGATCACTTTACCTGATTGAGGCAATACAAAATACTAGTTACCTATTAAACCAGCAAATAAACAAAGGAGTTCCCAATTCAACCTGTTTTTTTTTTGTTTATGTAGAAATGGATGTGGAAACAGCAGCAGGTGCCATGATAGGCGCCGGTGATGATGACGAGAAGATAATGAAAGAAGACGATGGAACTTCTGTAACCACTGAGGACAAATACTATTTTCCGCCACGTAAGTATAGCTTCAGTACATTGTAGTGATAAATTACTGATTTTAAATGACATAAAAAAAATGAGCTTTATAGTTGTAGTGTGAAAGTTGAGATTTAAATGAATTTACGTATTTGTATGTGATATGTTAAAGACTGCCTCGTTGGCCGAGTGGTCGCAAGTGCGACTGCCGGGTCTCGGGTTCGATTCCCGGGTAGGGCGAAGGATTACTGGGTTTTAAAAAAAATCTCAGTAGGCGCACGGAGTCTGGAAATGTGCCCGGTATATGGCTATAGGTTCACCCCCTATTACATGGAACTCATACAATAAATAGTGAAAAGTGGGTGCCACTTCTGTGTGCACGTCTGCCTACCCCTTCGGGGATAAAAGGCGTGATGTTATGTTATATCAAAGGTCTGATGTTGTATATGTAACATGTATGTGTGTGTACACTCTTTAGCTAATATTTTAGTGAACACTTCACATAGGTTGCACCTGGTTATACCCATGAGCAGATTTATTTGGTGGCAGTCTAAAAAGCTTAACTCTTTACAAGCAAAGTTTTTCATGAAATATTTTATTACAGCGCCAGAAAATCTTGATCCTGACGTCGATGGAACTCTAGAGTTCTATACCGTTGTTGTAAGAATATTATCCAATTTATACACATGTGTTTGATTTGTTATTTTGCAATTATTACATTATGCTTGCATTTATGTATTATTTGAGCTGAATTGAGCTTCTTTCACACTGTAGTATATGTATTAGCTGTTGCCCACGACTTCATCCGCGTAGAGTATCAATTTTAGGATAGAACTATTTCTTGTGTCAATTTTCCAAAATGTTACTCCTTAACTCCTTAGTAAATCAACTACCCGCCAATAATAGTCCTGTCCAGCCATACCTGAGATTAGCCAGTACAAACAGACAGACAGACAAAAATTTTAAAAAATGTTATTTTGGTATGTGTATCGTATGTATATTCTTAGGCATGTCAAGTAGTAAAAAGCGGTTATTTTAGTATTACAAACAGACATTCCAATTTTAATTATTTTAGTTTATTTGTTTTTCAGTTTTATTTTTCTTTACGTGTATAACTGCAGTGTACAATAATAAATAAGTAGGTGCTTAGCTAAGTAACATCTAATTTTTAGATTACCCTAAAATATTGTTGAATACCGTTACCTTGCATTAACATTGTCTCCAACAGAGAGAGTAGAAATCAAAATGTATGGGGATGACATTGACAAGTGTCAAAATTTATGTCAATCCCATATAATTTGGTTTTCTATTCTACATGTAGACAAGCGCTAAATAGCGTTTGGCTACAGCTGCTGTATTGAATAGACAAGTCACGTAGAGAGAAGCCACATTAACTTTGCAATCGTGAAACGAAAATACTGAACATAGATTTCAGAAACCTAACAACTAAATATTTTAAATATTATTTTCGGCTTACTCACGTAACTGTTTGACGAGGAACTCGACTAGTTTCAAGCCATGCTGTTAGAGGCTTAGCGTCGACCCGGGATTCGAATTCAACATCTACGCGACCACCGGCGAACGAATTTAACGTGCCAACGCGGTGTCGCGCGAGCCGCGGAGAACCTAACGGGTTACCGGGGTTCGGGCTCGAAGTGCAGGAGTAGGAACGGGGTGGTTTTTAGTCAGTAAGAGCCTGACACTCCCTCCGGCCTCACCCAGGCGGGAGAAGTCATTCGATTATTTTTCCCCCTTAAAAAAAGCCGTGTCGCGCGCGCTGCCACAGATGGAGGTGCGTGCGCGTGAGGCTCGCACCGCAATTGACTCGAGCAACCAGTAACAGCGACAGTCGCGGAATGCTGCTCATGAATATGAGCCTCTAGCATGGCTTGAAACTAGTCGAGTTAACAGTTGTCTCAGTAAGCCAAAAACAATAATTCATTGAACAATATATTTCCTCAGAGATCAGTACCCCGTGTAATACAATATCCTCAACTGATCCCAATCTTCGGCGAGCTGACTCCTCAACTAGCGCACCGCAACCGTCGCTACCTCTATTTTTTACGGCAGATACAAGAGCCCATACCTCTCAGTGAAACGGAGAAGTTCACCACGTTGAAGATGCCTGATTACTTCTTAACTGGAGTCTTCACTGGGAAGGTCCTTATGAGTCTTGGAGTACATTTAAAAGAGGTATGTTTAATATACATTGTGAAGTAAAACCCATTTCTTACTACACTCCCCATACGCCCTGGTCAGGACTTATATCAATTCAAACCTTCGAAGTGAAGTTGATCGTTCGCATTCTTGCCCGTCATTGGTCGAGATTAATGACTTGGCGGCCCGTGATCAAGTTCACTTCGATCATTCGAATTGAAAGTTATAGTATAATCTAGCAAGAGACATTAATTTGATGATTTTTCACCTTCAAAATAGATCCTCTCCTTGCGAGTGTCGCTAGACTGGATAGCAGCGCTCACTCTGATAAATACCTTTAAAATTACGATCTTTTTCTCGCCTACCAAGTGGAGATTGTGGCAAACCCCTCTTATGTAGAGGAGGGCCTTAATTATTTTTTTTATGGCGTAATCCGGTAAACGTGCCGACGCATCACCTGATGGTAAGCAATCGGCGTCCATGGACACCTGGAATACCAGGCGTTATAAGTGTGTTACTGACCTTTTAAAGATTAGGAGATTGAGGATCGTTGGGGATTCATGGTGGAGACTGGGGAGGGGGAGGGGGGTCATTGGGCCTCCTGTAACCTCAATCACACGGCGAAACACAACGCAAGCGTTGCTTCACGTCGATTTTCTGTGAGGCCGTGGTGTCACTCTGGTCGAGCCGGCCCATTCGTGTCCAAGCATGGCTCTCCCACACTTAATCTAGCATTATTATCGCCCCCTTCCTTTTTAATATTGGACAGACAGCGGCCTAGCAGTTAGTCTTTTTATTCGCCTTTTTAAATATAATTTCTCGGTCTCCAGGCTACGATCCCATTGTTCGAGAGACAGTTCCGTGAAATCACGTTGATGTCGACAGACTCTAGCCACGCCATGCTGACCAGGCAGGCTTCTTTTGCTGGAGCTCATCATGAGATCTTAGATGCTGGGTCACAGGTATGTAAGTTTGTCAGTTAAGCAAAAGTCTACCTTATTGCGCTTGTAATAAGGGTCATGAACATTTTTTACTTAGTTACATGTGTTGTAACCACAATCACGTTTTGGTAGTTGTGCTAAGAGTCCCATATTATAAGAAAGTTGCAATGTACTGAGCACCATTCTAGATTTTATGCTATTACTGAAAACCAATAAAGCCCAAAAATATTTAAGACTCATCTGGGCATGTACTCTGAGGCCTCTTACTCATTATCTCCCGATTATCAGGGCAGTCACTCTAAGGCCGGTTTTTTCAGTAACTTTGAATATTTGACAATTCTTCCATTATAAAAACTGTCAATTGTCAATTTTATTCTTCAGTTAACAATTAACTGTTGATTGAAAAATCGGCTCTGAGAATCAATTAAACAAAAATCAACCTTATTATAATGTGAAAAATAAGGTCCAGAATTAATATTATAACAAAACATAATTTTCATGTTCAGGTGAACTATCTTCGGCCTTCAGATTACAGAAGAATGTCTAACATAGCTAGAGGAGAAAATGCTGAAAGAAGGTCAGTCAACAAATGTATTCACTTTTGAAAAAAAAAACATTCACATAATGATACACAGTTACGTAATGACGTGGGTGAACCAGCTTGACCGGTGTATATCGTGGTCTCACAGGAAACTGGCGTGCAACAAATATACCGACCGTTGTTTGCAGCCTGGCGAGTAAGTTTTCGGGTACCCTAATCTCCGCTCCTCTCCCCTACCCCTCACCCCCTCTCCCCCTGAAACCCCTGATCCTTCCCTCCGCCTCCCCTTTTACCGAGATGCCGACAACGCACTTGTTATTTCTCTGTTATTGTGAATGTCCATAGGCGACGCTGATTCTATGAGGCTGTGATATCAAAAAGACGGTGTTGCAGTCCGTTTCTTTAAACGTAGTTTTTAAAATAATTATTCATAGAAAATATTATTTTGTTTAACAGAATGAAGAACATGCATGCATCATCCGATGAAGGATTTGACCGTTCCGTGGAAAAGTCTATGACGCATCCGGCATCGTCACCTGTACGTACATATTATGTATACTCAGTATTGAAGGCTCAGTGCAAATATTTGTTTACGTTGACGCGATTGACAAATTATCTCATACAGAGTGTAAACAACGCTCCCGAAACGAAATAGTTTTTACATTTTTCATTGTTTTCCGTTTTCTTGTTATTCGTGCAACATCACTGTTGAGCAATTGATTACAACTATTATTACATATAATAAATATATTATTCTTTGCTTTTATGAAAGTAAGACTTGTTTTTTACCATCACCTGTCGGCGTTTTTCGGCAGCGTTCCGTTTACATTCTGTATAGCCTTCTGATTTGTTGGTCAATTGGGTACTTTCCTTAATCAAAAATAAATTATTTCGACTGTTCAATACAATAAAATATTAAAAAATAATCACACTTCCATTACATAGTTGATTTTATGACAAACTGAATTTTCCAGCTATAAATTTTCAAGAAATAAGTATGCTGTTTGAATCTAAAAAAACGTGAAGTTACAATACACAATCTCGTACATAATTCATAGAAAACTGACGTTTTTGACAGTTCGAAAAAAGTATTGAATTTGACTAGTTGTGAAATACCCAATTGGAGCTAGCCAATCAGAGTGCCGAACGTCATAAACGTGTCAATGGCGTTAACGTAAAACATACGCACTTGATCCTCTGATTTACATATAAAATATTGCCTACTCCCCCTCCCCTCATCGTAGCGTTATGTTTTGTAGCCTATACCCTTCCTGGATAAATAGACTATTCTACACAGAACGAATACTTCATATTCGAACTAGTAGTTTTATTTTTTTACCAAGAAGGCTTTGTTCATATCATAAAAACCGTAATGTCTTCTAAATCCCTGAGAGGATACTGGTGTCCTCTCTCACCCACTCCATTATACGTCTTATTTCCGATGTTTAGAGACTAATTTTGTATGAACAAGTTTGGTTATAAAAATGCACAAGTGTGAACCATCTACGTATTAGAAAATATTTCCCAAGTACCTATACTAATTTATAAATTATCCTAGCAATCAATATTTTAGAATATTAGCTCGTTTATACAAATTCTTTACCTTTGAAATATTTGTATATATGTAATATGTATTATATTAAAATACTAGCGACCCGCCCCAGCTTCACACGGGTGCAATATACATACATGTATTATACATATAAACCTTCCTTAAGAATCACTATTTATTTAAAAAAATACCGCATCAAAATCCGTTGCGTAGTTTTAAAGATCTAAGCATGCATAGGGACAGACAGACGGCGGATAACGACTTTGTTTTATACTGTGTAGTGATGATACGTACTATTGCAGAGCACTGCAATATCCAGCGCGTCATTGGCTGAGCTAGGCACGGTTGGTACAGATGAGAAGACTTCAGCTGATGAAGTCATCACAGACATCAAGGATTTAGTCGCTATAGTTGACTGGTATGTGTTCTATGCTAGTTTGTACCTGAGACTTTGGTCGACAAGCCAATACCTATTCCTTTTTCTTAGTCCCAGCTATCTATGTTTATGTGCAAAATATTTAAATAGATTGATCAATTGTTATGTTTCTGGCTTACTCACGTAACTGTTTGACAAGGAACTCGACTTGTTTTAAGCCATGCTGGAGGCTCATATTCATGAGCACTCATTGGGCCCGTACCGCAGCTGACTCGAGCAGCCAGTAGCACCGCGATAGTCGCCGCGTCGTGTGTCGCAGAATGCTGCTCATGAGTATGAGCCTCTAGCATGGCTTGAAACTAGTCGAGTTCCTCGTCAAACAGTTACGTCAGTAAGCCAAAAACATAATAATTAATTTAGTAGTAGCATGAAGTCTGGAATCTGCCCAGTATATAGCAATAGGCTCACCCCCTATTACATGGGACTCATAACGAAAATAGTGAAAAGTGGGTATTACACCTCTGCCTAACTCGACGGGAATAAAAGACGTGATGCTATGTTAAAGTTAATGTATATACATGAACAATACAGGACTATAGAGCACATAGAAGGCGAGATCCAGCTGCCGATGCCGAACATCCCGATGTTGTACGAGGACCACACGGTGGAGGTCGTCGACCCCGAGCTGGTGTCGCAGCTGGAGGAGGCGGTCATGATGTGGCAACAACATATTGACAGTACCATCGCTGTTTGTTTGGGGAAGGTCAGTTTGTTGATTTTCGACTCTATTTCGAAGTGATAAGGCTTAAGATCTAATTTACCTATTAGAAATGAATCATTGAGGATTTTTAATTTATCGGTTATTATTTTTAAATCATCTAAAAACTAGTAAGCGAAAATATTTTATGTAAATATTTCGAATTCAGCTTATTAAGATCGTAATAATATATGTAAGCGCCATCTACGTAATAATGTAGGAACTTTGTACTTAGAAAGCTTCATTTATTCAAAGATGGCGTTACGTGCAGCTTTTCAACATTTCTCAACTCTTATTTTTAAACATTTTTTCTAAAGAATAATGAAAAGAACATAACTTACTCTTCTAAAATTGTTAGTCGACACCATACTATCATCTAAATAGTTTTATACATTGTATACAAACTCTTTAAAGGATACAGCATAATATGAAAACATATTATAGAAGTTCTTTTAAAACTTACCGTTTAGTTGTGTGACTATAAGTTCACCTTAATAAAACAACACAATAAAAAACTGTAAAATCGTCTTATGCGCTTACCTCGTTGCGGAGAACCTAACGGATTACCAAGCCTACGGCTCGAAGCGCATAAGAAGGAACGGGGTGGTTATTATTCAGTAAGAGTCTGACACTTCCTCCCGCCTCACCCAGGCGGGAGCAGTCATTCGATGATTTTCACCCCTTAAAAAAATGCGCTTACCTCTCTATACACACATGATAATCATTAAGTTTACTTTTTTACCTACTAATAGACTCGAGAAGGCGACGGACCAGTAGCGGAGTACAAGTACTGGCGCGAGCGTGACGCTGAAATATCTCTACTTGTTGAACAACTAAAGCAGCCTATGGTGGTCAAGATATTGAATCTGCTTGAACGAGCTAAATCTACTTATCTTGAAGTAAGTAATGTACAAGACTATTGTCTAAATACTAAAACGCCACTGGATTCGTCTTCGAAGCCTTTTGACCTTCTATCGGATACATTTCGAGGAGTAACATAACATAACGCATAAGAGGTAGGCAGAGGTGCACACAGAAGTAACACCCACTTTTCACTATTTATGATACGAGTCCCATGTAATAGGGGCTGAGCCTATTACCATATACCGGGCACATTTCCAGACTCCGTGCTACTACTGCGATTTAAAAAAAATCCCAATAATACTTTGCCAGGAATCTCCTGTATCGTGGATGCGTTTACGAAAATACACGTTTACATACACAATGACACCCAGACCCGAAACAACAATTTGTGGAGCACACAAAGTGTTGTTCCGTGCGGGAATCAAACCCGCGACACGTTGCACGGCAGATGGTTGCCCAGCCACCGCACCAACCGTGCAGTCATTCATCACTCATAACATGAATAGTGAAATGTGAATGTTACGTTGTAGTGGCATTAAGTGCCGGAATGTGCATCTCTGCCTACCCCTTCGGGGATAAAAGGCGTGACGTTATGTTATGTTATGTTGTTAAATTTTAATACGAGTTTTAATCACTTATGTCATGTAATAATGTTAAAGTTTTGCGTTTTAATGCATAATATCCTTTTACAGGGCTTTAAAAACTACAAAGAAAGATTGGTTGACCAGTACAATATGGCGAGCGACAATTTGAAGTTCCTGTCCACTTTGATGCGATTCTTCACTGTAAGTATAATTTATTGATCTTATAATGCAATTTATTTTTCGCCATTTGCGTTTACAAATGGAATTGAAAGCGATTGAGGAGTGATTTAATTTAAAACTAAGTTATAATCTATACTATAATATTATAAAGCTGAAGAGTTTGTTTTTTTGTTTGTTTGTTTGAACGCGCTAATCTCCGATTTGAAAAATTCTTTGTGTTGGATAGCCCATTTATCGAGGAAGGCTATAGGTTATAAAATATCCCGCTATGATTAATAGGCGCCGAGCAGAGCTAGTGAAACTGCGCGGAAGTAGCTAGTCATCATCTAATTGTATACACTTTTCTGAGTTGGAAATAAATAGAATATGGACTACCTATTTCCTACAGTTTTTGTGTTTACACAAAATATTTTATCATCCTTCCGTGTTTTTCATAATATTAACTGTCTGCTTATCCCAATATTTAAAATATCTAGGTAATAGAAGACGAGTCCACACTGCCACAAGTAATAGAGATTCTCCCGGAACTAGTGGAGAGTATCTACATGATGTGGGTGCTCTCCAAGGGGTACAGAACTGATGACACCATGGTGCCTCTATTGGCCAGGATCTCTTGGGCACTGAGTGATAAACTGGAAAATATTCTTAATGTGCATAAGTTGTTTGAGTAAGTATACAAAGTTTGTATTTATTGGCTATATATTAAAGAAGGGCAATTTTAACTCGTCGAGTACCGGTTTTATAGACACAATTAAAGAACAATAGGTCGCGGTCACCGGTGACCGCTTGGTGTTTGACAGATTAAAAGTACCCTTAACCGACGGGCATGCATGAAAAGATCGATGAGTGTTGATAAAGCGAAAGAGGTATGTAGGAATCGTAGCAATTGGCGTTTCATAGTCTCTGCTTACCCCGATGGGAGACAGGCGTGAAGTTATGTATATATGTATGTTTATTTCTGTGTTGGAATTGGTGTAGATACATTTTTACTGATAAAGATCACTGAGAATAGAACAGTCATAGTGCGTTAGTTATCTAACGAAATAGGAAATGGTATGGCCATGAGCTACGAGACAAAATTCCATCCCCGATGGACTTTATATCTATATACATAAAATCCAAACCACCGATAAGGAGCCGCAAAAGACTTAACGGGTTACTGGGGCTCCGGCTCGAAGTACAGGAGTAGAAACGGGGTGGATTTTAATCAGTAAGAGTCTAACACTCCCTCCCGCCTCACCCGTGTGGGAGAAGAAGACTCAAAAAACAAGAGAGACCAAAGCAATCAATTATATGTATACTTAGCTGCTTCGCTTACCAATGAGGAATTATCGAATTAACCTTCGATAACTTGTCCTTGACCCTTTGAGTACCGTTATTATAGACACAATTAAAGAACAATAGGTTGCGGTCACCGGTGTCCTCGCAGTTTGACAGTTTAATTGCCTTAGAACTGGCCAAAAACATCTTAACTTCATGTTTATTTTAGCAAACCAAACGAGGAGGTACTATCCTTAGCTCGAAACTCTCAGAAAATAATGGAGATGTGGCATGACTTGTACCGTGAGACGCGCCGGAATATAGAGATGAGTGGCAAGGGCGCGCGCTGGGAGTTTGACCAGCCGCTACTGTTCACACAGACTGACTACATCGGGACTGTCGCTAGGGATCTCGGGGATGTCGTACAGGTAGGGGAGATGTGGCTGATGTATCCAGATACTACTTAATGTTATATTTTAAGTAATTTATCACCATTCCTACGCTTCCCACGGGTTTTCTAAATACCTACTTGGTCTACTGCCTCGTTGGCCGAGAGGTCGCAAGTGCGACTGCCGGGCAAGGGGTCTCGGGTTCGATTCCTGGCTCGGGCAAAGTATTACTGGGTTTTTTAAAAATTCTCAGTAGTAGCATGGAGTCTGGAATTGTGCCCGGTATATGGCAATAGGCTCACCCCCTATTACATGGGACTCATAAAATAAATAGTGAAAAGTGGGTGTTACATTGTGCAGTGGCATAATGTGCACCTCTGCCTACCCCTTCTGGGATAAAAAGGCGTGATGTTATATGTTATATGTAAATCGTACATATGAAGTATCAGAAAACACAAATTAAAGCCGATTTTTCCAACGCCAGATAAATTTTAATTACCATCATATATGATAATTCATATATGATGGTATTCCTCAATTATATGTATGTTTGATATTTCTTCCATACTAAAAACTGTCTAATGTCAATTTTATTCTACAGTTAAGAATTATCTGATGATTGAAATCCGCCCTTAAAGGCAGCAATAAGCGGTATAAGTACTTAACAATGCAAAAGCGTAACTCTACTTTTCTATTTAATTTCCTCAATTACTTACAGGTCCTAATAGACTTCGAGCGCATATTCGGTTTGGAACTCAAATCCATTATAAGCGACCCAACACAAATAGATGACGTGCGCAAACGCGTGAAAAACTTAGTCTTCCCGATACGGACGATCGACTTTAGCGTGTTCGTGTTCGATAACAAGGAGAATTGGGACGTTATCATGGGTGACTTCTGGAATGAAGTCAGATATTTGGAAGATGAGGCTAAAAACTATATCAATCAGAGCTTTGGGAATTTGAGGTATGTGTAATTAAATAATGAGGTATGTGAATTCAATAATGAAGTATGTGGCAATCCCGTTTAGTGACGATGTGAAGGATCTTGGCTTACATATTGATAACACATTGAGCTGGCGTGCACAGGTCACTAGTGTATACCAGAAGGTAACTGGGTCGTTGCGAGGCTTGTACCGCCTTAGAAACTTCCTTCCGTCTACTACCAAGGCACGGCTCGTGCAGGCCCTGATTTTTCCTATCATCGATTATGCTGATGTGTGTTACTACGACCTGAATGCAGATCTACTCAACAAAATTGACCGTCTTCTAAATAACTGCATTCGATTCGTTTTCAATTTACGTAAATATGATCATGTTTCTGCACATCGGTTGCAATTAAAATGGCTGCCCATACGCCTGCGCAGGCAACAAAGGGCGTTAACTACTTTATTTTCTTTTCTCGACTCTCCTTCTTCACCTGTTTATCTAGCTTCCTACTTCCAATATACATGCGCAAACCATTCTAAATACCTTCGCTCATCTAATAACCGTCAACTTCAATGTCCCACTCACCGCACTGACTATCTTCACTCCTCCTTTTTCGTTCAATCTGTCTCTCTGTGGAATGCGCTGCCCAAGGAAATCAGAATGGCAAATAATCGCTGTTCATTTAAATTCAAGGTTCGGGAACACATTTATAGAAAGTGGCAAACTCAAAACAGTGGTAATATGTAGTCTATGTATTGCATTTATTTATATATGTATGTATTATATTATGTGTATGCATATTTGGGATATATTATATTTATTATATAATTCATTTTAAGACCCTATACCCTTAGTTATGTATTATCGACTATAACAATCATGTCTTCCCTCTTTAATATTTTATTACCTTAACTTCGTTATCTACTTCATACTTTCTTTTTACAATTTTGCACCTACCGCTTTAACATTCTGCACCACCCAATGGTCGACTGTCAGAAAATGCCTACGGCATTAAGTCCGCCAATTTCACTATATGTGCAATAAAGTTTTAATAAATAATAAATAAATAAATAATTGTGTACTTAATGTAGTTATGATAGATTTTTTAAACGAATTCAATAATGAAGGCTATTTGACCTGTATTTATGTATGTATGTATTTTTATGCGCGATTATCTAGCGATTGGCTGAACCGATTTTGGTTCGGTTTAGAAAAGTGTTTGTTACTCTTAGCAGAAGGTTTTATATAGAATACTAGCCTATGTCCGCGACTTCGTTCCCACAATCCCCTTTCTCCCGTACCCGTAGGATTTTCAGGATTTTTTTCTGTCATAATAACCTTCTCCTGACAATAACAAACACAACAAAAAAATCAGCCAAATTGATCTAGCCGTTCTCAAGTTATGGCGTGACAGCGGGAAACGGGTTTCATTTATATATATAGATACATAGTAGTATAGTATAATTAACAGACTTCAAAAAAGAAGAGATTTACGGCGATTTTTTAAAACTTAGTTACTAAAATAATGATTTGTTTTGATAATTGAAATGAGGTGAATTAACTATGGAGAATTAACTATGGTCTACCTGAACGTAGATCTAACCATGATATAGTCTTCCATTTATAATTGTGGCGGACAGAATGTTCTACTCGTTAATCCACTTTAAACTGGTGTGGTGATCAAAGCTCATCATCATCATCAACAGCCTATAAATGCCCACTGCTGAGCAAAGCCTCTTCTCACACGGAGAAGGTTAGAGCATTAATCAGATCAAATTAGATCAAAGCTCAGTCCTTTTTATATAAGAAGTAGCATTTACACAACACATCCAATGCGGAAGGTTACAAATTGTTAGGTTGAGACTAACTGAATGGTGTATTCTTCTTTTGACAGGTCTTCAGAAGAAGCTCTCTCAGTGTTGCTAAAGTTCTTAGAGTTTGACACTCGGGAAGCGATTCGTCAGCAACTATCCACGAAGTTTGACCTCGTCATGAGGCAGTTCATCAAGGAGATCACTGCTATTGAGGATAAGTTTACTGTTAGTACTAACTGTCTTATTTCGGTTACTTTGTAAGTAGTTTTAATTGTTGGTTTAAGTTTTCATTGTATGCTTCTTGTTTTTCTTTATATTATTATGTTTACTCACGTAACTGTTTGATGAGGAACTCGACTAGTTTCCAGCCATGCTAGAGGCTCATATTCATGAGCAGAATAGGGTAGTTTCCTAAATTTTATTTTAATATCCGTCTGGTACATTAATTTAAAACTTTAGACACGTATTTTTTTCTTTTCTCACAAAATCTAATACTTTCGACGATATATTAATTTGAAATATCGTGTGACGTCACAGAGTGTAAAAAATACGTGTCTAATATTTTTTCATTATCTAACTGACGGACTAATTAGATTTTTAATTTTGATACCCTCGAAACTACCCAATTCTTGTGACCCGCGGCGCTGTGACTGTCGCGCTGCTATGGGTACTTAATCCAGCCCTTGGCAATTGTTTTCGGAACAAAATCGTAGAACTAATGGAACTAATATTTCATTTAGTGGTACCTTCTGGTAGTACAAGATTTCTGGTAATAAGATATTTTTTCATTCATTACGCAGCGTTTTCGTAAAAACCCACCTCTGCTTCGCAACCATCCGCCGGTTGCTGGCGCCATATACTGGGCGAGGGCTCTCTTCAACAAGATGAAACAACCGATCATGAAGTTCCAAAAGGTACCTAAAAAATGTAAACTATTGGAAAAATGGTTTTGGTTACACAAAATACTAATATTTTTCGAATAAAAAATACAATAAATGGATCTGGAGGAAGGTTTCTGAAGTACCTAACTCTATGGAGTACTTTCCTTAATCAAAAATAAATTATTTCGACAAATACAAATATTTTTTATTTCGATTTATTTCGACTGTTCAGTACTACAAAATAATTAAATACTTTCATTAATTGATTTTATGACCAACATAATATTAGTATCTTTCCAGCAACTTTTAAGAAATGAGTAGGTATGCTGTTTGACGCTAAAAAAACGTGACGTCACAATACACAAACTCGAACAAAAAATCATAGAAAACTGTCGTTTTTGACAGTTCGAAAAAAGTATAGAATTTGACTAGTTGGCAAGTACCCAATTTACCAATTTCATCACACCAGGTGCCAGAACTAAACGACTGTGAGCAAAAGAAGGAAGCTTTCATGCAATACAAGGCGTTCTCCAAAGTCATCAAGGAGTATGAAGAACAGAAGTACAGGGAATGGGTGGGACCGGCTGCAGAGTTCGTGGATAACATGATGAAGAAGAATGTCCTTAAGGTCGAGTTCAAGAAGGAAGGTATGTATACTGCTGTTCCATAGAACAAAACTTAAGTTTTTAAGTGGTGTACCAAATGGATCAGAATATGCTGCTAATCGATTCAGCCTATACGGATGAAAAGATACGGAATTATTTTGTTATAATAGGGTAGATTCCTAAATTTTATTTTAATGTCCGTTTGGCACATTAATTTAAAACTTTACACACGTATATTATTTTTTCTTACAAAATTAAATACTTTCGACGATATATTAATTTGAAATATCGTGTGACGTCACAGCGTGCCACATTTTGTAGCACGTTATGACGTAACGACCTCCCACTCCTAAACTTACCGCCATTTTATCTAAGTATTGCAACTTAATACGAGAAAATTAAAAAATATGTGTCTAATATTTTTTCATTATCTACCTGACGGACTACATAGATTTTTTTTTTTTTTGATACCCTGGAAGCTACCCATTCAGACTCATTTATAATCTTGAATGAACCGTTGGTTGACACGATGAAATCAACACATTCATTCATTTAATGATTATACAAATTAATTGGTTATACAATTTTGTAAAAATGTCGTATTTTTTTTTTATTTTACAAGCAAACGATGAAGAGGACGGTAAGATTATGCATGCATTATTCATTCATAAGTGTATCACTTTTTAATTTGAAATACCAAATAAAGTTCTTGCCATATAATCCAAACATTACCGAAAGATGAAAGCATCAAATATTAAGACTTCAATCTCGAAGTTTTTTTAAGAATTCTAAAATACATATTCTACCCAGTCTATAATTGCACTAATTTTTACATAAAGTCACCTTTAATGAATATCCTCTCGCGCGTTTCTCGTACTCACGGGTAAATATTTTAATAGAAAGCGAATGAATCTGTTGAATCAAATAAGAACGGGTTGCAAAGTGAAAATATACGTCACAGAAAAAATATCCAATCGGTGCGCCTTTCTCGTACACCCGTGTGTACAATTGCGCGATGGGCACTCAAGTACTCAACTCTCTCAAAACGCGCCAGAGGATATATAGTTACCTGATAATTTTAGCAGTGGTAGCCGCTACTACCACGGGTCGTGGCATGGAACTGACGGCCGCGGGGAAAGCTCACGTGGAACGGAAGAAGAAGGCGGCTGGGTCTACTGTGTCGCTACAACCAGTTGATATTGTTAATAAGGAGTTAGCTGACAAGCGACGGAGGGATAAAGCTTGTGAGTATGAAGTTAAATTAATATACAGGACTAATATTTAAATAAGACCTTTTGTTAAATCTGCTTTTCACTACATAGTATAAAACAAAGTCGCTATCCGCCGTCTGTCTGTCCCTATGTATGCTTATCTCTTTAAATCTACGCAACGTATTTTGACGCGGTTTTCTTTAATAGATAGAGTAAATTCTTAAGGATGATTTATATGTGTAATACATGCATATTGCACCCGTGCGAAGCCGGGGCGGATCGCTAGTTGGCCAATAAGTTTATGCTAGGGAAAGTAGGGCCTGATTCTGATACATGATTCATTGGTACTATCAAAATTTACTTACCATTTTAATCTTAACTTTTTTGTGAACAACTATCACCTATCGCTTCTTCTCTATCAATCTTCTCGTTATTTGTAAGTACAGAGAAGTACAAGCTAGTAAAATGATATATATCAAAAGACTAGAAAATCTAAACTCAGCCGCAGATATCAGTCGAGCACAGTACAGTTTGGTCCCATAACCATTGCTTGTAAAATAATAAGTCTACTTATATATTTCAACATAAAAGCTAAATAAAGAAACATGCATAAAAAACCAATTTTACAAATGACCAAAGTTCCCCACGAACTCGCATAAACGTAAATTCATTCCAACTTTTATATCGTCAAAGTAATGGTTGTTTCCCTAAACAAAAGGTAGTTGTATCAAATAATTTATTTCAGTTATTTGAGGGAATAATTTGAAGTACTAGTTTAAGAGAGAGATTCGTTTTCTTTTTAACCGACTTCATTGTGTCGTCAATTTGACCACAGATAAAATGTTTATTAATATATGCTCATTAAATAATTTGGATAGTTACCACTACTTCTCATTACCTTTTTGCAGGTTACCACCTACCACGTACATTTCTGCACTACCCAAATGATGACTGGCAGAAAATGCTGTTAGCATTAAATCATCCTCATGCAATTGTATAAAATATAGATAAATAAATAAAACAAATTAAATCATTTTGTTACCATTTTCCAGAAAAAATAAAAAAGAAATAGTAATGTGATCTCTTTGGGCGCTCTTATTGTTCTTCGCCCATCATAGTCATATTATATATGTACTTAATATAAAAATAATTTCAGTAATGCTAATGAGGATACCCGGCCAACATTACGAGAATGTTAGATCACCCAGCTCCACGTCTCTACTAGCTAAAGAAGGATTGGTATGTATGTCTTGGCCTCTCGTTTAAAGCCAACCGTTTCGTTCGTTCTTCGTTTTATTTGATTTTCAATGCTTTTGATCATGTTTTAAATATTTTCCCTCTATAATAAAAGTTTAACAAACATCTGTACCTACTTTGCCTAATAATAGGTAGATTTATTATAATATCTATCCTACCCAGACGGATGTAACCTGGCGCGACCTGACGGTACACAAACTGATGCAGGAGTACCAACTCACCTTTCAACCAAACTTCAATAAACATATATTCCTGATTATTCATGAAGCTGAACTCTTGGAACAACTTGGTAAGTTTTCGGGAAAATCAACTCTATTTCGCGCTGCGTAAAGTTTTATTTCATTTGCACTATTTACCAAAATTAGGTCGACAACTACAATGCATCATACAAGCTATTGTGCGCTGTTATGTCAAAAGTTTGCTAACTTAGAATGTTAGAACATTATTTTGACATAGATAAAACACTAAATTAACTAAAATCGCGGGGTACTCACATGAATGTACTGGGAAAAGCTCTACTAGTTTTGAACCACAGAGGGTCTATTCCTCATAAGCAGCGTGCGCGGTCGCGGCGATGTCGCAGCTCAATCACCTCTGAGAAAAGCTCTACTAGCTTTTCTCAGTATATTCACGTGAGTAACCCGCGATTTTAGTTGATTTAGTACCTATGTCTTACGATTGTTATTATAAAAACATAGATAAAACACCTTTGCAGTATTTAGGCGTTGTTGACGTAAAGACGTCATAGATTAAAGAATTTTCGATTGAAAAATGCGAGTTGATTAATCGTATGTTTTATTTCATACAAAAATCAGCAGAATAACTTGGTGTCTTTTCCTGACTGCACAAATTAATCAATTAGGTACTTTAAAAGTATCACTAAAATATGTTAACCTGTTTCAGGCTACGACCTCCCCTCAACTATCCGTGACGTGGCAATGCAGAAAGCCAGACTATACTATGAGTTAGAAGCACTCGAGAGTGTTATAGCCAAGTACAATAAGAACACATCAGCTCTAAGCCCTTCTGAGACACATCTCATGAAGAAACACTTCTTGGACATGGAGCGACATATACTGCCTGGTTTGACTAGAGTTACATGGACTGCACTCGGTATTGGGGATTATATTAAGGATATTACTAAAGGTTTGTCAGAAAAAATATTGCTTTTCTTATCATCTTTATCTTTTATGTATATAATTCTGTTGTACGTGTGTATGTCATTGAACTCCTCCTAAACGGCTTGACCGATTTAAATGCATTTTTCTGTATGCGTTTGAGTGGCCCCTTGATGGTCCAGATTTACAAATCAGCCCGGCAGATGGCGCTGCAGTCGGTATCTAGGTTAGTTATCCTAAATGGCTGAACTAATTTGAATGAATTTTTGTTTATACATTCAAGTGGATATGTAGGACAACGTCTGTCGGGTCCGCTAGTTATCCTATAAAGATGTCGTTGCGTCTATGTACCATTAGCATAGGCAAAGACAATGAGAGAAACAGAGAACATTTTAACATGGCGTCCTTATGTTCATTCATAGTTCAGAATAAAATTGTACTTACGTAGTTCTTCCATCGGAATTTCTAATCACTCTGGGTATTTTTTCCTGTGTCGTGGGTGCGTTTACAAATATACAAGTTCACATACACATGACACCCGGAACAACAATCTATGGGTCACACAAAGAGGTGTTCCGTGCGGGAATCTAAACCGCGTTGTGTGGCAGCCAATTGCCCAGCCACCGCGCTAACCTTAATATCTTTAGCGACATTATTCCGAAAATATCTTATCGTCGTTCTTTTATCTGAAACATTTTAACTTGTGTTCTCATCATCAACAATCCAGGTGAAAATTCCCTACAAGCTGTATACAAGCAACTAAAGATGGTGGAAAAGGAGGTCCAGTTCTTAGTAGATCAACTGGAAGCCTTCGACCTGTTCCCGCTGTTGAAGCCGCAGAACTACCTGGACCCTAAGACTGGCGAGCCTGACTCCACATGGCTTTATCCTTGTAAGGTAAATAGCACCACACTTAGTTGTAACAAAATTAAAAATAATAATAAAAATACAAGTCTAGTATTTTCACGTTATAGACATATCTGTTCTCAGGACTTTGATTTTCAATAAAGATATTTTTTAACTGTACAAATTACTGTAAAAAGTAAAGAGATATAATTATAAAATAAGTTACTCATTGCTCAATGTGCCATAAGTTGCGTGACATATCCACATGATAATGACCCCAATGAATTATTATCGATTGAAAATGTATGAAAAAAAAACGTCAATTATATCTGAAACGGTCCAGTTGTGTTTTGGCTAGTTTTTTTTTTAGGTTTATCTTGTTTTACAACAGCTTTTATCACACTTACACTGCTGAGCAAAGCCTCTTCTCACACGGAAAAGGTTTGAGCATTAATCACCACGCTTGTTCATTGCGGGTTGGTAACAACAGCTTTATACTAGCTAAAATAAAACTAACATTTCACATCTTTAAAATACCTTCATAAAATCCTTCTCATCACTCAGGCGTACTTCGTGGAAGTCGAAAACGAGCGCCTAGAGCGCATAGCAGCTCTCTCCCGTATCTACGACCGCATCGGTCCTATACTGATGAAGCTGGAGTACTTGATACTTGGCACCAGCACCGGCACCTCGCCTGTTATGACTGCCTACTATACGCACTGGGAGAGGAAGATCTTTTTGTGTCTTGTCAGGTAGGAATTGGGTGCTTTCCCTAATCAAAAATACATACTTCGACTGTTCAATACAATAAATATTAAAAAACAATCACACTTCCATTCATTAAGTTGATGACCAACTTAATTTTAGTATTTTATCAGCAATTTTTTAAGAAATAAGTATGCTGTTTGACCCAAAATACGTGACGTTACAACACACAGTCCCGTATAAAATTCATAGAACTGTCCTTTTTGAAATGTAGGTACTTTTGTTCTTTACTGACTGCCTCGTTGGCCGAGTGGCCCCAAGTGCGACTGTTGTGCATGGGGTCTCGCGTTCGATTCACAGGTCGGGCAAAGTATTACTGGGCTTTTTAAAAAAAATCTCAGTTGTAGCACGGAGTCTGGAATTGTGTCCGGTATAATAATAGGCTCACCCCCTATTACATGTGACTCATAACATAAATACTGTAAAGTGGGTGTTCTTTGTGGCATTAAGTGTCCTTATTATGTGCACCTCTGCCTACCCGTTCGGAGATAAAAGGCTGTTATGTTTTGTTTTTATGTGAACTGAGTTATGATAACTTAGTATTAATTTAATTGGTAGTTGGCTGCGAACATTAAGCGAGAAGTTAAAAAAAACAATTTGGGTATTTAGAATTTTCGGTTTTCGAAAACTTTCAGTAAAAAAAACATTATGTTTTGTGTAATTGTGTAAAAAAATACCTAATAGAGAATTACTGTTATATTTAATGTGACAATGCATCCCCACTTACTCACTCGAAGAATAAATAGCATAATTCTATGTTAGGTTCAAAGTCAAATCAGATTATACCTAAAAATAATAATTTTCACTGCTTGCTCATCTTTTAGATTAACACTAGAGAACTTGGAGGACTTCCAGCAAATGTTGAGTGAGAAGGTTCCGATGTTCCAAGTGGACGCCATACTAGTGCCTCCGGACATCGCCATGCGGCCGACACAGACCGAGGTCTGCAATATACTGGGATACGATGTCAAACATTTTCTTAACAGGTACGTTCGTTATTATCAATGGTAATAATATTGCTGTTTAGATAAAGTACAATTTATTTATTTATTTATTTATTTATTTATAAACTATATACATACTACTATCCTAACAGGAACTAATACCTAATGCAATAGTGTATGCCAATATTAATAAAATTAAATTACAAGTCTATTCTACAATTAGGTACTACAACATTCATAATTATGGTAACAAACATATTCCTTAAGCAAAGTCACAGATGGGTACAGGTACAGTAACAGGCTCTTCTGAATTCGTTCAGTGTACAATAAAATAAGTCAATGTATTCCGACATCGCATTGAGCGTCCGCAACGCCCGCGTCAGGGGCGCGCGCTGTAGGAGGTTGGTGCGTGCGCGTGGTATCGCCAGCAGCGCTGGCTTACGCCGGCGCGCCGCGTATGCATCCGGTACGCATAAATGGATCAGCTCCAAAACCCTCGGGTTATATAATTTGCCGCGAAGCACTTTAAATAAGTACGTAGCGACAGCTACTTCCCTCCTCACTTCAATTTTAAAATATCCCACCATGCCCAATACAAAAAGAGTCGGATATAAAAGCGGGTAACCCGGATAGACACCATACATTTTCAAGTACAAAAATCTAACAAATTTGTTTTGGATACGCTCTATCATCAGTTTGTACCTGACTTCATGCGGTGACCAGACAACGGCATTACACTCCAAATGACTTTTTACATGGGCTTCATACAGTGCTTTCAATGCATTAAAGTTGGTAAATTGGTTACCTAAACGTAATACCATTCCTAAATTTCGGTAAGCTTTTTTGCAAATATTCACAATATGAGTCCTAAAATTCAAATCTGTAGTAAAGCGTACACCCAAGTCCCTGACCTCAAAGACCCTCTGCAGTGGCCTTCCGGCCATGCAGTATTGGTGATGACTCGGGTTATGAGCTCGGCTAAACGATAACACGGAACATTTGGCAGCGTTGAAAAATAATCGGTTTTCTATACTCCATTCCTCAATTTTAGCTATATCCTGTTGTAGAATGTAATGATCCTCTGTTTGTTTTATTTTTAAAATTAATTTTAGGTCGGCAACAAAAACTAAGATTAAAACCCACTCTAATGTTTGCCTTAGAAATTTTCAACTTTATCACAATGGGTTAAAGTTGATACTAAGCTTTTTAAATAAAATCAGATGGTATTAAGGTAATGTGGATGGATGTAATGTGAATCATGTTGTCTCTAATTCGATCAAAATATAATAAAATATGCTAGTAGATCTTTTTTTATAAATATTGCTTTAATTATTCAAAAATAAGTAAACATGTTACTTTTCTCGAGAATTTTACTAACGTGAAAGAACAGAGGCAGACAGTGCACCTATTTTTAGCCACCAAGTTTAAGTGTGGGAGAGCCATGCTTCGGCACGAATGGGCCGGCTCGACCGGAGCGATACCACTGCCTCATAGAAAACCGATGTAAATAAACGCTTGCGTTATGTTTCGTCGTGTGAGTGAGGTTACCGGAGGCCCAATTATCCTCCCCTTCCCCAATCTCCCCAATCCCTGAATCCCCAACGATCCTCAAACTCCTAATCCCCAAAAGGCCGGTAACGCACTTGTAACGCCTCTGGTGTTCCAGGTGTCCATCAGGTGATCCGTCTGCTCGTTTACCGGCTTATATCATAAAAAAACCATTCATGATTAATTTACAAAATTATTATTTTCAATCTGTCTTATACAACCCAGGTTAACAACGTTCCCTCGGTGGATGAAGAAGACCTGCCTCCCATGCCCTCCACAGCGCATAGAGGAGGCAACAGGCAATGAGTTCTATACATTCTCCTTCTTTGAAGATATACTCCGGGTGGCAGCCATCAATGACATCACGCTACTCATACAGGACACCATCTTCAGACTGACTTCCGATATTTATACTTATATTGTCAAGTATGTTTTGTTTTATTTATTTGTAGAATATGTTGTTTTGGTCGTAGACTTTAACATAACATAACCATCACGCCTTTTATCCCCGAAGGGGTAGGCAGAGGCGCACATTACAGCACTTAATGCCACTATACAATGTACACCCACTTTTTCATTATTTATGTTATGAGTCCCATGTAATAGGGGGTGAGCCTATTGCCATATACCGGGCACATGTCCAGACTCCGTGCTACTATTGACATTTTTAAAAACCCAGTAATACTTTGCCCGATCCGAGAATCGAACCCGAGATCCCTTGCCCGGCAGTCGCACTTGCGACCACTCGGCCAACGAGGCAGTCAGACGTACGTAACACGTAGACTTTAGACGTATGTAACACTAGGTTTTGCCAGTGGCTTTGCCCCCGTGGGCCAAAAAGTGACTATGTGTTGTTCCAGATCATAACCTACTCCTATTCGGAATTTTATCTCGATCACTTTTGCCGTTTTATGAATTAATTTCACGTGAATAAGTAACAAACAATGTAACAAATATTCGCATTTATAATATTAGCTAGATGTAGGTAGACTTTAGGATTACAAATCGTCACAGACTTTAATTTCCAAAGAGAGAGTAATATCTTCTTCTCCTTACCTGTGTACAAAACCTCCATGGGAGGGTTCTCATCTCATATACATGAGATTTGAATGTGTTTACAATTGATCCGTATTAAGACCCACTTAGTTTTTTAGTCAAATTTCCGTGGTGCTTGGCGACTGGGCTTCACCCAGTTGTACAGTCTCTTCTTTGTGCCTTTAGGCTTAATTCATTCTGTCTCCTGCAGTAATTCACCGAGGGAAGTGGAAACTATAGTTTTTTCTTCTTCTCCTCTTATAATATCTTCTGATTCACTTCGTTGCGGGAACTAAGACAGTTACTCATGTCCCTGGGACGCGCCGGACTTCAATGTTCCGGTGTTTTCATGGTTGTATCTACTGTAGATCCTGGCTTACAGGAGTTACAGCGGTTTTGGGAGGTTGCGGCGCGCTTGTCCCTAAAAAAAAATTGGTCCGTATTATTAACCTCTTTTTTCTTCTCCTCTTATAATATCTTCTGATTCACTTCGTTGCGGGAACCAAGACAGTTACTCATGTCCCTGGGACGCGCCGGACTTCAATGTTCCGATGTTTTCATGGTTGTATCTAATGTAAGTCCTGGCTTACAGGAGTTGCAGCGATTTTGGAAGGATAAATATATGATCCTTACTAATATTATAAATCGGAAAGTGAGTTTCTTTGTTTGTTCCGCTTTCACGCTGTAACTACTAAACCGATTGCTTTGAATTTTTGCAGGCGTAAAGTTATAAGTCTGGATTAAATAATAGGGTACTTTTTATCCAGGAAAAATTTGATATTCCCGAGGGAAAACAAAAGTATTGGTATAGATGGCGCTGTGTGTATTGGTATATGTCATATAGGCTACTTTTTATCCTTTTGTGACGCGATCGAAGCCGCGGGTAAAAGCTAGTGATAATATAAGGATATAAAGGGCTAGTCACATAAAAAAAATGATCTGTATATCTTACTAATATTATAAATGCGAAAGTTTGTGAGTTTGTGTTTCAGCGTGTTAGTGTGTATGTTATTGTTACTCAATCATGCCAAAACAGCTGAAGAGATCAGTTTGAAATTTGGAATAGAGATAGAATATGATCTGAAAATAACATACATAATATTCCACATAAGCTTTTTATCCCACGATAATTTGGGCGCAGTCGCGGGCAGCAGCTAGTAATAGATAAACATAATCCCAAATATTTTTAGATGGCACAAGTATGCCCACCTCTGGTCCTACGACAAGCACTTATCATGCGAGAAGTACGTACAGAAATTCGACCAAATATACAAATATGATGAGAAATTCTTCTTTTTCGAAGACATTATTAATGACTTAGATGAACATGTCAAGTTTGTGGACATTGGAGCCATTAGGGTCAACTTGCGACCCGTGATACAACAGGTACAGGACCATGCGCAGGAGTGGAAGAATATACTTGGGGCTTGTATTGCATTGAAGACTAGGACCAGTATGTATGAATTGAAGAATCAAATTGAGGTGAGTTGGAGTTACAAATACTGTCCAAATGATTTGTTGAACATATTCTTCTTGGTACATAATCTCGTGTAAGGGGTTTAGCTTCAGTAATAAGTCACCCTGTATATTGTGTGTCGTCGTCTTCGTCTTAAGAACCATTCGTTTATATAAAAACCTCAATTGTTTTTGTGTTTTTGGTTGCTAAACTTGATGGCAAGCACTCAATCAGTAATGGGTCTGAAGTTTATCGAAGAAGCTATGAAGCTATACTATCCTTTTGAACGCCAGAACAAAAACACATGAACCTGCCCTTAACGCCAAGCCACAAATCCCGCGCAAATTTCTACGAAAGAAATAGGGATTCGAATAAGGAATCAAATTGTTGATTTCTTGTTTTCGGTTCCGTTTATTCTGTCATGTATTTGTGTCGTTGGCGTCCAGAGACAGTTTTCGCTTGTTTCGTATATGGGACATTGCCACTCAAAAGGTTAAGCGCAAAAAGGATCGCTTAAGTAAAAATTAAAACCCCCGAATGCTATATCAAGTAAAGTACCTAACATAAAAAAGGTAAGTTTTACTTATATAACTAACCAAAACGCTATCCTTATCATTCTTCCACTAGAATCTTCGTATGACAGTCAACATGAACATCAAAGGCCTGGAAGACTTCAAGCTGGTGATGGCCACCATCACACTGGTGCAGCAGATGACCATCACCGCAGAATGCAAGTACAAGAACATGCAGGAGATATTCCACATGCTTAGACAACATAACATTGATGTGAGTATGTAGAATATCGTATTGTTGTGTTCCAGAAAACATAAATCATACTGCTACGTCACAAAAAGGAGGAGAATATCTTGTTTAAAAGAATATTTAATTAAATTTCCTATAGATAGTAGTTAAACTTGTCTTTTATTATACTAAGATATTAGATTAAATAATTCTTTTATAAAATGCGTTTAACCTCTTGACTGCTGATGTATAAGGCACAATAGAAAATAGATTGTGTATTGCGTGGATCTGCGTTCCGGCACATGACGGATTATAAAACCCGACTACAACGCTATGTAGAAGTAACGCTATTTGACGTGACCATCCCACAGGTATCCGAAGAAGATCTACTCTTCGCTAAAAATTTAGAATCATCCTGGGGCAGTCTGTACCAAACTACACTATTCCGTGCAGCTACTCTAGAGAAGACTAAAGAAAAGTTCTCCAAGATGAATGTTATAGAGATAGCGAACTTCTTGAGAGAGCTCGACGAGTTCGTGGAGAAATTCGATGCTGAGGGTCCTGGGACCGTTGGAGATGATATGGACAGGGGCTTGTTGCTCATTGAGGTGAGATTATTCTTTTCAGTGAAAAATATTTATATAAATTGTACAACCATTCAAGTTGCATTACAATTGGGTAGTTTCCATGGTATCAATATTAAAAATCTAATTAGTCCGTCAGTTAGAAAATGAAAAAATATTAGACACGTATTTTTTTTATTTTCTCGTATTAAGTGGCAATACTTAGATAAAATGGCGCAAAGTTTAGGAGTGGGAGGTTGTTACGTCATAACGTGTTTCAAAATGTGGCACGCTGTGGCGTCACGCGATATTTTAAATTAATATATCGTCGAAAGTATTTAAATTCATGTACCAGACGGACATTAAAATAAAATTTATGAAACTACTCTATTCTTTAAATGTTTTTATACCACGATCGTGACACAAAAGCACACAGCCCACCTGATGTTTAAGTGGTTACCGTGGCGTATATGAATGCTTGCAAATGGGGCATTACATGCGCTTAGCTGACCCTTAAGAGACCTATTTACTCCCTTCAGAAAAAAAGCCCATACTGTAGCCTCATACACACAAAACATGCGACCATTTCAGTTACATTACATTTGTGTCAAAAATACAACAATTAATATTATTTTACAATTTTATTTTGTGTTGAATTCAATTTTAAGCATGGGAAAACCATGCTTTTGTAAGAATGGGCCGGCTCGACCGCAGTGGATACCACGGTCTAACAGAAAAACTCAAATTAATCTTAAACTAATCCCCAACAGCCCGGTAAAGCAAGTGCGTTACGGGTCATTTGGGGATTACAAGTGTAACGCCTCTGGTGTTCCAGGCGTAACTGTGTGGCGCCGATTGCATTGCAGGCGGTGAACCAAATAATATTTCTATAAACTTATCTCATATTTGTCCACGTATATTCCAAATGTTATTGATATAGATTTTGGGTCGTTACCAACTATGTGGCATAGTTATTAATCCCATACCAGAAGCTTCGAAATTTAAAATACTTATACGGATTCTGGGACTTTCAACTCAATAGTTACGACGGCGAACAAGATAAAAAAGTGATTCCTTGATTACAGGAATACAGCAAATACTTCGATGACTTTGAGAATCGTAAAAAGTTGTTACAAGCTGCTGAACAACTCTTCGACAATCCTTTAGCGGACTTCTCGAACTTCAACCGAGCGAGGACTGACTTCGGTTATATGGAGCAAATATACAAGATATACAAGGCACAGAAATACGCTAGGGAGTTGTGGTCAAAAACTCTATGGACCAATTTGAACCCACAGGCCCTTGTTGATGGTATTGAGCAGTTCTTCAAGGAATTCAGGTGAGGACATTTTGTTTGTGAAGTGTAAATATACTAGCTTCTGCCCGCTACTTCGTGCGCGCAATCCCGTTTTCTCCCGGTCCCGTAGGATTTTCAGGTTTTTTTAACCGACTTCAAAAAAGGAGGAGGTTATACTTCTGTCTTAAGAACATTTTCCTAATAATAACAAATACAACAAAAAAAGAATTAGTGATATCGGTCTAGCCATTCACGCGTGATGCCGTGACAAAGGGAAAAACGGATTAATTTTAATATGTATAGACAAGATTAGTTTTTGTTAAAGTACCAAAGACAATCCGAACAACAATTCTTAATTTTAACAAGTAAAACAATGAATTTATTTCTGCAAATAGGGTACAAGGTAGCACTTTTACATGTCAATTTTATCAAGCGAACGATGAGGCCGGCATTTTCGAACTGAATACTATGAGAAGAAACGTCGCAACAAACAGAGGACCGTGGTTCGTCCCCACTCTGATGATAAGCGCCTATGTTATGTTTTACTCGATCAACGATCCGCTGAAGTTGACCAAAATCTTTAGAAATTGCCATTTCAATGATTTTTTTAATGACAATTTCTACAGATTTGCTCACTTTAACTACGAAATATGTTAATTAATTCATGAACACCTTTCTTTAGAAAACTGCCGAAAATCATTCGTCAGACTCCAAGCGGTCAGATGCTGGACCTGAAGATGAGGCAGTTCAAGGGTGTGGTGCCTTTGATGGTGTCCCTCAAGAACGAAGCCATGCGCGAGAGACATTGGAAGGAACTCATGAAGAAGACTGGTCAGTGGGCTATACTTTAGACGTTTAGGAAGATTTCGTAACGTTTGTATTGAAACTGAAATATCAAAAAGCCAGATTGAGAAAACTTCATATTTTAAAGCAGTTAAACAAAGCGGAGATGCATTCTATTATTGTGTAACATGCATTAGTTATTACAGTTTCTGTTATGTTTTTAACTAAGTAAAATTTCGATCTACTTTTCTAGGCCAGGATTTCGACATGTCCCCGGATCGTTTCACATTGGAAAATATGTTCGCCATGGAGCTGCATAAGTATCAAGAAGTTGCCGAAGAGATTGTCAACCATGCTATCAAAGTAAGTATAGTTTACTAAGACCATACATAACATCACGCCTTTTATCCCCGAAGTGATTGGCAGAGGTGCACATTACGGCACTTAATGCTACTGTACAATGTAATACCCACTTTTCATTATTTATGTTATGCATCGAATTGAATCTGAGATACACATAAAAACATTTCCATATTCAGCAGAAAATTGCTTATAAGTATCGTTATCGATCATCACCTTACTAAACAGATAGAAGATCTTTACAAGTAGACTTTGATTAGACATCAAAAAATAAAGTGCCACGTCTCTGTCTCAAGCGCAGTTAAACGCCCAAAAGAGGGCTTATTACGAGTTTATTCTACGTTTAACAAGGTCGAAACATTACCACGTTCAACGCTCTGATTGGTTGGTTCATCGTAGCAGGCCAATCAGAGTGCCGAACGCGCTAATGTACTACCCTCAGATTTTGTCTGCGGATAGAATGATTTTTCTTTGTTTTCTGAACAAGCTTACACCCGAATACTGTAAAGCTACTCAAATTGTGGTTAAATATCGTGCCGTCTCTGTCATTTTACAATGAATTTGTAGAGACAGCACTATACTTAAGCGCGACTTAAAATTATTTCGCATTTGAGTATTTGAACATTATTCAGTTAATATTATTCACAAGACAAAATACTATTTTTCCTCAGGAATTAGCGATAGAACGAGGCGTGAAAGATATACAAGACACGTGGGCTAGCATAGCATTCACGGTGGCTCGACACTTCAACCGCGGCGAGGACCGAGGGTACACACTGAACCCGTGCGATGAGATCTCTGTCAAGTTGGATGATGATGCCATGACGCTGCAGAGCATGGCGGCTTCACAGTAAGTTGTTGGGGGAAGGGAATTTTTAACAGACTTAAAAAAAGGTTCACAGTTTGACCTGAATGTGTGTGTATGTATGTATGTTTGTGCGCGATTACCTCGCGATTGATTGATTTGATACCGTTTGCAGAAAAGTATTTGTTACACTTAGGAGACGGTTTTAGTGTATATTAACTTCATATTTGATTTTCATGATTATCTCTTAGTGAACAATAATGAAAGGGAGTCATTAATTAGAAAATATAAAATGAATAAATTAGATGTCGGACTATTATTCTATTATTTTTCATCATCAACAGCTTATAAATGCCCAATGCTGAGCAAAGCCTCTTCTCACATGGAGAAGGTTAGAGCATTAATCACCACGCTTGCTCAATACGGGTTGACGATTTCAAACTTATAATTAGAAATTATAAGCCCAGGTTTTCTCACGATGTTTTCCTTCGCCGTTTGTCAGTGGTGTCTAAATAATCTTAGAAAGTACATATAAGTCGGAAAAAATCACATTGGTACTTGCCGTTGGTAGGTTTCGAACCCGCACCCTCGTGCATGAGAAGCAGGCGTCTTCAACCTCCGGGCCACCACGACATAACACGTGTTAAATAAATAAAGAAGGGATCGAGTCAGTCAACACAAGTATTGTATAATAACTGAGACTGCCTCAATATTTTCTTAAGATAATAAACAATTTGAATTTGGACTAGTTCAAAACATTTAAGCAAATTCTGAAACGAAAATTGCAAAAGGGTTGTGTGAACTGGTGAGGGTGACATAACTTTTCTGCGATATAGACTTTGTTAATGATTCCCTTTCATTTACATAGAGTATATTTAATTAGATAAGGTATGATGGGGATGACGTATCCATATGGACAGAAGCCCCCTAAAAACAGTAAAAGAGAAAAAAATCTATAGATTGTATTGTAGGTCCTAGTCCATATTTTATACTTACTGTCGTTTACGCTGAAATACACAAACGCCTCTCAATTTTAAGTATAGTGCTGTTTCTACAAATTCTTTGTAAAATGACAGAGACGGCATGATATTATATAATAGACTTTCAGTATTCGAACGTTAGATTTACTTTATCTTATTACGTGTTCTTCTAGATTCATTGGTCCATTCCTCTCCGTGGTACATACATGGGAGCGACGCTTGTCTCTTATATCAGAAGTTATTGAAGAATGGCTGGCCACACAGCGCAAGTGGCTCTATCTAGAGGGGATCTTTGTCGGCGGTGATATACGCACACAACTGCCTGAGGAAGCGAAGAAGTTCGACGATATTGATCGGTCTTTTAGAAAGGTTAGTAATACTTTAACTTCTTTACACACATGTGTACTTACGTTTCCGTCACATAGGATTAGACAAAAATTTCAATTTTTTACACAATAAATCTATGGAGTCACAAGTACGTTGTGGTCTTTACAATATATACTAAGTAAAATACTTACATCTTATGCTTAAGTTTAATTTAACTCGTCGAGTACCGGTTTTATAGACACAATTAAAGAACAATAGGTCGCGGTCACCGGTGACCGCTTGGTGTTTGACAGATTAAAGCAAAGTAAAATTAAAGTACTTTGGTTTCAAAAATAATCATGCTAATTGATTGTGCATTGAACATTTCAGATCATGTTGGATACGGCTAAGCGGCTGAATGTAGTCGACTGCTGTACTATAAGTGGTAGACTGGAGGAGTTCATTAACCTCGGCATTGGACTGCAGAAGTAAGTTTTGTAACACGATCTCTGAAAGAAATAACACTATTTATAGGTAGATTTCCACCATCTTACTTTTCCTAGAATTGCCCAGTTTGTTTTTTGGGTCGGTACAGTACCTTTTTTATACCACGACTGTGGCAGAAAAGCATACAGTCCACCTCATGGTAAGCGGTTACCGTGGCCTATATACGCCTGCAACACTTGGGGCATTGCGTGCGTCTTGCCGACCCTTAAGAAACCTATTCAGTCCCCTCCTGAAGAACCTCATGTTGTAGCCCACTGGGAAAAAATTTTTTTTTTAATTCTCCCCTGTCAGACATCATCACAAACTTCCTTTTGTTTTATATCAGTCATCATCAGTTTATCTTAAATGCTTTTGAAAATGTTGTTCACAAAAACCTTAATTTTTAGGTGTCAAAAGTCGCTGAATGATTACTTGGACTCCAAACGACGTATATTCCCTCGATTCTTCTTCATATCGACAGACGAGCTGCTGTCTATACTTGGCAGCAGCGAGTGTAGCTGTGTGCAGGAACATATGATCAAAGTAAGTCGTTTGCCAGCACCATGCACACAAGGTAGATAGATGACCTGATTAAATTCGCTGGATTTTCCCCTCAAATACATGGAGCCGGATGCTGGTTGCTTTATTCAGTGGCATGTTGTGACTGTGTGTGATTGTGGCTAACATGATGATGAAGGAGTTGCTTGCAATCTTGACGCCGTGACTAGCAGATTATTTCCTGAGCAACCTGGAATGAAGCGAACGGTCTACGGTTCTGTTAGAAACTTTAAGTCTAATAGTAAAAAGTATATTTAAACAAAGATAGCAAAGTCTTCGCCTCCCAAACCATTCTGATAGCAAAGTCATGCGTAGTAACCTTCATTTCTGCACAAAATAGTAATTTGTCTGATCCACAAGTTGTTGTTTTTGAAAAACAATCAGAAAACATAAAACTGACGATTATCTTATGATCAAATATTCAAACGTGACTCAATTTTAAGACGCTCTCAAGTATAGTTCTGTCTCTACAAATTCTTTATAAAATGACAGAGATAGCACGATATTTAAGTACATCGACATATACTAATGGACATGCCGTACGCGTATAACCTGCAGTAATTTTTGGTTTGAAAAAAAATGAGAGAGATGGATGGCCTATGCTTTCGGTCTAACGATATCTCTTTGTCGCTCATAACGTCTTAACTACGGTACTATTTTGAGAGAGATAAAGATAGACCGAAACTTTGTTTCCTCTCTTTCTTTCGGAGTGCCACAATTCTCATCTCTAAGGCATGTCCATTAGTATATGTCGATATTTAAGTACAATTTAAAATTGAGTAGCCTTTCAGTATTCGGTCATGAATGAGTGAAAACTTTCAGATGTTCGACAATATTCGTTCATTGGAGCTGTACGTTGACCACACTAACCGCCCTGTGGCTGCCAAAATGATATCCGCTGAAGCAGAGGTAAGACACATAACGTAACATCACGCCATTTATCCCCGAAGAGGCAGAGGAGCACATTACGACACTTAATACCACTATACAATGTAACAATATAACACCCACTTATCACTATTTATGTTATAAGTCCCATGTAATAGGAGGTGAGCCTATCGCTATATAACGGGTACAATTCCAGACTCCGAGAGCAGAGGTAAGCATTACTATATAGTTTTCCTTTGTATTTTACATCCATAAAGATGGTCCAAGTCCATTTTAATGTTTAGTTATTTCTATTCTATTTTTTTTTGAACTTGTGTATTTTTATTTTTAGACTTATGTTTAGTTCATGTCACTAGCAAAAACAACTACCGCCTACCACAAAAAAGGACTGCATACCTACTGTTGTAGTTGTGGAATAAATTAATGTAAAAAAAGTTATGTAAAAAAGCTTTCTATTACAACAAACTGTCTTTGTTGTACTAGAAAAAAAAACTATCTTCTAATGATGCCAAAATCAAAGTCAAAGGTCAAAATCACTTATTTCAATTAGACCAGAAAGGCACTTTTGAACGTCAATAATAAAATTAAAAGTGACCCACAGAGTAGTGTTGCCTCCTTAACCAGAGAGAAGGCGTGAAATTTTACATCGAGTATAATAATTGATGAAATAAACATTTTTAATTTAATTTATTTCGTCTTGTAGATAATGGATTTCCGTAATGTGGTATACACAGAGGGCCGCGTGGAAGACTGGATGAACCTCGTGCTGAGAGAGATGATGAACACTAACAGGTTCATCACAAAGAAGGCTATCTTCTACTATGGCAGGAACTGGAAGGTGCCGAGGTAAGAAGATTTTATTTTTATACATTGCTCCATACCATAAAACACAATATACATAGCAAGTACTCCTATACGATATCAGTAAGAAATATTAGTATGTATGTGTACCCACACATACATACACACTGTTTCTAGACACATCACATCCTCGTAAAGGTGTTAAGGTTCCTGACTAAAACTCACCCTGTTCTTATTTCTGATTTAAGCCGTGGCAGAAGTATATGGCGATCTCTAAACCCCTTTCCTCTTATAGGAGTAGGCAGAGACTATGCAACACCAATCGCAACGATTCTTACACACCTCTTTCGCATCATCAATAATCATCATTGTTTTCATGCGTGCTCGTCGGTTTTATCTAATACTTTATATTGGTTCTTTAATGTACACACAGCAATATACATATCTATATTATTAAGTATGTCGGTAAATAACCGTCCACTGTACTGTATCGACTTCTTTCTTTCACCTTAGAACGGAATGGATCCTCCAATACCAAGGCATGGTCTGCCTGGCTGCAAACGGAGTGTGGTGGACTGCGGAGACAGAGGAGACGTTCATACGTATCCGCAAGGGAAACAAGCGCGCTATGAAGGAACATTTAGCACAACAGAACGAACAACTTGATGGATTAGTTGTTAAAGTCAGACAGGGTAAGTTTTTACTTTAAGACTTTGACTGCCAATAAAAAACTGTTGAAGGTAAATCCTCCGCTAACGCCGGTCACCGGTGACCCCCATGGCGTTAAACGTGTTAATAGTACGTTTGTTTTCTTTTGATGAAAAATCAATTAAAAGTATTCTTGAGTTGGTCAGAAAACATCCTTAGCTTCTGGTATCGATCCGAGACTTAAAAAAGGGGTGATCCTTCGAGCAGACTAGGAGATTGTAACCTACTGTCCAGAAGTTATTAACATTGGAATTTTTCTCCATGTTAAGGTCGTGTGTAAACTTTGCTTAAGTTGTAATAGAGTTCTGTTTTGATTGATTAGGTTAAGCAAAAGGACTTCAACCAAAATGGGCTAAGTGTTGAACAACCGTATTGGAAAAAAAGGAATTTATACATAATTTAGTAATAATATTTAGTAAACATAGTCTCTATTCGGGAGTGTCAAAGTAAATAATAATAAAAACGATTAAAAAAGATTGCTGCAACTGCATAGTCGGTCGGAGGACTGTAGGTCGCTGCGCTCATATCATGTCTGTGGTATGGTATTTAAGCTGGGCAACGTATGAAAATGTAACTCCACCTGCTCAGTTTTTAGACCATGTTTTATTAACATATGAAAATGAATAGTTTTACAAATAAAAAGAATATTTTTAAAATATTAAAGTTTTTTGTCTTGTATTATATTAATCAATTTGATACAAAACTTCTAATCTATACGTTTTCTTTGTATTGTAAGCCACCCAATAAAATCTAAAATAGTGCATTTTTTATGTTCATGTTCTAGCCCAAACTTCATACAAAGTGGTTGATGTCCTTTATTATTAGCTTTATCTTTGAACTAGTCTTTAAAATATGTTGTCGCCACAAACAAAGATATGAGTTAACCCGTTATCTTCCAGACCTGTCGTCAAACGACCGGCTCAAATTCCGTACAATCACGACAATAGACGTGCACGCGCGTGACATCATCGAAGGGTTTGTGCGTGACAACGTGACGGACGCCAGTGAGTTCGAGTGGGAGAGCCAGCTCAGGTTCTACTGGCTGAAGAAGAATGATGGTCTGTGGATTAAGCAGTGCACTGGTAAGTTCATATTTGTTGATGAAGAGACGAAATTGTATATTATCATGATGTCTATTTTGATAATGCTTGTTGACTATATCGTTGGTCGAATCACAAGCACGATTCAGACCACGCTTTCAAATTCGACTCTAAACTACATCTAGAACTTGAAAACGAAGTTTTCAGTGAGTAGGAATAATATTTATTCAAGAAAATTGAACCTAAAGTCCTTCACGACATTAAAGGACTACGCAGTTTTGGTTGATATTACTCGACTATAAAGCAATCAACTTTTGCACAAACTCACAGTAATATAATGATCAAATAATTTAAAAGTAATGTATTTTTATCCACAGGTGTCTTCGAGTACGGTTACGAGTACATGGGTCTGAATGGTCGGCTGGTGATCACGCCACTGACCGATCGAATCTACCTCACCATTACACAGGCTTTAACCATGCAATTAGGGGGAGCACCTGCAGGTAATCTGTACATGACATCACGCCTTTTATCCCCGAAGGGATAGGCAGAGGTGCACATTATGCCACTGTACAATGTAACACCCCCTTTTCACTATTTATGTTATGAGTCCCTTGTAGCAGGGGGTGAGCCTATTGCCATATACCGGACATTTCCAGACTCCATGCTACTACTGAGAATTTTTAAAAAACCCATTAACATGTTCACCACTTATATCAACATCATCATCATCATCATAAGCCCGTATTCGTTCACTGCTAGACATAGGCTTCTAGCTCCACTTAATATAACAAACAAAATAATGGAGATGTATCATTAAAAAATATTGTTTCCCCTTATGGTGAAAGAAAAACAGAATGGAAGAGACATAATAAGCATTTAGTTGATATTTATTTGGCTAAGTAATATTTATTCTGCCACCATTAATATGGTTCTGGAATAAATATCTAAGTAAACTACGAGTCTCTTCTACAAGAGAACGCTTGCTACAAGGTTTTACACAAATGTTTACGCTTAGTACGCTGTTTAAACCGCAGTATAGAAAGTTCAGGTATATCTTTCTTTTTTTATGGCATAAGCCGGTAAACGAGCAGACGGCACCAGCACCTGATGGTAAGCAATCGGCGTCGCCCATGGACACCTGGAACACCAGAGGCGTCACAAGTGCGTTACCGGCCTTTTGGGGATTAGGAGTTTGAGGATCGTTGAGGATTCAGGGATTGGGGAAGAGAAGAGTAATTGGGCCTCCGGTAACCTAACTCACACGACGAAACACAACGCAAGCGTGGCTTCACGTCGGTTTTCTGTGAGGCCGTAGTATCACTCCGGTCGAGCCGACCCATTCGTGCCGAAACATGGCTCTCCCACACTTAAAAAATCTGTAACAAATGTATTATTCTATGTTATCACCACATCGAATCTACCTTACTAAGCAGCATTTTTCTCACAAAAACGTTTCTCACCTAGGTCCCGCGGGTACGGGCAAGACAGAAACAACGAAAGACCTAGCGAAAGCCCTGGGTCTACTATGTGTGGTGACTAACTGTGGGGAAGGAATGGACTTCCGCGCAGTAGGACAGATCCTCGCCGGTCTGTGCCAGTGCGGGGCGTGGGGATGCTTCGATGAATTCAATAGAATAGATATTTCTGTGCTTAGTGTCATATCCTCCCAGTTGCAATGTATTAGAAGCGCGCTGTTAATGAAGCTCAAGAGGTTTACTGTGAGTTTTTAATATTTTCAATGTTTGGGTTTTTAGTAACATTTGTAGCAAAACTATATTTTCAAATTGTAAGCCAGTTGTATTTGTTGCCAACACAAATTAGTCTGCTTAAATTACTTTATAGATCAATAAATTGGACTTCAAAACCTAAATCGCATCAGCATTCATGTCAATTCTTCTTAGTCTCAAATCTTATGGTGCGTCCACACCTGACCAATGCTCTTGTTAGCATCACACGTACATACACCACGCGTATATGGACGTACCTTCAGATTTGGTCGCCATGAGGCTCAACTTAAAATTGATTGTTTTATTTATTATACTATCTATTTTATTCTTCTCCAGTTTGAAGGTCAAGAAATAGCAATGGACAGTAAAGTAGGTATCTTCATTACAATGAACCCTGGGTACGCTGGTCGGACGGAGTTGCCGGAGTCTGTGAAAGCATTGTTCAGGCCTGTCGTATGCATCCTGCCTGACCTGGAGCTCATCTGTCAGATCTCACTGTTCTCTGATGGATTTCTTACTGCTAAGGTGAGGTTTAATTTTATAGTTTTAAATGTCGTCCTGTAAAAGTTTCGTTTTTATTCTTCAAAAGCCAATGTCTATTATAAAAGTACATACCTTGACCTATACAAACCAATCGCAGAGAAAAATACACCTTACCTTAAAAAACTTATGAGCGTTTTTACCAAACACCCATAAATCTTATCTTAACTAAGAATTACTTAATGTGAAAGAGCACCTAACCCATTACCTGTATCTACTATTGGGTGTCCTAACACGTTGGTCGGTGAAAGCCGAAGTCTCTGAATCTCACTTATCTTAGGGAATCCTTTAAAATTAGAGGAGGTTGTTGAAACCTTAAAGTCTATATTCCCCAACAGGTGCTAGCAAAGAAGATGACAGTACTATACCACGTCGCCCAGCAACAACTGTCCAAGCAGTCGCATTACGACTGGGGACTGCGTGCTCTCACTGCAGTGCTACGTATGGCGGGGAAACTACGCAGGGACTCACCCGGACTTAGTGAGATCATGGTGCTTATGAGGGCACTCAGGTAAAGACAAGTACAGGATCAATGTTTTTATAATGAACTGTTATAGTGTTGGGTTCTGAATAAAAAGGTCCAACTTGCATTAATTAAGGTTAATAAAAATAGTTCAAAATCAATAATTAACGTGCTAAACTGATTACGTGAAATGTCACTGGCAATGTTACTAAATGAGAGAATCACTGGATGAGGAAACGACTGGTTAGGTCGGATTACGAATTAGGTCACAACACTTGGTATACACACATTCTTAAAGTGCATACAATCTATAACAGCGCTATTCTACATATCAAGCCTTTTCTTTTGATTTCCGCAATGGAGGTACCAATGTAATAAAATTGTAAACGTTATAGTAAGTCTGAAGATGTGAAATAGTAATTGTGAAAAAAATGAAAAAAATAGTGAAAAGTGGGTGTTACATTGTACAGTGGTATAGTGTGCACCTCTGCCTACCCCTTCGAGGATAAAAGGCGTGATGTTATGATGATGATGATGATAGATTATAATATAGTAATACATCGATCTTCACCGAGCTATTTCATGTGTATAAAAACTATTCGACAGGTATATTAGTTCATTTAAAATTATAAAAAAATTGATTGCCTGGTGAAATCTTGAACAGACCAGTATGGCCCTTTTTTTTAAAGTGGAATTATCTATCTATTATGACTTCTCCCTCCTTGGGTTAGGCGAGAGGTGACACTTCCTCTCGCCTCTTACTGACTAAAATCCACCCCGTTCCTACTCCTACTCTTCGAGCCGGAGCCCGGGCAACCCGTTAGGCCTTCTCCGGCTCCGTATCGAGCATCCGCCTTACTGGGCCCCATCTGTGGTTAATGTTTAAGTTCTGTAAATATGTTTTGTTACAGTTTTTTGTTTATTTTGTATTTATTTGCTCTTTACTCTGTAACTGTTACGCACTGTATCCTTTTCTTTCAGGGACATGAACAATCCAAAGTTCGTGTTTGAAGACGTGCCGTTGTTCCTGGGTCTGATCAAGGATCTATTCCCTGGACTAGAGTGTCCACGCGTGGGTTACCCAGACTTCAACGCTGCGGTCAATGAAGTACTGGAGAAGGATGGCTATATCGTGCTACCTCATCAGGTTAGTCACAATAAAAAAGCATTTGAATACTCTCAGTTCCCATTCTTAGGTGATATGGAACTAGTAAGGCTTTCAACGGTGTTTAGGTCTTTGATCCATAAATATCGACTCCAAAGACGAAGATGTCGAGTACTTTTCTTGAGGGACAAGGCCCCAGTAATTATGATGAAGTTTTGCAAAATAACTGTTGGCTGCCTACTAAACTTACTGTACTTGTAATGCACTAGTTTCTCCCGCTGCTGGGCTCCTATTGGTCATAGCGTGATTTTTTTATAGCCTTATAACCTTCCACGATAAATGCACTATACAACACAAAAAGAAATACTCAAATCTGATCAGTAATTCTGGAGATTCGCAGGTTCAAATAAACTTTATATAATAGCTGAAGGGTACATATTTTAATGACCTATTCCCTCAGGTTGACAAAGTGGTACAGTTATACGAGACGATGATGACTCGCCACTGTACGATGCTGGTTGGTCCCACCGGCGGTGGGAAGACCGTCATATTGCATACTATCGTCAAGGCACAGACTCTACTGGGACTGCCTACTAAACTTACTGTGCTCAATCCTAAGGTAAGACATAATGATAAACACAATTAAAACATTTTGCTTAAAACCTCGTGTTATATATTTTCAATATATAATGCAATAATAATTATCGTGTGAATTAAACAAACTAGTCAATAACACACTCTTATGAATATTTTATAAAGAAAAACATAAATAGGTTTCCCTACTAGAAGTGGCCTTGCCACAGATAACATAAACATATTAAACATATATAATACCTCGTAACTCATCTTGGCCAACCACAAAGTTATTTGGTATAGATACGGCTATGAAAATATGAACTAGCTTCTGCCATCGGTTTCGCCCGCGTTCTCGTGGGATGAAAAGAGGTCTATGAGTTATTACAAACCATAATCCTCCCCTGTTCCAAATTTCATTCCGATCCCTTCAGCCTTTTTAACGTGAAAGAGTAACAAACACACACACACACACACACATACATTTACACAAACTTTCACAGTTATAGTAGTAAGATTCACTGCAAATACAGTAACCAAAGGTTGGCTAGTGGCTTCTGAACCGACCAATAGCTACAAAAGATATTATGGCCTCATTAAAAAGCATGTATAATTTAGTATAACAAGAGTTACTATCTTTGTTGTCTGTTGTCGTGGTGGTTGGGCAACCGGCTGCCGCGCAACGTATCGCGGGTTTGATTCCCATTCCAGTACGGAACACCTCTTTGTGTGATCCACAGATTGTTGTTCCCGGTCTGGGTGTCATGTGTATATGAACTTGTATGTTTGAAAACGCACCCACGACACAGGAAAAAATCCTAGTGTGGTGCAACCTTATTTTTTTAAATAAAAAGTAATGTATTAGACAAATGTTTGTTTTTTTTATCTGCATACCAAATATTATTTTTTTTACTTAATTTTTAACTTAATAAAAGATACGTTAACAAATATTTCTTCCTACAGGCGTGTTCTGTAATAGAACTCTATGGAATTCTGGATCCTGTTACTAGAGACTGGACTGACGGTTTATATTCGAAAATATTCCGAGAAATGAACAGGTACTTATAACATGATCTTACATACATAATTCACTATCAAAAACTTCTTATGTCAATTAAAACTCATCTATATCTTAGTTAAGACAGAGTTAATAATATTTTTTCAAGATTCAGTAGGGGGAGCAGGAGTAATTGGACCTCCGGTAACCCACACGACGAAATAGAACAAGTGTAGTTTCACGTCGGTATTCTGAGAGGCCGTGGTATCACTCCGGTCGAGCCAGCCCATTCGTGCCGAAGCATGGCTCTCCCACACTTAAAAAGAATTAATAAAATAGTGCTTTATTTTCTTTATGACCTTACTAGCTTTTACTGCTGTCTGCAAAATTTCAAAGCAATCGGTCTAGTAGTTACGGCGTGAAGGCGGAACAAACAAACAAACAAACAAACTCACTTTCCGATTTATAATATAAGTAAGGATATGCCGAAGACGGATTGCTCACAAGAAATTAGTCTAAAAGGTTGCCTAGCCTTTGTAATCAAGCGTAACGAACAATCACTCATACCTCATCTTCTTCACCATATATCTACCAGGCCAGCAGAAAAAGACGAACGCCGCTACTCTCTATTCGACGGTGACGTAGACGCCCTATGGATTGAGAACATGAACTCCGTAATGGATGACAATAAGCTGCTGACCCTAGCCAATGGGGAGAGGATCCGATTAGCTCCATATTGCTCACTGCTATTTGAAGTAGGAGACCTAAACTACGCCTCTCCTGCTACCGTGTCGAGAGCCGGCATGGTGTTCGTGGATCCTAAGAATTTGGGATATCAGCCTTATTGGGACAGGTCAGTGGTTTAGCTCTAATTAATAAGTGTTGTTTACGGATTTAGTGACTTATGCCCGAATACTGAAATGTTACTCAATTTTAAGTCACGCTTAAGTATAGTTCTGTCACCACTAATTCTTTGTGAAATGACAGAGATGGCACGATATTTATGCACGACTTAAAATTGAGTAACGTTTCAATATTCCGGCATTAGGGTCCATTCATTAATCGCACAAGGCTCAAATAGGAGGGTTCGATAAAAAATCACGAAACGTCTGGAGGAGGTGGAATAAAATGACACATATATTTATTTATTTTGGTCAAACGCAGTATTTTTAAACCTGAAAACGGGGTGTAGTATGAGTTTATTAGTCTAAAACCTCACCACATATCACCAAGGGATAGATAAAAGGCCAAAAATCCCTCACGTGATTATTTATTTCTGTATCATTATCAATTGTGTCCGGTCCTTATAAATATGTAAGTATTTACTTGTCTAATAAAATATACTAAAAATCGAGCATATACAGATGGCTACGTGGTCGCAACAACGAGGAGGAGCGTGAACAGTTGGACGGTATGTTCGACCACTACGTGACGGGTGCCATCAACTACATCATCTTCGGCATGTTCGGGCTGCAGCAACAGACTCCACTCAAGACCATCGTACCACAGACACCACTTAACCTGGTCAGTACTTGCGTTCTTTTTTTCTTTTTTTCACAACAGCGACAATACGGTATTTGACAACTAGTTAAATTCAATACTGTTTTCTATGAGTTTTGTACGAGATTGTGAATTGTGACGTCACTTTTATTTAGCGTCAAACAGCATACCTACTTATTGTTTAAAAATTTGCTGAAAATATACTAAAATTAAGTTGGTCATAAAATCAATTAATGAAAGTGATTATTTTTTAATATTTTATTGTATTGAACTGAACAGTCGAAATAATGTGTTTTTGATTAAGTTAATTACCAAATTACCTTTTCGATTCACTACACTTTACATTGCAAGATAGCATAACTGATGGTTAAATATGTGCAGGTGGTGCAATTATGCTACATGATCAGCGGCCTGCTGCCGAACAGAGAGGACGCTAATGAAGAGATTGATAGAACTGTCGTCGAATGCGTGTTCATGGTGGTAAGTTATTTAATTGAAAACCAACTTAATATGGATCATACCTTTTCATTTTCGAGAGTGTACATAGAAGTGTGTAGTGTAGCTACCCACTTTTCAATAAAGCACTGTACTTTTGCAAAAAATATTTATTGTAATTCTATTTAGCGTCTTACAGGTATCATGCCTTTTCATTCTCGAGAATGTACATAGAAGTGTATAGAGTATGTAGTGTAGCTACCCACTTTTCAATAAAGCACTGTACTATTGCAAAAAATATCAGTTACGTAAGTAAGATGTAACTGTTTGAAACGAAATAATTCAAATTACTTAACCGACTTCAAAAAAGAAGGAGGTTCTCAGTTTGACATGTATTTTTGTGCGCGCTTATCTGAATCGCGATTGGCTGAACCGATTTTGATGCGATATTCAGAAAAGTGTTTATTGCACTTCGGAGACGGTTTTAGATTAGTAATTAAACGGTTTCAAAAAAAAAAATAAGGGTTAGGTCAGTTTCAAAATGTCGTAATAAAAATTTATTACTATTAGGCTTCTTAGGTACTTCACTCAGCCCTAGGATCGTACCAGATACTTGTTACTCAGTGCGCACGCGGCCATCCGAACAACGAGGAGATAACAGTAGCTAATATTTTATTAAATAACTGATATAACATTAGATACTAAATATTCTACTATCAGATAATTTAGAGCACATGTTTTATTACATAAGATGTTCAAGGTAACGCATATCAATAGTACGTGCTTATAGTATTTGAAATTAATAAATATTGTTCTGTTTCTAACTCGGTGACGGATTTCAAAGAGTGAATGTATCGGGGGCGTAGCTCAGATGGTAGAGCGCTCGCTTAGCATGCGAGAGGTACCGGGATCGATACCCGGCGCCTCCAAATTTTATTTTGTTTTAATTCTTCAAGGAAAAGTGAATGTATTTCTATTGAAACATTGTTTAAGTGCACAATAAATGGCTTGTTTTGCTGACTGTACACATCGGGGGCGTAGCTCAGATGGTAGAGCGCTCGCTTAGCATGCGAGAGGTACCGGGATCGATACCCGGCGCCTCCAACTATTTTCTTTTTTTCATTTTATTTCACTTAGAACATAAATATAATACAAAGTTAAACTACATTTGGACACTAAGTAGGTCCAAATAGTGTTGCTATCTTTTTGCTATCATTCAGAACTGTTACTTAGAGTACATGTCACAATATCTGGAATGCCGCTATGTACCAGAAAATTTGAATTAAGAACGTAATTTGGATGGACCATCTGTCACGTAAGGTTGTCGAGTACTCACATGAAGGTGGTGTAACAGGCCCTAAATAGAGTAAAGGGTGAAAAAACGGACGTAACCATAAAGGAGGAATTGTCGCGTATAGATTCATCGCTAGAATCCCCCCCACCCGAATAGACCGCTATTGAGAACTAATCGGGTACTTGCCAACTAGTCAAAATTAATACTTTTTTCGAACTGTCAAAAACGACAGTTTTGTATGAATATTTTTGTACGATATTGTGTATTGTGACGTCACTTTTTTTTTGCGCCAAACAGCTTATTCATTTTTAAAAATTCCCGAAAAAAAAACTGAAATTAAGTTGGTCCTAAATTTAAATAAATAACTTTTCAAAATTGTTAATATTTTACTGTATACTGGAAAGTAACAATTGTTATCCAATTGAAAATGAGCTAGCATTAAACCATTGGACAGTCATTGCAAGCTATTAATAGTGATTGGACGAATAGAACCTCGTGCCCTTAGCCCTCGTTGACAAAATATAATTCTAAACTACCCTTAGGTCTGTCAACAAATAATATTTTGTTATTGTTCCAGTCAATGTACAACAGTCTTGGGGCCACTATAATAGACGATGGCCGATTCGATTTCGATGTTTATATCAAGAAAGCGTGCCCAATGATGCTCGTAGAAGACACACTGGAAAAGAAAGCTACAACAAGTAATAAAAACTTTACTAATTAATTTTATTAAAAGTATTTTAAAGTAATTAATATGGAAAAAAGCAAAAAGTCAACGTCACGCGGTGTTCCCAGGCGGTCACCCATCCAAGTACTGACCGCGCCCGATGTTGCTTAACTTCGGTGATCGGACGAGAACCGGTGTGTTCAACATGGTATGGACGTTGACAGTTAACGTCTTCGAAATTGGATACACAATCATAACAGCATGTGTAGCATTTTTTTTATTAGAACTACATAATATGTCAGAATAGAGGGTTTAACAAATGGCTAACATTCGTTTTGTCTTCGTAGTAATAAAGTAACAAAGTCGATAGACAATTTATTTATTTATTTATATATACTTTATTGCACACACAGAAAAAAAATTATAAACATTGCAACAGTAATTAAAGTACAATGGGCGGTCTTATCACACGCGGCGATTTCTTCCAGACAACCTTTGGATGGAATTTTAGAAAAGAATCTGGGAATGGGTGGTAGATGCACAATAAAAATAAATCAAAATAGAAGGAAAGCAATAAAAAAAAACAAATTAAACAATCAATGAAACTTACAGACTACATATAATACATAAAAGATAAAAATGGCAATACTATTTAATAAATATATACTTAAATGTAAAATGATAACTATATATAGTTGCGTGTATGTGTGTGTGTGTGTGTGTGGTGTGTGTGTGTGTGTGTATATGTGATGTGTTTATCCATAATGAAAGGACAAAAGCATAACTACAGTGACAGGTAGTGTTCCTTCACACGTCCTTTAAACTGACCCAGAGTTTGAGCACGTCGCACTTCCACCGGCAGCGCATTCCACAACCGAGCCGCTTGAATTGTGAAGGACTTGTCATAAAAGCAAGTGGAGTGCTTACAAATGCTGAGCTTAAGATTTTCCGATGATCTCAGGAACTTCGAATGTGTGACACCCAGGAACTGAAAACGTTCCTTTAAATAGAAAGGGGCAGCAGGATTAAAAAGTACATTAAATAGTAACGAAAGGATATGAGCGTTCCGGCGAAGGCGGATAGGCAGCCATTTGAGCTTACTACGAAATTCAGAAACATGATCATACTTGCGCAAACCAAATATAAATCTGATAGAAAGGTTTTGAAGGCGCTCAAGCTTGTCCAATTGTTCTTGGGTGATATCTAGATAGCTGACATCAGCATAGTCGAGTATTGGTAGAAGAAGAGACTGTGCAAGTGCAATTTTGGTTTTAGTGGGTAAGAAATTACGAAGACGCCTTAAGGAGCCCGCTGAAGCAAACAACTTTCGACTGACCACCTGCAATTGTTTATTCCAGGAGAGGTTACTGTCGATGTAAATCCCCAGGTTCTTAACATCGCGGGAGAAAGGAATTTTCGTATTTAGAAAAGAAACTTGGGGAAGACTTGTCCAATTCATTTTGGAGACGATACGCGCACTACCGATGATAGTCACCTGCGTTTTTGATGGATTTACCAGCAAACCAAATTTGGAACTCCAATCACCTATTCGTGCCATATCGTTGTTAATTAATGTAATGGCGCCTGGTAAATCTTCAAGAGAGGCCTGGGTGTAGATCTGAAGATCATCTGCGTAAAGGTGGTAGGAAGAAGATAGACCTTGAGAAATAGAATTAATGAATAATGTGAAGAGAAGAGGAGATAAAACGCCACCCTGAGGTACGCCGGCAGCAGTGGAACACCATGAAGACCTAGAATCCTCAAGGTAAACACGCTGACGGCGGCCGAACAGGTAACTATGAAACCAGTCAATTACCGACGGGGACATGCCAAAGGAGCTGAGCACGCCAAGCAGTAAGTCAAAGTCAACGGTGTTAAAAGCGTTACTGAAATCTAGGAGTACAAGGACCGTTAACTTTCCTAACTCCATGCCTGATCGGATGTCGTCTGTGATATTAACAAGAGCCGTTGTAGTACTGTGCCCTGGCCGAAACCCAGATTGGAAGGGACTTAGGAGGCTATGCTGGGATAGGAACCTGCTGATTTGTTGGTAGACCAGCTTCTCTAGGATTTTGGATAAAAATGGGAGGATGGATATGGGACGAAAATCAGTAAAGGAAGTGGGATTGGATTTCATCATCATCATTATTATAACATAATTATTATAAAAAAATATGAAACCAAGACTTGGTCAACTTATTCTTAGATAAACCAATAAATACTTATATATATACTGAGTAGAAGTTTTCTCAGTATATACTGAGAAAAGCTCTATTAGTTTCAAACCACAGAGGGGTTCTTCCTCATGAGCAGCGTGCGCGCTCGCAGCAATGTGGAAGAACGCTCATGACGCTCAGTACATTCACGTGTGTAACCCGCGATTTCAGTTAATTTAGTGTGTTTTAATATGCTTCATGCACAAAATGTACAAAAAGGTGGACTTAATGCCGCAGGCATTTTCTACCAGTCTGACCTTTGGGTGATGCAGAGAAGAGTAATTGGTAGGTGCAAGAGGCAAGCAGTGATTTTATTTAACAATGAAAGATAAACTAATATATTTCGGAGATATACATACATAAATAAATTTAATTATAATATTTACCTACACATGAGTACAATATGCCTACATATATACATACATACATAATATATAAATATATACTTGCTTACTAGTCTCACGATAGTTATTATAAAAATTCATCATCCCCATTCACACTACTTCTACTATTACAATTTTCACAGAACACTTTCCAATGGGCTTTCCATCTCTATACGACTATTGTCTGGAACTTACCACCAAGACCTGGGAAGCGTGGGAGTGGCTGGTACCAGAATATGTCCACGACAGAGAGATGAAGTTCCCAGCTATACTGGTGCCCACTGTAGACACACTGCGACTGACTTGGCTCATCAAGATCATGGAAGGCGTAAGTTTATTGTATACCTTATGTAGTAGATGTTAAGGTCTATTTTGTATAAGAAATTGTGCAGGATAGAAAAATTAAGTTTCCAACTATCATGGAGGGCGTGGTAATCAATGTACCGTATGCAGTAAATATTTAGGTCTATTTTGGATAGTGTCAGTTTTTGCGAAGAAATATAAAGTTCCCAGCAATACTAATGCCTACGATAGACACTCCATGTCTTACCTGACGCATTAAGATCATGGAAAGCGTAAGTTGTAGAATGAACCTTATGTAATAGATATTTTGACTGCACGGTTGGCGCGGTGGTTGGGCAACTGACTGCCGCGCAACGTGTCGCGGGTTCGATTCTCGCACGGAACAACTCTTTGTGTGATTCACAGATTGTTGTTTCGGGTCTGGGTGTAATGTGTTTGTAAATGCACCCACGACACAGGAGAAAATCCTAATGTGGGGCAACGATTTAAAAAATTGGGTATATTTCCCGAAGCAAAATGTTAAAGAATGGTACTGAAGTATGTGCATGACAGTTAGAATAAACATGACATACCTAAATCATCGCCTAAATTTGTTCATACATAAGTAGTCTCTAAGCATTGGAAATAAGGTCTATAATGTAGGTAGTGGAGAGCGGTTACCGGTGACCGCTTGGGGATCTATGGGTACTATGCCAGGATCTTCAGTAAATCCACCATTAACCCATTGTGTGTCTAAACGTGGATACACGCGAGACGCAATGTAGTTTCTATTGTGTCTTAGCGATTAAACCTGTGAATATTATCATCTACTAAAAAAAATATCTGTTATCTTGTAAATTTAATCTGTATTGTTCTTAATAGGTCGAACGCCCCGTCTTACTGGTTGGTGAAACTGGGACATCGAAAACTGCCATAGTCACCAATTTCTTACGCGGATTACCGCCTGAGAAATATGTAAGTACATTACTATTACTACATTGGATATTAGTCTTTAATTTCGATATGATAGTTGTCAACGTCCATACCATGTTGAACACACCGGTTCTCGTCCGATCACCGAAGTTAAGCAACATCGGGCGCGGTCAGTACTTGGATGGGTGACCGCCTGGGAACACCGCGTGACGTTGACTTTTTGCTTTTTTCTACAACACTATGTCCAATGTTCAAAAATACTGGGCATTCACTTAAATTATGTTCAAATGAAACCTAAATCAATAATTTTATTTACCACGGTTCATAAACACACGCATTGCGGAATGGAAAATTAAAATCATACTCTGCGCAATTGCGCATACATATTCACGCGCAAATATGCGTTCAATATTAATTTGCAAGTGAATACAACCAACTACCCACATTTGTTTATATTTTATTTTTGTAGACCACATAATACATAATTATCACTTCACATCACTTTTTACTTGTTAATGTATCTATTGCCATGCACTGGGTATTATTCCAAACTCCATGATAATAGGTACTGATAATCCCCATAATAACCCAAAACAATAATCAAACCTCAGCAGGCGCACTTGCGACAACAAACTACACACACCTATCATGCAATGAGCCATAGGAGATAAAACAATATTATCCGCTAACAGCATTTAAAACAATGTCAGTTCCGTATTATGCCTAATAGACAGTGATTGCGAAAGCTCACTCAGCTATTTTAAAACCATGTCACACGCACCGAGGTTGTCTTACGAAAATAAAACTGGTCCTTTCCTTTCATTCGTGAGTGTGATTCGCTATTTGAACCACTGTATTCGTCGGGGGCGTAGCTCAGATGGTAGAGCGCTCGCTTAGCATGCGAGAGGTACCGGGATCGATACCCGGCGCCTCCAATTTCCTCTTTTTGTGAATTATTCTTTTTTGTTTTGAATAATAATTGCTTTTTTTTCATTTCTTTTCATTTTTCGGGTTTGTTTATTTACGAGTTTAATGTTACTTTTTGTTTTGTTCTATTTTAATGAAAATATTTTACTATTCTCTGTCATGACTGCCTCGTTGGCCGAGTGGTCGCAAGTGCGTCTGCCGGGCAGGGGGTCTCGCTCGATTCCCAGGTCGGGCAGATTATTACAGGGTTTTTTCAAAATTCTCACAGAGTCTGGGATTGTGCCCGGTATATGGCAATAGGCTCACCCAATTACATGGGACTCATAACATAAATATACATTGTACAGTGGTATAATGTACACCTCTGCGTATCCCTTCGGGGATAAATATGATGTTATGTTGTATTTTACATGTAAATGGTTCATAAAAGCTTCTTTTACATTTATGTATATGCATTTCAAGTAAACTTGTTAAGTTGCCTATATGTAGTAGTTTGCCTATTTAAATTTAATATAAGTATGTATTACATTCATACAGTACCTACGTACTGTCACGCCGTCTTCCCATTGCGGTAGGTAGAGTCAAAAAATTTTTTTTAATATCCTTCTGGTAGATTATATTAAAACTTTAGCCACATATTTTTTTTTTCTTACAAAATTAAATTCTTTCGACGATACATTGATTTGTTGTGTGACGTCACGAGATACTACGATTTATAGGAACGTGTGACGTGACGACCTTCCACTTCTAAATTCAAATCTGTTTTATATGAGTCTTGGTTTCTTGTATAACAAAATAAAAAAAATACGTGTCTTATATTTTTTTTATTATCTACCTCGTCAGTTACGGACTAACCGTCGACGACATTTTTAATTTCCATATCCTGTCATTTATTATCATCACCATCATCATATTTATTTATTTTATATTTTATTGCAATAACAGCAAAAATAGTTTATCTACATTGTTATAGTAATTTGCGTACAATGGGCTTATCACACGCGGCGATTTCTTCCAGACAATCTTAGGATGGAATTTTTGAAAAAGAATTTGGGAACGGGTAAAATAATGTAATAGTAAAAAAAAACAAAACAAAAATCCAATATCATATTAGCTACAAGACCTCCACTATTGAACATAGGCCTTCCCCATTGACAAATGAATTCTGGCATTAAACCTATACAAACAGTGTATACATATATCTATACAAACAGTGCAATCAGCGCTACTATGTACCTATTTCAATTACTGCTATTGTTTTCTTTCAATTTGGTTGCAATCAGACCGGCTTTTGTTTATTTTATTTAGTCAAATGTTCAGTATTACCTACAGTCAAATTGTTAGCTATTGTTTAGTGATTTGTCGTTATAATATTTTTATTTATTTGAGTACCTACCCTGAGTTTTAAACGCTGTCTGTATACGGATAATTAGCATGCGTGCATGTTTGAAATATGTTTTAAAATGAATAGACTGTTTATGATAGATATTGAAGAAGAAATATGTTGTTAAGATAAAAATACATATTTTTTTTTGAATATGTAACAACTCGTTTGTTTCCTAAAAGATATACAAATAATATAAAAGATATATAATGATATATAGACACATTTTGCTCTATAATTGATAGCATAATTATAGTAGATAGTAGTCTTTAATTATGACTTTATTTTCGTCAACGTCCATACCATGTTGAACACACCGGTTCTCGTCTGATCACCGAAGTTAAGCAACATCGGGCGCGGTCAGTACTTGGATGGGTGACCGCCTGGGAACACCGCGTGACGTTGACTTTTTGCTGTTTATTTGCTTATCTTCTTTATAGATAGCCTAAGTACACTTCCAACACCAGATGTATCACGAATGCGTTGCAAACCATATAGAAAAAAAATACTTTTTGCGCTATGATACCCTGGAAAGGGGATTTCCTGAAAATGTACCCTTAATTAAAGAGACTTATGGTCGTTTTTACCATCATCATCAGTCACATGACGTCCACTGCTGAACGATTTGAAGCGTCCTGCATCCTACTACCTTAGTCAACTTTTCATCATTTCATCGACCCCTTAAGCTAAGATACTCAATATACATAGGTGATACTTACGACAATTTGGTAACCTATAAGTGACACCTTTTTTTTTAAGGGGGGAAAATCATCGAATGTCTGCTCCCGCCTGGGTGAGGCGGAAGGGAGTGTCAGACTCTTACTGACTACAAACCACCCCGTTCCTTCTCCTGCACGTCGAGCTGGAGCCCCGGTTACCCGTTAGGTTCTCCGCGACATAAGTGACACCTAACTGTACAGTTAGGGTATTATAGGTGCTCTTAGCGCTAAGGAACTCTTATTTAAGAGACGGTTTAGGGATTGGTGGTGAAAACAGTCATTAAACATTTTCTAATATACTTTTAATATTCACAGTTGGTCCAACAAATGAACTTCTCATCGCGAACATCATCGATGGATGTACAGCGCAACTTGGAGTCGGTGGTGGAGAAGCGAACTAAGGACACCTTCGGCCCACCAGTGGGGAAGAAGATGCTGGTTTTCATTGATGATATGAATATGCCTATTGTAAGTAGTGTGTTGGAAAATATTTATTATACCTAAGTTTTACGTTATGGCTACGTTTAAGTTTACGTTACATAGTGTTTGGGCTGCGCAACGTGTCTGGCTGCAGATCTGATTGGAAACCTATAGTTTAGAGATTTAACGTTTTGCCTTCCATTTTTATGGACCGCTAAATTGCTTAGATACTTCGGAGGAATGTGCTTTATTATCATAAATACACTTATGATACGCAAAAGAAAATTATGACAGCTCTTGACAAAATTATGGTTGGAGGCGCCGGGTATCGATCCCGGTACCTCTCGCATGCTAAGCGAGCGCTCTACCATCTGAGCTACGCCCCCGATGTGTACAGTCAGCAAAACAAGCCATTTCTTGTGCACTTGAACAATGTCTCAATAAAAGACATTCACTTTTCCTTGCAAAATTAAAAAATATTTGGAGGCGCCGGGTATCGATCCCGGTACCTCTCGCATGCTAAGCGAGCGCTCTACCATCTGAGCTACGCCCCCACTTATATACAGTCAGCAAATAAACTATCTTATATCGCGTTTCATCTATAGTCAAAAGACATTGACATTTACCTTGAGGGCAAATTATTGGAGCAATTGTCCAATGGCATAAACCGGTTTTGTAATTTAGCGGACACTGTTTTGTCGAACTAGTTGTTCAGTGAAAGTGTTACGCTAACCATGGATTGGCGGGATATTCTAATTAAACCCTGACTATACCTGACCTGTCATAGGCTTGATGTAGCTAGTAAAATTACCGTAATGTCTATGAAAGTTTACACCGAGAAAAGGACGAACCAATAAACACATTAAAAACCTTTTATTTATTTGATGGGCCGACGTTTGGCCACTATCTCGCCTGGTGGTAAGCGATGATGCGGTCTACGATGGAGCACGTCGTCCCATATGCAACCTATTCACTCGGGCGTTGAAGATACCCAGGTTATACAGACTCTGGCAAAGAATTCCACTCCTTAGCAGCACGCACAAGGAAGCTTGATGCGAAGCACTTCGTGCGTGTGGGTGGGACATCTACCATGAATCGGTGACTCTTCGCCGATTGTCTTGTGGTACGATGATGGAAACGACTCGCGTTTCGCGCGCGCCTCAAAGAGCCATCAGACCACCACGGATGGGGCCCAATAGGGTTAAGGCTGATACGGAGCCGCGGAGAACGTAACGGGTTACCGGGGCTCTGGCTCGAAATGCAGGAGTAGAAACGGGATGGTTTTTAGCCAGTAAGAGTCTGATACTCCCTCCCGCCTCACGCAGGCGGGAGCAGTGATTCCATGATTTTCCCCCTTAAAAAAAAGATGAACAAATGTTGTGGATCTTTCATAATCGTGGATACACAAGTTAGTGATGTGCTTTTGTGGTATGTAGGAATGTGTGTTCTGTAGGGGCAGATTAGGTCCGTGTTTTTGCCTATCCTCATGAGACATATGCGTGTTTCAATATATCATGTATGTGTATAATACACGTAATTATCAGTTAACACTGACAATCGGACAATTACGTGTTACATTAACTTGTATTATTGGTCACGCTTAGCATTGAGTAATTTTGCTGACGGCGATAAATATTTACTGAGTTGGAAAGCAAGATACAATTATAGTGTTACTACACATGGGGGGCGTAGCTCAGATGGTAGAGCGCTCGCTTAGCATGCGAGAGGTACCGGGATCGATACCCGGCGCCTCCAATATTTTTTCTCATTCTTCAAGGAAAAGTGAATGTCTTTTTATTGAGACATTGGTTAAAGTGCACAAGAAATGGCTTGTTTTGCTGACTGTACACATCGGGGGCGTAGCTCAGATGGTAGAGCGCTCGCTTAGCATGCGAGAGGTACCGGGATCGATACCCGGCGCCTCCAACCCTTTTAACATTTTTATACTATTTTTCAACATTGTTTTTCAGTACTTTTCAGAATTCTGTCTTATTCTGATAGTTTCACCAAAACTATTACTTCTGTAAATTATTATATTCATAATGGTCATTATACATTCTTCCAAGGTGGACAAGTACGGCACTCAGCAGCCCATAGCTCTGTTGAAGCTGCTGTTTGAAAGGAAAGGTTTCTACGACCGCGGCAAGGACCTCAACTGGAAGAACATTAAGGATGTAGGATTCCTAGCTGCTATGGGGAAAGCTGGTGGTGGAAGAAACGATGTGAGTATTTGTCACTTCTAGTGTTAAAATACGAAGAGAGGTACTGTCGCTGGATATGCATATCATTTTAAAGATAATTAAAAGATCGGTTGTAATGTTGTAGGTAATAAAATACTATTTTACTAACTACTGAAAATGATAATTTTCTAATTATATTTCCAAAGTCTGATACTACAAAGAAAAACAATATTTACAACAACTTTAACAGAGATATATATACAATATCACGCCTTTTATCTCCGAAGGGGTAGGCAATGGTGCACATTACGGCACTTAGTACAATGTAACACCCATAACATAACATAACATCACGCCTTTTTTATCCCCGAAGGGGTAGGCAGAGGTGCACATTATACCACTGTACAATGTAACACCCACTTTTCACTATTTATGTTATGAGTCCCATGTAATAGGGGGTGAGCCTATTGCCATATACCGGGCACAATTCCAGACTCCGTGCTACTACTGAGAATATTTAAAAACCCAGTAATACTTTGCCCGACCCGGGAATCGAACCCGAGACCCCTTGTCCGGCAGTCGCACTTACGACCACTCGGCCAACGAGGCAGTCAAACAGAGATTTACATCTTGAATGTCTGTGCTGCTCATCTTAAACCGAATCTAGTTGAGCAAATAATATACCAAACAGTTCAAGAATTTTTGAACGATTTTTTGTCTCCATTCTGGCCCACAGGTGGACCCTCGCTTCATATCAATGTTCTCAGTATACAACCTGCAGTTTCCATCAGAGAACACATTACGTCACATCTACGTGTCCATCCTGAAGGGACACTTCGACATCTTCCCTGAAGACATACAGAACATTGTCGACAAGATCGTGCAGATGACCTTGGATTTATATAAGGTTTGTATTTCAGTAATTTTAAGTATCAGGCTGTAGTGTTAATCAAAATTTAACATAACAACATGACGCCTTTTTATCCCCGAAGGAGAAGTCATGGTGCACATTACAGCACTTAATGATACTATGCAATGTAACACCCAAAAACCCTTTTTGTTATGATTATGTTTTTCGGCTTACTCTCGTAATGATTTGACAAGGAACTCGACTAGTTTCAAGCCATGCTATAGGCAGAATATGATTCATGTGCAGCATTACGCGACTCGCGACGCAGCGATTGTAGCAGCAGTTTGAAACTAATTGAGTTACTTGTCAAACAGTTACCGTTTAAGCCGAAAAACATAATGATTAATTTAGGATGTCTCACGAAAGTTACAATAACAAACCCTTCTTTTTACAGTCAGGTAAAAAGAAAAACTTGATAATTCTTTTTTTAAACATCACATGGAAGAAGAGAGTCAAATTTTAAAATAATTAATTTCTAACCAGTTGTAATTTTTATTTTTTACTGGTTTTAACGAATTATGAGCCTATAAGTGTATACTGAGCAAAACTCTACCCTTATAATATGGAGTTGCACCTTTAAACCAGAAAATTCTTCTATAACATGCCTTATAATCCAATTCTCCAAACAGATAATAATAGTGGACCTGCCCCCAACGCCGACGAAGTTCCACTACATATTCAACCTGCGCGACCTGTCCCGTATAGCGGCGGGCATGTGTCTCACACACCCCAACTACTTCAGTGAGAAGCGATGCGTCGTACGGTGCTGGAGGAACGAGTTCACTCGAGTCATATGTGACAGACTCATTAGTACACAGGTCACTTTGTTACTCATATACCCACTTACAAATATATTATTTACTAGCTTTTACCCGCGGCTTCGCTCGCGTCACAAAAGAATAAAAAGTAGCCTATGTGACATATACCAATACACACAGCGCCATCTATACCAATACTTTTGTTTTTCCTCGGGAATATCAATTTTTCCGGGTTAAAAAGTACCCTATTATTTAATCCGGACTTCTAACTTTACGTCTGCAAAAATTCAAAGCAATCGGTTGAGTAGTTACGGCGTGAAGGTGGAACAAACAAACAAACTCACTTTCAGATTTATAATATTAGTAAGGAAGTAAGGATATTAGTAAGGATTTATTTATTTAAACTTTAATGTACACAGAAACAAGTGATGGTACATAAGGCGAACATTAATGTCATATGGTATTATCTCCCAGTCAACCTGGGTTAATAACCACGTCAATATTATTTTTTACTACCTGACTACAAACTTCATACCGCCTCAATCATAATTTTTCTTAACTTTTAAACCTTCTCTGGAGTTCTATAAATAATTCAAGACCAAATTTAGCCAAATCGGTTCAGTCGTTTTCGACTTTTAGGGAGACTAACGAACAGCAATTCATTTTTAAATATAAGATTTAGACTAGCTACTCCCCGCGCTTTCTTGATATACGAATTGTACATCACGAACACAAAATTCAGTTCAAACCAGTAGTTTCGAAGACCAGCGCGTTTAAACAAACTCAACTCTTCAGCTTTTGAGAATGAAGGCTGTGACTTTTTACTGAAGGTGCACAGACCGCATATAAGTCGCAGGGTAACACAGGTGTCAAGCTCGTACTAAATTAGTTTGTTTGTCAAAAGTTACAATATTCCAAAACGTATAAAAACTATAACTCTCACACTGTCTAAGTCTAAATAAAATACTTTTCAATCAGGACAATGATTTAATGCGCGAGCACATCCACGAGCAAGTGGTGAAGTACTTCCCGGAGGAGGAGCCAGTCGTGCTCGAGGAGATAGTAGTGCCTGAGGAAGAAATTAGGAATGAGGAGGATGAGGAAGTTGATGGTATACTACTATATTATCATATCTATACAGGGGCTACCGGTTTGGCCACTAGATGGCGCAAATGTAGCAAGAAGTTTGTTGTCCAATCACTGCAGCAGATATTGAACCTCCAATGGTGTGACTAGCTAATTCCCTATTGGACGAACCTCGAGACGTTTACACTAGCGCTGTATGATTAGCAAAAATACAGCGTCTAAACGGAAAACAGAATGCTTCTGAACGCAGTTATTGTTATCATCACCATCACCATAAGCATCAACAGGCCCTTGAGAGTCCACAGCTGGCCTATGATAAGCTCAGCAACCTCACTCATAGCTGCATTTAACGCAAGCGTTCATTCACGTCGGTGTACTGTTAGGCCACGGTATCACGATCATCGAGCCTACCTACCAGTGCCAAAGCATGGCTTTCTTACATGACATATTTCTTTTTTTTGTTTGCAATTCGACGTTTGTCTTTCGGGAATATTATTACAGACCCGAATACTGAAAGGCTAAACAAATTCTTTGTAAAATGACAGAGACGGCACGATATTTAAATATAACCTAAAATTGAGTAGCCTTTCAGTGTTCGGGCGTTGTACTTATAACGGCATATAGTTTAAATGTTTCTTCCCAAATTCTTGGAATATAAAGTCATCGGCTATGTCTTTGTTCAGAATTAGGCATGATACCTGAACAGAAACAAGAGCCAGAGATGGCAGTTCCTGAAATGGTTGAGGAAGAAGAAGAGATCGAGCCTGAACACGAATATACGGTAAAGACAAATTTTTATTTCAGCTACGTATTATGAAACTGTTTGTGTGCCTGAGTTCCCACTTTATGAATTTATATCTAGTGCTATCTACTTATATTAAAATTTATAAGACTCATTCTTGTGCATGACATGGTCCTCATTTCCTAGTCCTCATTGGAAGGTCCTTTTTTGGATAAAATAAGGTTTTCTATTCCGCACATTTTATACTTACCAAAAGTCATAAAGCCAACCAAATTGTTATGTTTCAATCACTCATGTTTCCTCAGACCATCTTGCATTTACTGATTTGTAAAATTCGAAAAATAGTTCAATAATAGGGTATATGACTAATTTTTATTTTAATGTCCGTCTGGTAGATTATTTAAAAACATTAGATACATATTTTTATTTTTTTTACGAAAACGAATAGTTGCGAAGATATATTGATTTGAAATGTCGCGTAGGTAACGTCACTTCTATGTACATTTTATACGTAGAAATGACGTTTTAGCCCCCACTCCTAAATTTTGATTCGTTATATATCTAAGTATCGATATCTAAGTATCATTTTATTGTAAAACAAAATAAAAAAATACATGTCTAATATTTTTTCATTATCTAACTGACGGACTAATTGCATTTTTAATTTTCATACCCTGTCATCATCCCTGTTGCCTAATCGTACCAATATTATTTGCAGTTGGAAGAGTACGTGTTCCGTGATCCACTTTTGTTCGGAGACTACCGCAACGCTTTAGATGAGGAGGAGATCAGATACTATGAAGACCTGCTCGACTATGAAGCTGTCTACTTCTTGTTCCAGGAGGCAAGTCTCTTTGCATGACTAATTTTTATTTTCTTGGTGTACTTTTGTTTATATTTGAGAATTTTGGTCATTCAATGATCTAGAATTTTACTGTTTTTGTCCTTAAAGTGTAGGTAATAAAGTTTTATTTCCACTTACTTTACATTTGAATCACAATGATAAAAGTTTAAATGTAATTCGTATTATTCTTCCGACCGACGGTACCAGAGAATTTGATTTTAACATTTTTTATTGGTAGTCAAAGCCTTAAAGGAGCTTTGCTACAATCCCCAGGTCCTATTTCACCCTTGGTTTTATTACAAACACTATTATTGTTAAAACAAAAAACTCAATGTAAGCAATTTCCACGCAGATCCTGGACGAGTACAACGACCGTATCGGCAAGATGTCGGTGGTATTATTCGAGGACTGCTTGGAACACTTAACTCGAACACACCGTATACTGCGCATGGACCGCGGGAACGCTCTCATCATCGGCGTCGGCGGCTCCGGGAAGAAGTCCATCTGTAGACTCGCTTCTTTTGCTGCTGGTGAGTAACCAATCATCAACAGCCTATAAGTGGTCAATACTGACCAAAGGCCTCTTCTCACACCGAGAAGGTTTGAGCAATACTTTATGTACAAAAACATATGTACAGGAGGGCCTAGCCTTGGGCATTGTCTTACAGTCGACCTTAAAGTGGTGCAGTAATCACAACGATTACTCAATGCAAGTTGACAATATCAAAACTTATTATTATAAATTATAAGTTATTAAGATTTCCTCACGATGTTTTCCTTAACCGTTTGTGAGTGGTTTATGTATAACGAACCGTCACGTTATGAATGTTTTTGTCAAAAATATTGTCTATCCAATAGGGTGCGACACATTCGAGATTGTAATAACTCGCAACTACAACGAGAACACGTTCAAAGATGACATGAAGCGGTTGTACAACGCGCTCGGATGTGATAATAAGAAAACTGTCTTCTTATTCACTGCTGCACAGGTCCGTTAAATAATTTTCTAATAGTGTAAATTACTAATTTTTTTTCAATGTCCGTCTGGTAGGTTGTTATAAAACATTCGATTGTATTTTTTATTTTCTAATCAAAATCAAAAAAACGATTTTCACGGTTTAAAACAATGAAATTAAGAAATTTATCATATCATATCAACCTCTACTCCAAACTTTCAAGTTTATTCATTGGATTTTCGACTTTATATGTCAATATAATAAAGTTAAGGACATCCTTAACTTTACATAAGAAATACTTAAATAGAGAAATTTTACAGAAAAGCATAGGTTGACCTGCTAGCCGTAAGTACTCTACAGTCATATGACGTCATTTATAATTCATTACATTCTCATTAGATCATTGAAGAAGGTTTTCTGGAATTCATCAATAATATTTTGATGATCGGAATGATTCCCGCTTTGTTTGGTGACGACGAGAAGGATGCCATCATTAATACTGTACGCGCTGCTAGTGACGAAGCTGGATTTGGAGTCGGCAAGTTAGTACGACTTTGAACCTTATTTCATACTTATTAAGGGATTTTCTTGGTTATATTTGGCTTTTTGTCTACTAAAAAGTTGGTTAATAAAGTAGTGTTTGTACGGTTTATTCATAAATACCATTTTGGTGATTGACAGCTGTGCTACAAACGGCGTGTACGACGTTCATAATTAAGGACCCCGGTGTGGCTCGAAAATAGTTGGGCGATCCCGAAATAGTATACATAAATAAGTTAATATTTAGTTACGTTGATTTACTATACACATGAACATTTTGTACTACTCACACAATTATCGTTATTTCAGAGATTCTGTATGGCATTTCTTCTGCACGAGATGTGCTGAAAATCTTCACGTAGTACTATCCATGTCTCCTAGCGGTGATATATTGAGGAACAGGTATTTAACAATAATAAGTTTAAAATGAATCAAGTAATATTTTAACTAATTTCTAAGGAAAAAAGATTCGTCGGAATATGTGTTTATGAGCATCTTTGTTACTCAATCACGTCAAAACGGCTAAAAGGATCAGGATGAAATTTAAAACATTGATAGATTATGATCTGGAATATCACATAGGCTACTTTTTCTCCCACAATAATGCGGGCAAAGCCGCTGGCAGAAGGTAATTTATTTATAACTAGCTTTTCTCTCGTCTCTCTCTCGTCACAAAAGAATAAAAAGTAGCCTATGTGACATATACCAATACACACAGCGCCATCTATACCAATACTTTTGTTTTTCCTCGGGAATATCAATTTTTCCGGGTTAAAAAGTACCCTATTATTTAATCTGGACTTCTAACTTTACGTCTGCAAAAATTCAAAGCAATCGGTTGAGTAGTTACGGCGTGAAGGTGGAACAAATAAACAAACAAACAAACTCACTTTCCGATTTATAATATTAGTAAGGATAAGGATTTTGACAATCCGACTATGTAACGTTTATATAATGACATTTTCATTCAAAATATTAGAATCTGGAGCTACGTACTAAAATTCTCGTAGTAAAGAAAATAATGTAAAATTAATAATATTGTTATGTTTTACGTCCAGGTGTCGTAGTTTCCCCGGGCTAGTGAACAATACCACGATCGACTGGCAGTTCCCGTGGCCCAAGCAGGCGTTGTTAGCTGTCGCCAATGTGTTCCTTGCTGATGTAAGTAGTTCAGTAATTTTGTGGTTCTACCTGGAATGTTTTTTCGGGAGTTTTGAAAATCGGCAATTCTATATTTCCATTTTACACCTTTGTACGTGCGTCTAAAAATGGCGACCAAAATCAGTTTTTTTTTCCAATATCTCTTTTTCTGTGCATTTAACGACAAAACCGTTAACTACGAAATTAAACTACTCGCAATTTTCTACAATTTATGTCTAGATAGTTATAAGTAGTTTTGGCGCCAGAGCACTGCAAATGTTTTTATGGACATTTTTGAAAAATACAATTCTCACACGCGATTTTAAAGTTATGATATGATATTATAAGTTTGAATTCGAATCGTCACTATTTTCAGACTGTTACTTTATTTGTTGACGTTTCAAAGACCAACTACACTAGTTTCCTAGGTTTAAAATAAATTGTTTCAACTTTTCAATGTAATTAAAAAATAATCATACTCTCATCCACTGATTTTGATAATTAGTGATACTTTTGGATTTTTTCTCGCTAATCTTAAGGAAATAAGTATGCTATTTGACGCAGAAATATGATGACGTCATAAGTAGCGATCCAATACAAAATTCATAAAAGACATTTCAATAAAAGTATTGAATTTGACTAGCTGTCGACTACCGTATTATGGTTTATTTGAAATAAATGCTTTGAATTCGACTTCCCATTTCTCAAAAGGACGTGATCTCATCTAATTACACTCAAACTCCTTAATCACACGCAGGTAGAGAAAATCCCAGAAGAGTTTCGTCCAATAATAGTAGAGCACGTGGTCCACGTACACATGTCCGTCGCGCACTACTCACTGGATTTCTTACTGCGTCTGCGCAGGAACAATTACGTCACGCCAAAACATTACATGGACTTCCTCACTAATTACTTGTCACTGCTGAAGGAGAAAGACGCTTTTATTGTTGCTCAGGTATGTTTTACATCATCATCACCATCATTATCATTGCCACAAAAGTTTATCGAGGGTTATTGCTAGGTATGAATTTCACTGATGGCACCTCCCAATGTTGTACTGAATATTATAGCCACTCATACTTTATCTATAATCCCCTTCCCCCTTTATAGAAACACACCCCTTCCCCTTGCATTGTAGAATTTGGATTATAGTCTTATCTTATATTTTATTACATAAGCTGAAGAGTTCGTTTGTCTGAACGCGCTAATCTCGGAAACTTCTGGTCCGATTTGAATAATTCTTTTTGTTTTGGATAGTGCTTTAATTGAGGAAGGTTATAGCCTATATATCATCACGCTACGATTAATAGGAGCCGAGCAGAGCGAGTGAAACTGCGAAAATAGCTAATTTAATATAAAGAAAATAAGCTTAGACTTAACCAGTGATCCGTCAACACACAATTTGTATGTCTGTCTTATAGCGGTAATACAAGGCTTAAGGACTATTTTTGCAATAATTCTATACTTTACAGTGCGAGCGTTTGATCGGTGGATTAGCTAAGATTGAAGAAGCCAATGTTCAGCTCGAGGACTTGAACGCCAAGCTAGCTGTACAGAAAGTTATTGTAGCTGAACAGACTAAGGAATGTGAGACATTGCTCGCTGAGATCTCGAAAGGTTCGTTTTTTATATTCATGATCTTTGTCATAAAGAATATAAGTCGTCCAATGTATAGTCTACCATTCCCTCGGATATCATGATGATTTATGACATGCTAAGGCCAATAGTCAGAGTCGACCTGGCAGGAATCAGCCCTGCTCGCCATCTTTTCTAAAATACCAGAGGTCTTAATACGAGCTTGTTTTATGTTGAAAGTACCGCACGGAAGGTGCGGTGGCTGGGCAACCGGCTGCCGTGCAGCGTACCGCGGGTTCGTCTCCCGCACGGAACAACACTTAGTGTGATCCACTAATTGTTGTTGCGTGTCTGGGTGTCCACCAACACCAAGTTTGTAAATGCACCCACGACACAGGAGAAAATCCTAGTGTGTTCCACTTTGTATGATCTTTCCGTGCATTCAACGGTCTGTTTAGATTGGTTAGTACTCACTGAAGTGTAACGGACATAGTACATTCCGCCCCTTTTTACAGCTACAACCGCAGCGACAGCAAAGCAAACGGTAGCGTCCATAAAGTCAGCAGAGATCACGGAGCAGAGCAAAATAATATCTGAAGAGAAGGCGGAGGCCGAGGAAGTATTGTCAGCAGCGCTACCGGCCTTGGAAGCTGCCAGGCTAGCTCTAGCTGACCTTGACAAGAATGATATCACTGAGATCCGATCCTTTGCCACGCCACCTGAGGCTGTGCAGGTTAGTTTTACCTTCGATTTTGAGCCCAAAGAAGCAGATGAGTTACCTGATACTAAGAAATCTGCGCCGCATATGGACCCTTAATGTTGATACTGAAGAAGTTACAAGCGCGCTGCCGTTTTTATAGGGGAGACTATCCGACCCGGCAAACGTTGTTTGGCCATATAAATAATTACTAAAATGGCTATTAAAAAATAAGGGTTAATCGTCGAAGGGTGAAAATTGAGGATTGTTGTTAAAAATTAGATATAAAAATTTTGTCTATTAATAAAAAAAAATTAGGCGTGGACTACCCTTAAATTTTTTAGGGGGATGAAAAATAGATGTTGGCCGATTCTCATAGATACCGGTTAAGCACAAAAAATTTCATCAAAATCGGTCAAACCCTTTCAGAGGAGTATGGCAACGAAAACTGTGACACCAGAATTTTATATATTAGATTAGGTCTCTAGTGACGTCACTCACACGGTTCCACATGACGCTTTAGTTGTTTCTCGCTGGGCTTCTGTCTGGCCGTGGTGTCACTTCATCAATGTCGAAACATGGTTTTCATGGTTGATTTGTATATCGTAAAATGGGAGTTAGATGATATTTATATTTTTGTTCATTGCTTTTTTAAAACCTAGTGTATAGTTTAAATATTCTCAATTCACAGGTGGTCTGCGAATGTGTAGCAATAATCCGAGGAGTGAAAGACATAAGTTGGAAGGGAGCCAAGGGTATGATGGCGGACCCCAACTTCCTCCGCAACCTGCAGGAAATGAACTGCGACCTCATCACACAAGGACAGGTCAAGGCTGTCAAGACACATATGAAAAAGAGCAAGAAACTTGATACTATGCAGCAAGTCAGTAAGGCTGGGTGAGTTTTGATTCTTATGTATAAAGGTAGAAAGTTGATATTTGCATACACACCTAAATGCTATTAAACCGTGATCTGTCGGTTTACAGTAAAGTTGAAAATCTATAGAAGAGTTTATATAAATTGTTCAGTATTAAATTGTTTTTTACAATGTTTTTATAATGACTATCATGAGACATACTTAATTTACTAAAAATCGTGGGTTACTCACGTGGATATACTGAGACAAGCCCTACTAGTTTGATGGGCTCGCAGAGCAAGTAACAACACCGACGCAAGCGCCGACGATGTCTACGATGGCTGCGCGACATCACCGCGAACCGCGACCACGCATTTATGAGGAAGAGCCCCTCTGTGGCTGGAAACTAGTAGAGCTTTTCTCAGTATATTCACGAGAGTAACCCGCGATTTTTAGTTATTTCTTTTAATACCTTATTTTGTTGTATACTTTCATCATCATCATCATCATCAACAGCCTATAAATGCCCACTGCTGAGCAAAGCCTCTTCTCACACGGAGAAGGTTAGAGCATTAATCACCACGCTTGCTCAATGCGGGTTGGCGATTTCAAACTTATAATTAGAAATTATAAGTCCAGGTTTCCTCACGATGTTTTTCCTTCACCGTTTGTCAGTGGTGACTAAATAATCTTAGAAAGTACATATAACTCGGAAAAAGTCACATTGGTACTTGCCGTTGGTAGGTTTCGAACCCGCACCCTCATGCATGAGAAGTGGGCGTCTTAAACCTCCGGGCCACCACGACGTTCGTATACTTTACTACACATTTATTGTCACTAAATTGCTAAAGCTCTTCTTATCTGTAATTTTGTGATATGATTACTCCAAAAAAAATATTTCTATCTTCCAGCTACGGTCTCCTAAAATTCGTAATCGCGGTACTTGCATACTGCGCTGTTTACAAAGAAGTTAAACCAAAGAAGGAGAAAGTGGAAGCTTTAGAGAAGGAATATACGGAGGCATGTAATTATTTAGCGTCATTGAACCGCGAGATAGATCGGTTACAACGTACACTAGACGGACTGAACCGTAAGTACGAGACCGCGATGCTGAGGAGACAGGAACTGCAGGAGGAAACTGACATCATGATGCGACGGTAAGTTTTTATATCTTACTAGCTTCTGCCCACGAATTCGTACGTGCAATCCCGTTTTCTCCCCTTTTCCGTAGGATTTTCAGTATTTTTTCTGTCTTAAGAACCTTCTCCTAATAATAACAGATACATCAAAAAAAGAATTAGTGAAATCGGTTCAACCATTCACGCCTGATGCCGTGACTATGGAACTCATAATTAGCATTAATGTCGGAATACTGAAACGCTACTCAAATTTAAGTCGCGCTTATGTATAGTTCTGTCACTAAAAATTCTGTGTAAAATGACAGAGGTGGCACGCACGATATTTAAGTACAATTGTTAAAATTGAGTAACGTTTCAATATTCCGGCATAAGTGCCGTAATGTGCACCTGTGCCTATTCCTTCGGGGATAAAAAGGCGTAATATTATGTTATGTAATGTTGTACTAACAAAATGTACTCTTCATCAAGGTTAATCGCAGCAGACAAGCTAATGTCAGGTCTATCGAGCGAACAAAAGCGTTGGACAGAAGATTTAGCAGCGTTGTACGTGGAACAATCACGTTTGATCGGCAATTGTCTTCTATCAGCTTCGTTCTTGAGCTACGCCGGCCCTTTCTCATTCTCGTTTAGACAGACCATGATATATGAAGACTGGTTGGGCGATGTCCTCGAACGAGGGATCCCGTTGACCACTCCATTCACTATCGAGAAGAATTTGACCAATGAGGTCGAGATTAGTGGGTTGGTATTGTTTTTTATAATGTTTACTAGGTGTGTGAAGTTTTATTGTGACTTAAAAATGGCTGAAATAATGTCGGCACGGCTATGTACTATGCAGGTAAGTAAATAAAAATTGATTCAGTACAGAAACTGTAACTACTGGTTGGCTACTTAACCGACCAATGGTTACAGAAGATGTGGTTTGGTTGAAAACTATATAATTTTGTCTAAATTATAGCTACTGTGTTTTCTTACCTGCCAAATGAAAATACGACTCTAACTCTACGCTATATACTGCTAAAGTCTATTGAGATTTATAAAAACGATTCTTCTGTTCTACTTACACAATGTTTGAAGCTTTTTCTATGAGATAATGTGATTGATTTTATTGGACATTGCACTATAAATTCAAGTTACTGTTGCAATTTTCTTAAATCTCTATTTACTTATAATAAAAATATTACTAATTAACTATTTCAGTTGGAACTCTGAAGGTCTACCTCCAGATGAGCTGTCAGTTCAGAACGGCATACTCACAACGAGGGCCTCCCGATTTCCACTCTGTATCGATCCTCAAACACAAGCGCTATCGTGGATCAAGAGGAAGGAGACCAAAAATAATCTTAAGGTACATTATCTTATTTGATTTATTTTACAAGAAAACCAGCTTCTTCTTCACTTGCTTACCAGCATAGGAAATACTCTATACTTTCTTTCAGAATATAATCTGTGTCTGTATGCTTTACTATAATGCGTTGTATTCAGATTCATTCTACCATATAAGCGTGATTGAGTAAGAAACGTCCATCCATGATTGTGCATTTATTTTGTCTTTATCTGTAATGAATAAAACACCTCTTTCGTTGAATGAGGGTTACCGTTAATTTTTTCTCACCAGCAGCTGTAACTAAATGCAATTTAGCGCCTGTCTACATGTAGGATAGAAAACCAAATTATATGGAATTCACGTAAATTTTGACACTTGTCAGTTTTATCCCCATACATTTTGATTTCTACTCTTCTCTGTAGATAAGCGCTAAAGTGGCGTTTGGATAAAGGCACTGGTGCTTACAAATGTATCAAGAGGGTATTTTTGTCCAATCACTACAGCTGTCAAATATTTATCGTCTAATCGTGTGAGACTAGCTTATTACCTATTGGACCAAGAACGAGATGTTTACATTAGTGCCATCTAATGAGCAAAAATATAATAGCTCCCATAGCAATCTCCAAATCTCCTATCTAACGAGAAAATTATGGCAAACCTTCTTTTTATATTATAATACAAATTTCCGTGTGCTTAGGCGCTTTTGCCATACCTATTATTGGAAGCAAGTATCTAACATATAGGACCCACTTAGTTTTTAGTCAAATTTCCGTGGTGCGTGGCAACTGGGCTTCACCCAGTTGTACAGTCTCTTTTTTGTGCCTTTAGACTTAATTCATTCTGTCTCCTGCAGTAATTCACCGAGGGAAGTGGAGACTATCGTTTTTTTTCTTCTCCTCTTATATCTTCTGATTCACTTTGTTGCGGGAACTAAGACAGTTACTCATGTTCCTTGGACTCACCATACTTCAGTGTTTCGGTGTTTTCATGGTTGTATCTACTGTAGATCCTGTCTTACAGGAGTTGCAGCGGTTGTGGTGAGTTGGTCCCATTAAAAAACCTTCTTATGTAAAGAATGTCCACTGTCCAGTACACTATCATAAACTGATGATGATGATCATTGTATGTTTTCCCAGGTGCTATCATTCAACGACCCTCAGTTCCTTCGTCAGCTGGAGATGGCTATCAAGTATGGCATGCCCGTGTTGTTCCAAGATGTCAACGAGTACATTGACCCTGTTGTAGATAACGTACTTGAGAAGAATATTAAAAGTGAGTTGTAGAATAATTTTGTATGTTACTGTAGAATTTTTAGTATGGAAGAATTGTCAAATATTCGAATTATTCCTCAGTTAAAATTTAAGTGGCGTTGGGAAAATCGGCTATTACTTTAATTAATTTTCTTGAATGAAGACGAAAAGAATGAAAGTCTACTGTGGACTCCCTAACCAAACTACTGCCTACAACTAGAACAGCTGGTCGCGTGCGATGCCTCCCATTGAATCGTTTGTTTTTTATTTTTCGGCAATTCAAGTATATCCTCGACATTATGCCCGATATATGGCGTACATGATGATGTATAAGTCTCACCCCGTATAATAAAGATGGTCAACAGGGTGTATTACATTGAGCACGTGCACATTATATTAACCACTGCTTAACTCGTCGAGTACCGGTTTTATAGACACAATTAAAGAACAATAGGTCGCGGTCACCGGTGACCGCTTGGTGTTTGACAGTTTAAGAATAAAAGGTGTGATGTAATACATGCTTCACAATAAATCCTCTTATCCCCTTCCAGCGGAGAGCGGTCGTACATTCGTAATGCTGGGTAGTTCAGAAGTAGACTACGATCCCCACTTCCGTATGTATCTCACCACGAAGCTCTCCAACCCACAGTTCAACCCCGCCACCTACTCCAAGGCGGTCGTCATCAACTATACCGTCACTGTGCAGGTTAGTTAGCTAACGCTCGAATGATTTTATAATTCAAAATAATAATTTCAATTTCAAGTTGTACTTAAATATCGTGCCATCTCCGTTATTATACGAAGAATTTGTAGTGATAGAACTATACTTAAGCGTAGCGTAGTCATTTTAATCCTACATGCTTACGAAATAAAGATTAGATACAGAATACCTACACTGCTGCAGTTACTTATATATGTCATTCTTCTTTAATTGTTTCAATTTTTATATATTGTACACCTTAAGTTCATAAAACAATGTTACGACAAAAAAATATCTCATATTTAAAATACTAATTCTTACTTTTGATTGGTTGATTTGAAATGGTTTTTAATAATAATAGTAATCTTTATTTCAGGTACAATAACATTAACCCATATAAATTTTACACACAGATACATAATGAGAAAACGAAACACAAATACACAGTTTAACTAACAGCAGTATGAAGGTTCATCCAATGCCAAGCTAATTTGGAGTCCCATCTGTCTGTCAGTAGGTTCAGGATAGTGTTGGGACTGGATCGTACATGACTCCATAGCGAGGCGGAGCGGATTTAAATGCATGCAGCATCCATCAAATCGTACTAGGTCTTAACACCGTTTTGAAATAAGATTCGCGTCAATTCGCCAGTCTCATCTGGCTGGCAAAAGATGCATGTTACAATCATTAACTTTTTAAGTCTGCTGGCATATGAGACAATATAGAAAATATATTGTGTCTCATGTAGACCCACGCTTACACACACATCACACATCAACAGCCTATAAATGCCCACTGCTGAGCAAAGCCTCTTCTCACGCGGAGAAGGTTTGAGCATGAATCACCACGCTTGCTCAATGCGGGTTGGCCATTACAAACTTTATAATTAGAAATTATAAGCCCAGGTTTCCTCACGATGTTTTCCTTCACCGTTACACACGACGGGCTAAACCAGACACCATCTTTCTATCATTTCTCTTTTATTACAGGGTCTAGAAGACCAGCTCCTCAGCGTAGTAGTACGTGCCGAGCGATCAGACTTAGAGGAACAGCGTGAGAGTCTGATCATAGAGACCAGTGCCAACAAGAGTCTACTGTCAGGACTCGAAGACTCACTACTGAGAGAGTTGGCCACTTCTACTGGCAACATGCTGGACAATGTGGAGCTCGTCAACACCTTGGAGAATACTAAGGCTAAAGCTGCTGAGGTAAATTTGTTTTTTCAATACTAGCTTCTGCCCGGAGTCCCGTTGTATAAAGAGTAGCTATGTATTTTTTAAGACCATCATATTTCCCTGTTTTAACGTGATTAATCACAAGCATACAAATTTTCGCATTCATAATATTAATAAGAGTTAGTAAGATGATGCAAAAGTCTAGAAGTAGGTTGTTATTGTGTTTGTATGCTATAGAAGTATAGACATATTGAGTTGTCAATATTCGAAAATGTGATGTAAATACGCACAATATTCAAAAACAATATAGTTTGAACTTAAAATTAGCAAAACATGCTTTAATTTTAAGTATAAAGGGTCGTTCATAATCACATGAGGCTTGATAAGGGGGAAGAGGGGTTCGACAAAAAATGAGCATCACTAGGGGGGACAGGGTGTAATAAAATATTATTGTTAATTTTTTTTTGAAATAAAATCGTTTATTTGTAAACATAGGTTATATAAAGTTGTTTGAATGATTGAACATACAGTGCAATATAGCGAGTCCATCTATGTTTTGCCTTGAAGCATATAAGTTCATATCAGTATTAGTAAATAGATTAATATAAATTCCGAAAATAAAAATAAAACATTTATAATGGGAGTTAAACCACTGAACCATCGTCATCAGTCATATCATGAGCTTTAATCCCATCTTGACAAACACTATTTGTTATTTTGTTCTTAGGTAATGGAAAAACTGCAACTAGCGCTGATAACAACGCAGGATATAGAGATACTCCGCGATGGGTACCGACCGGTGGCCAAACGTGGCTCCATACTCTTCTTCGTGCTATCAGACATGGCCGGTGTGAACGCCATGTATCAGTACTCGCTGTCTTCTTATTTAGATGTACGTAACTAGTTTATTTTTCTTAAGATATGTCTATTTGGTGTAGCAATTATAGTGTTATAGTGGTCTATAGTAGTTGTTATGCGTAATGTTTGGCCTATATTAGTTAGTGCGCAAAGGTTTATTGCGCAAAATTTTTGCGCGGTTTTGCGCAAGTACGTTGTCATTACATAAACATATTATTGAATAAATCAACAAAATTATGAAGCCAAAAAGTCAACGCCACGCGGTGTTCCCAGCGGTCACCCATCCAAGTACTGACCGCGCCCGATGTTGCTTAACTTCGGTGATCGGACGAGAACCGGTGTGTTCAACATGATATGGACGTTGACGAATATAGAGTCGAAATACGTTATGTAATAAATAAAACTAGGATTGTAATTTTTTTTACATTTATAGATATTAATCGTTGATATTGTTTATTTTACTATTATTTCTATGTATACAGGTGTTTTCATTCGCTCTGCGCAAAGCAATGCCGAATGTAATTCTGGCGAAACGTTTGAAGAACATCATAGATATGCTCACCAAGAATGTTTATGACTACGGATGTACAGGTGTGTGTTAATCTTCCATTTATATATTCAAACACATAAAAAACATAACATCTTCACTTAATGCCACTGTACAATGTAACACCCACTTTTCATTTTTATGTTATGAGTCCCATGTAATAGGGGGTGAGTCTATTGCCATATACCGGGCACAATTCCAGACTCCATGCTACTACTGAGAATTTATAAAAACCACGTAATCCTTGGCCCGACCCGGGCGATCGAACCCGAGACCCCTTGCCCGGCAGTCGCACTTGCGACTACTCGGCCAACGAGGCAGTCTAAATAAATTTGTAAATCTTCACCACAAACGTACACACAGCTATTATAAACATTCTATCACAAAACCAACGTGTTTACAATAACCTACTTAAGCCTTTGACTGCCAATAAAAAACTGTTGAAGGTAAATCCTTCGCTAATGTCGGTCACCGGTGACCCCCATGGCAAAGTCAAAGTCCAAGCATTTATTTCAATTAAACCATAGTTTGGTACTTTTGAAACGTCAACAAATACAAAATAAATAATAGTCTGTCAGTCAGTCCGTCAGTGAAACTAGGTGAAGCTAGGTGCTCATTCCAAATAGTAGATTCGAATGGAGAAGAACTAGCAAGAAACTCCATTCGTTACTCTTTTTAAAAAAGTATGTTCTACAAATACGTTTAATGTGTTAAGTTAATCTCCCTTTCCAGGTATTTTCGAGCGCCACAAACTCCTATTCTCTTTCCAAATGAACATAAAGCTGGAACAAAGCGAAAACCGCGTCTCACAAATGCAGCTCGATTTCTTCATCAAGGGAAACATCTCTATTGAGAAGTCAGCGCGACAGTGTCCTGCTTCTTGGATACCTTCACAGGTTTGTAGCATGGTATACGACTGCATGGTTCGCGCGGTCACTGGGTAACCAGCTGTCGCGCAACGTGTTGCGGGTTCGACTCCCGCCCAGATTTTTTTTATTGCATAACCCGTAAACGAGCACGTGGATCACCTGATGGTAAGCAATCGGCATCGCCCATGTACACCTGGAACATCAGAGGAATTACAAGTGCGTTACCGGCATTTTGGGGATTAAGGAATTGGGGAGATTGGGGAAGGGGAGGGTAATTGGGCCTCCGGTAACCTCACTCACACGACGAAACACAACGCAACGTTGTTCACGTCGGTCTTCTATGAGGCCGTGGTATTACTCCGGTCGAGCCGGCCCATTCATGCCGAAGCAGGGCTCTCCCACAGGTTTATAAAAAAAAAATAACAATAAATGCAAGGTGTTTTAAGGCTGAAGGAGTAGGTAGAGATGCACTTGTGTCATATTTCTACAAGGTAATGCTCACCTTTCACTAGTTGGGTGTACTATGAGTCCCTTGTAATAAGGTATGAATAGTCTCATATGAATGCCTGCTATGCAAACTGCAAACGAGTTACATAAAACTAAAAAAAAAATCTGTCAATTCCCAAGATCCAAGGTCGGGGGAATCGAACCTCTTAACCATAGTATAAAGAACAAAGTAGGTTATCTTCATACAAATGCTCCGCGCGCGGCTTATATGTGTGCGCCATAGTATCTATGCGTCGACGCACGCACACTTTAACAAAATCTCGACCCGTTTCTCAGTGCGCCAGGCAGGGCTGACACTGTACGAGGTTCGCGCGCGCTTCACGACTTTTCGGCACTGTTCATTGAAATAAATAATGTCTGATAATCGTAGTAGAACGTATTGCTGTGTGTTTGGGTGTCTTAATAATTAATCGATTCCAGAACTGTCTCTGTTCAGATTAGGTACCTATTGAACAGGAAAGGTAAGCTAGTCACTTTTTCTAGCATAATATAATTTGTAGGTACTTGATGATGAGATACCTACTTACTTATTCTTACTCTTATCATTCTTCATAGTTCCTACTCAACCAGAAATGTAATTACCTACTATACTTAAATATTATAAGAAAATGTGGTATTGTATTGTTTATTTCACAGTTTATCTGATTTGTTAAGAGCGTAGCCGAGTCGCATTTTTCCATATAAATGTATTCCCAAATTTACTTTCTGAATACTATGTATAGAGCTAAAGTTTATTTTAAGAAGTTAATAATCTTTTTATAAGCTTTTAATTTTTACTAAATTTATAAATTGATAAAATATTCAATCATAATATGCTGTTCATTTCATATATTTAGATCAAGTGCTGCTTGTTCGAAAATACTAAAAGTAAAAGTGACAACCCTGGGGATCAACGCAAGAGTAGGCTAATAACTCGGCGGGCGGCCTTAGATAACCTACTGTGTTCTTTATACTATGTCTTAACCGTATGACCAACACGGAACTTTAGGGAACCCATCAACGATAATAAAATACTTTGAAAAACTGGATTAATTGGGTACAAATAATCAACTTTAATTAAATTACTTAGGTACAATTAATTATTTTAACAATATATTTCTCTCTAGGGTTGGCAAGATATAATGAAGCTGAGCTTGGACTTCCAGAATTCCTTCAGTGCTCTGCCAGACAACGTCACCAGAAAACTTAATGAGTGGCAAGAGGTATGTACAACAAATGTTCTCAAATATTATCCTACTAATATTATAATCTGCCTCGTTGGCCCAGTGGTCGCAATTGCGACTGCCGGGCAAGGGGTCTCGGGTTCGATTCCTGGGTCTGGGAAAGTATTACTGGGCTTTTTCAAAAAATCTCAGTAGTAGTACGGAGTCTGGAATTGGGCCCGGTATATGGCAACAGGCTTACCCCTATTACACGGGACTCATAACATAAAAAGTGGGTGGTACATTGTACAGTGGCATAATGTGCACCTCAGCCTACCCCTTCGGGGATAAAAGGTGTGATGTTATGTTATGTCAACATTTTTTATTCTGATCAAAAATCCCGAACTAACTACAATAACATCAATAAATAAAATGTACTGGTTTAATTTAAAACGTTACATAACGCCTTTTATTATAGGCAGAGGTGCACCCACATTTCACTATTTATATTATGAGTCCCATGTAATAGGGGGTGAGCTTATTACTATATACCGGGCACAATTCCAGACTCCGTGCTACTACTAAGATTTTTTTTTAAATCTAGTAATACTTTGCCCAACCCGGGAATCGAACCCGAGACCCCTTGCCCGGCAATCGCACTTGCGACCACTCTGCCAACGAGGCAGTCAGTGGTTTAATTTATATGATTTTAATTTTAATTTGTTGTCAATACATCAGTAAACATTTACTAATGCTGGCAGAAATATTATTAGTTTTTAAATAGCAAGTTATTTAGTAGATGAGCCATTTGGTAGTTCTATCTGGAATATTTTTCGGGGATTTTAAAAATTGGCAATTTTGTTTTGATTTTGATATGCTATTTCCGATTAACATCTTGCACCCTCATACGTGCACCGCTTGCTCCGCCATCTTGGAAAAATTGCAGAAATATGGCAAACAGCTTTGATGCATTATCTCTCTCTCTCTCTCTCTCTCGATTCTCTGCTGTGCCTATCGATCGTAATGCGATGTTTTATAACCTCGTCGATAAATGGACTATCTATAATCCAACACAAAAAAAACCAAATCGGTCCAGTAGTCCCCGAGATTAGCGCGTTAAAGTAACAAACTAAATATTGTTTTTATAATATCGTGAGACATACTAAATTAAGTAAAAACGCGGGTTACTCACGTGAATATACTGAGAAAAGCTCTACTAGTTTCGAACCACAGAGGGGTTCTTCCTCATGAGCAGAGCAGCGTGCGCGACGTCGCGGCGACCGCGCACGTGAGTAACCCGTGAGTAACCCGCGTTTATACTTAAACTAAATATTCAGCTTTACATAACCTAAAACAGTATATGAGCATGATGATGATGATGATGATGATGATGATGATGATGATGATGTATATCTTCCAGTGGTTCGACAGCGACACTCCAGAAGCGAACGAGATCCCGAACCATTACCGCGACAAGTTGCAACCGTTTGAGATATTGATGCTGCTTCGATGTTTCCGCGTGGACCGCATCTACCGCGCGCTCACTGACTACATCACCGTCACCATGGGGGAGGAGTACATCACGCCGCCAGTTATCAGGTAAATACGGAGTTTATATACTTTACTAGCTACTTCCGCGCGGTTTCACACGCTCTGCTCAGCTCCTATTTGTCGTAGCGTGATGTTTTATAATCTATAGCCGTCCTCGATAAATGCGCTATCCAACACAAAAAGAATTATTCAAATCAGACTTGCAGTTACGGAGATTAGCGCGTTCAAACAAACAAACAAACAAAAAAACAAACTCCTTCCACTTTTTAAAATAGTATATGATTAACGAAAGTGGGCCTATTGAACTAATTGAATGTTTTGAACTACTGTCTGTCTGTATGTATTTGTAGTCAGGATATGATATCAATTCCTTAAAAAACAGGACTTCGACCAGGTGGTCCTGTTTATTAAATTCGTTTTTCGAGAATGCACTATCCCAGATGGGAAAAAAATATAGTAACTAAAATAAATCTAATTTTTTCACTATGACTATCTGTTTTGAATTGTTTTAATATGACTTCCAAAAATTTTGGCAAAAGTCAACGTCACGCGGTGTTCCCAGGCGGTCACCCATCCAAGTACTGACCGCGCCCGATGTTGCTTAACTTCGGTGATCGGACGAGAACCGGTGTGTTCAACATGGTATGGGCGTTGACGACAGTGTCTTCAAATTTCATATTTACTTAGTTACTTTGTGTAAATATATCTTCAAATATCCCATTGTATTGGGAAGCAAAAAGTAATTTTCAAATTTCAATGATTTCAATCCAACTAAATAAATTATTATGTATTATGCTACTATGTAGCAGCGCGACAGTCGTCTGGTCGCAGGTCGCTAAATGGTGCTCATGAATATGAGCTCTGGCTTGAAACTAGTCGAATTCCTCGTCAAATTCGTTAAATTACTTACGTGAGTAAGCCGAAAACATAATAATTTATTTAAATCCAACATTCAATATAAATCTTTATTCGTTTCTCCCATAATAAGAATAAAAAACATACTTAATTTTTTTAAAGTAGCGTAATCTATCTTTGTATTAAATAACAATTACTCATATCACATTGTCATACTTTCGATTAACTTTGCCAAGTTCAGCGCGGTGATACTTACTTGTTCGTTACTTAGTTACTATCTAGAGGGCGCTAGGAGTATCATTTTGAGCACCTTTTGTGTTTGAAAAAAAAAGAAAGAGTGTTATTGTGATCAGTCAATGCTGAGTGTCCTTTCCGATAGCTAAGAATGTTATTATTCGTATAGTAATTGGGTAATCAAGCCCTCTCGGGGCAAGGCAAGGCAGTTTGCATATTATTTAATAATTTGTTTTAAGATGGCCGGTAAACGAGCAGACGGATCACCTGAATGTAAGCAATCGGCGCCGTACGCCGACATCTGGAACACCAGAGGCGTTACAAGTGCGCTGGCGGCCTTTTGGGGATTAGGAATTTCAGGATTGTTAGCGATTGAGGGGGGGGGGGGGTAATTGGGCCTCCAGTTACATCCCGAGGGGAAACAAAGCAAACGTTGTTTCACGTCGGTTTTCAGTGCCTTGGTATAACTCCGGTCGAGTCAACCGAACCTGGCCCATTCGTGCCGAACCTGGCATTTCAATAATTAATTGTTATTTCCAGTCTAGACATGATATTCGAGCAAACGACCCCGTTCACTCCGGTAGTCTTCATCCTAAGCCCCGGTTCAGATCCTACAGCTGACCTGATGAAGCTGGCTGATAGATGCGGCTTCGGAGGCGGCAAGTTCAAGTACCTGTCTCTAGGTCAGGGGCAGGAAGGGGTGAGATGTATATTTATTTTTTTTGACTTTGTTACACACTTACCTGTATCGTGGATGCGTTTACAAACATACAAGTTCACATACACATCACAACCAGACCCGAAACAACAATTTGTGGATCACACAAAGTGTTGTTCCGTTGCCCAGCCACCGCACCAACCATGCAGTCTAATTATTATCTTTATATTAGATGCCGATTTATTATCTTGGAGATAGGAAAGATAGATAGACAATTCAATTTTGACGTTGCTTAAGGCTGCACCCATGGTACGATGATGAACTACGCGAGGGACAATGTGTTTTCTATTTTATTTTGTTTCAAATTGTTATAAATAAAATAACATCACGCCTTTTATCCCTGAAGGGGTAGGCAGAGGTGCACATTATACCACTGTACAATGTAACATCCACTTTTCACTATTTATGTTATCAGTCCCATATACCGGGCACAATTCCAGACTCCGTGCGTCAGGTTTATCTCAGGTTATAAATACTAAATATTTATTTACCTATATTATATTAACAAAATACTTTCTCCACGTCCAGGCGGCCATAGCCCTACTGGAAGGTGCGATATCCCATGGACAATGGCTGATTCTCCAAAACTGTCATTTATTGGTATCATTCCTACGTGAGCTGGAGAAACAACTGGAGATGATGACGAAGCCGCACCCCGAGTATAGATTATGGCTCACTACTGACCCAACACCGACGTTCCCTATTGGGATCTTACAGAGATCGCTTAAAGGTATGTAATTTGACTTTAACACTTAAGGACTCGCGCCTTATTTTGTAACACCCATACTCGCTACCGGGTACGCTGGACCCAGTACAATATTCAAATTTTCTTCCAAAAATACTAAATAAAAGTGAAAAATACTTTATTACTAGGGATAATATGTTAATTAACAAAGAAAATAATGAATCAAACAGTAATATTTATTTCGTTTTCTTAATCAACAAGTTTTTACGAAAATTTACGGTTATTTGGCATGTTTCTATGACAAGATTAAGTATAATTCTGAAAACTTCTCTAATTAGTGGTTTTATCAATACCTTTCTATATTTTCTTATACTACTATGTTATACCTACTAAGAACAATTAACAATAAGAGATCAATACTAAAAGAAAACAATAAAAATATCATTGAAAATCAACAAAATCAAATAGCTTTTTTTGGGATAAAATAATCATTCAAAATCAACAGTCTTTTTTTCTTCTCATTTACTAAAACAATTGGAACACACGTGTTTCACGTATTCTCTACAAATGGCTATATTGCATTTGTACCAAAAATGTTGGTTTTTTTTTTCATTTACAAAGACCGCAACGTACTTTTTGCCCAGCAATTGGCAAGGATGAGTTGGATGCCGCAGTTGGGTCGACTTCTCGAATTATATTTCGGATACGGTTTTTGATATGCTGTGGAGTGTTTATGATAGAAATTCTGACATAAAGGTGCGGTTGAATCAGAGAAATTTCCAAGGTTTTGATGAAATCTCTTAGAGCGAAGTTATCTGAAGATAAATTAGCCTTCTGAATAATATAAGTGTTTAGTCCACCAATATTCAATAATTCAAAAAATATACACAGGGGCCATCTTTGAGTTCGTCTTGACACAGAATACGTACCAATCATCTGGTCAACTATATCGACTCTACATTTCATTATAGTCGGTTATTATTTTCGGTTTCTTTTTTTCACCAGTACATAGAAGAATAGCTTTATTACAATAGTCTTATATTTCGCCAAGTCTCAACGGCCTATTAGAAGCTATTTTGCTATGAAATAAACGAAAAACAAGACAAAAAATAATACTATGATGAAAAAAAGAACGCTTACGTATTTAGTCGCTACCGGGTCCAGAGGACCCAGACGCACCTTATACGTCTGTAGTACTCACACGCAGCGCGCTAACTGAAGAATACAACCGGCATTTGCCGCGCTACAATGTTGTTGAAAGGTACTAAGAACGGCAACATCGCAAACGTCAAATCTTAAAAGTTATTACAAAGAAATTAAACAACTGGGTCCGTTAGACCCATTAGCGAGTCCTTAAGTGTTAACTTAGTACGCTAGGTACTTAGCTGGAGACTTACTGAGATATTTCGGGAAAAAAAACATCAAAAAATCATGACCCAAAATCGCAGCCACAACCTCTTGCTCGACAATGCGACGGTTTGATAAATAAGACAGTCTTTTGTTGTCTAGAATTATACAAAAATTCACTTTACCGCTTACAAAACAAAACTATTGTTGAAAGTGTCATTATGAGAGAGTACGATGCTGATTGTGAAATTCACCCTTACTATCGTCAACGTCCATACCATGTTGAACACACCGGTTCTCGTCCGATCACCGAAGTTAAGCAACATCGGGCGCGGTCAGTACTTGGATGGGTGACCGCCTGGGAACACCGCGTGACGTTGACTTTTTGTGTTTTTATATGTAATCCCGTTATTTTATTGATTTTCCTATAGTTGTCAAGTATTAGAGGCACCTACTTGCGCAAAAAATTATGCGTAATTTGTTTTTTTGCCCAAACTAACATCAATTCAATATTATTTTTCTATTAATTTTATTATATTTTCTGTTTAGTCGTAACGGAGCCGCCTAATGGTTTGAAGCTGAACCTCCGCAACACATACTTCAAAATGCGCAGCCATGCACTGGAGGAGTGCATACACCCACAGTTCAAGAAGTTGGTTTATGTCCTCGCTTTCTTCCATGCTGTCGTACAGGTAAAGTATTTAACAAAACAATGTCTTTGTTAACCACGATTAATATTAATAAAGGACATACGCCCGAATACTGAAAGGCTACTCAATTTAAATTTGTACTTACCTATCGTGTCATCTCTGTCATATTACAAAGATTAGGGTAGTGGCTAGGGTAAGAATTTTAAAGATCTAATTAGTCCGTCAGCTAGATAATGAAACAATATTAGACACGTATTTTTTTATATTCTCGTATAAAGTTACAATACTTAAATAAAATGGAGTTAAGTTTAGGAGTGGGAGGTAGTTACGTCACAAACAACATTTTGTAGCACGCTGTGACGTCATACATCATTTCAAATCAATATATCGTCGAAAGCGTAATTTCGACGTTTTAGTAATTTTGTGAGAAAAGAAAAAATACATGTCTAATGTTTTTTAAATAATCTACCTGACGGCCATTAAAATAAAATTTAGGAAACTACCTTATTTGTGGACGAAAATCTAGTGTAAGCGTAATATAATAATATACAGGAGCGGCGCAAATACGATAAGATCGGATGGAATATATCGTACGACTTCAGCGAGTCGGACTTCGTGGTCTGCATGCAGATACTGCAGTGTTACCTCGACCGGTGCTACGACGTACGGGGACCTACGCCTTGGGCCACGCTCAAGTATCTGTTTGGAGAGGTCGGTTATACATACATAATAGGTTACTTTCCAAGGTCAATATTTCCTGCAGGGAATGGTGGGTGGGTGCTTGTCTTCAAGACCCGAGTGAATCGCTTACCACCAGGCGAAATAGTGGCCAAACTGTGAGTAAAATCATTGAATGATTTCTCCGACCTGGGTGAGACGGTAGGGAGTATCAGACTCTTACTGACTAAAAACCACCCCGTTCCTACTCCTGCACTTCGAGTCGGAGCCCCGGTGTCAAGTTCTCCGCGGCTCCGAATCGGCATCAGCCCTATCTATTGGGCCTCCGTTCGTGGTGGTCTGATGGCTCTTTGAAGCGCGCGCGGAACGCTCGGCGCCGTACGCTCGTGTCTGTTTCTGGTCGGACGGGGAGCCACCCATGCTCGCCGTCCACAGGCCCGCGCTTACAGTAGCCGGAGATCGTCCGCGTCACGCGTCTCGCCTCCGCCTTAGCTAGCATAACTGCTTCGCAAAAGGAAGAGACGGCATCCTAGTGCCCCTCGCTCCGTATCATGACCCGAAATAAAAAAATCTGGCTAGATGCAAGTCTATAGTGTAGTCAGTGTCTAAGTGTGCATATGTCGTAGGATAATTTGATACTTCGAATCTTCGCGGAAATCCTAGGGGCGCAAAACCCCTAGGATTTCCGCGAAGATTCGAAGTATCAAATTATCCTACGACACATACAAAAAGTGAAACATGAAATATCGTCATTTGTTTTTAATTAAATAAAATTTAAAAGAATTAAGCAAATGCAAAAAGTCAACGTCACGCGGTGTTCCCAGGCGGTCACCCATCCAAGTACTGACCGCGCCCGATGTTGCTTAACTTCGGTGATCGGACGAGAACCGGTGTGTTCAACATGGTATGGACGTTGACGACTGTCACTGTAAAATTATGATTCACTATCATCTGATACCTTCTCAACAAATAAAAATTTGAACTTTAAAATAACCGTAGAATATTCAGAGTAATTCATATTTTGCGACAAGTGTGTAAGAACTAACAAAATACGGCATAAAAACATGGTTGTTGGGACTTTCATCCGCAGGTGATGTATGGCGGGCGTGTAATAGATGACTTTGACCGTCGCGTAGTGGGCACCTACATGGAGGAGTACCTGGGAGACTTCCTGTTCGACAAGTTCCAACCATTCCACTTCTATTGCGACAGCACCTTCGATTATGTGATCCCGCCCGATGGGGAGAAGGAACAGTATATTGGTATGATCGACTGATTTTCTACTGTCTTGAGTTTAAAAAAAATTGCCCCACACTAGGATTATCTCCTGTATGATGAAGGATTTTCCTGATATAGGATTTTCTCCTGTGTCGTGGGTCCGTTTACTTTTAAATAATATACAAGTTCACATACACAATGACATCCAGACCAGAAACAACAATTTGTGGATAACACAAAGAGTTGCTCCGTACGGGAATCGAACCCGCTACACGTTGCGCGGCCATGCAGCCAACCAATATCTGCCTTATAGGAGTTTTTCGTCTGTAATGAGTAAGAGTATGTTTCACATTCACATCATACCCAGAGCTGGAACAACAATTTACGGATCACATAAAGGGGCAGTTCGGGCAAAGTAGATTTTTTTAATATCGTTATATTTTTTAATAGCACTGGGTAGTTTCCAGTATCAAAATAAAAAATCTAATTAGTCCGTCAGTTAGATAATGAAAAAAATATTACACAAATATTTTTTTATTTTCTCGTAAAATAAGGTGTTAAATACTTGGATAAAACGGCGCTAAGTTTAGGAGTGGGAGGTCATGTGACACGCTGTGGCGTCCCACGATATTTCAAATGCATATATCGTCGAAAGTATTTAATTTTGTGAGAAAAGAAAAAATATGTGTCTAGTTTTAAATTAATGTAGCATTAATTTATCCTATTGTGCCTAATATGTTACCACATTTTTATATAATTGCTGTCGGGAACTCGGTAGTGTGACTAAATGAAATAAAACAGTTACTTACTTATGATAGCGGTTTACTTATGTAAGTTATTAGAGGAAAGCTCTACTAGTTTCAAATAAAACCGGGACTTACATGAGCAGCTATGGGGTGCGCCCAACACTATTGTAAATTGTAAATCGTATGCTTTAAGATGTCATTAGCATGTTCAATACTCTCTGCTTCTTACAGAGTTCATAGACACCCTTCCTCTGGCGAATACCCCTGAAGTGTTTGGGTTACACCCTAACGCAGAGATCGGATACTTCAGCCAGGCCGTGCGGGAAATGTGGGGACATCTCATCGAATTACAACCGCAAACCAGTTAGTATTGCCTTATTATAAGTAGCAATTATAATATAAAATTTGTTTTGAATAATAATCTACAATTGTAGACTAATTATATTAATTATTTATGTTTTTATAATAATAACAATTGTGAGATATACTAGACTAAAAATCGCAGGTCACACACGTAATAATACTAAGAAAAGCTCTACTAGTTATAATTACAGAGACACATCAAATTGTTTAACGGCATTTTTAACCTTGGTATTATACAAGGTGTAGTTTTGAAACCGTGGCATTTTTCGGGGGCATGTCACAGAAGTCATAAAGGTTCAATGTAAAAGAAAGTTTCGGGCCAATAGTTAAAAATACGGCTATTATAAATCGTTTAAGTTTGACAGTATTTTAAAATAAGCGACAGCAATGTTTCTTATGGAATTAGGAGTAATATCAATTACGTGTTTGAGTTTGTGTGTGTTAAGCCGCGTTACAAAACTAGTTACAAGACGGCGCCTTGTAGTTCGCACTTACGGATTTCCGTAATTAACAGAAAAATAAAAAATATTTAAGTACATTTTTTTTATTGATTCGAACTCAAAATCGATAGCCGAGTTGCCTCCTAGAAAATGACGCGGCTTTAAAACAACACCTTGTATAATAAGGTTCAAAATCTGTGTAGATCTTTCAACTTTCGCCTTATCTACTAATGATTAGCACGTGAACACCACCAGTCTGTAGTTGTAGACTATTTAATTAATATTGAACAAAGTTTGCTGTAGATCATGTTTTTCAGTAATTTAATTTATTTTATAATTTTCACGCGGCGTTAGCAAATGTATGGGACCGTAAGTATGAAGTTATAATCCCATTGTGTTATTTTAAAATATTGTGTGTATGAATTATTAATGTAAATTCCTTTTGACTTTTAAAATGCCGCTAGGTGTCATAGAAGGTAAGTCTAAGATTTGTTTTATTATTACACTGCTACAGATCCGGCCAAATAATAGGGTCGCATCTTGAAAATCGACATAAGTAAATATTTTTGAAGTATCGACATAAATATTTTTATTCAAACTATTATTTGCTTTGTATTTTACGAATACTTGTCAAGTAAAAGTATCAAGAATTGAGAATATGAAACTGGCTGATAAATTCAGCATCACAATCGTCAACGTCCATACCATGTTGAACACACCGGTTCTCGTCCGATCACCGAAGTTAAGCAACATCGGGCGCGGTCAGTACTTGGATGGGTGACCGCCTGGGAACACCGCGTGACGTTAACTTTTTGCCATTTACCATTTTAAGCTACCTTTTTGTAATATTTTTTTATAATTTTTGACGCTAGGTGAGAGTGGTGGTGCGATGAGTCGCGAGGACTTTATCGACCTGACAGCTTTGGACGTGTTGTCCAAGCTGCCGCAGCCGTACGAGATCTGGCGCGTGCGCAAACAGTTCGAGATGAACATTACTCCCACACTCGTCGTGTTACTGCAGGAACTTGAGAGGTAAAAGGCTCCACTTATTTAAGGCATGAATAGTCACTGTTGCAAATGGATTTTCTAAAAAACTTATTGTTTGAGTGGCCACAAGCGCGACAGCCGAGCATGTAGTGTGTAGTTTCAAATTCGATTGAATAACTCACGCCTTTTATTCCCGAAGGGGTAGGCAGAAGTGCATATTACGGCACTTAATGCCACTCTACAATGTAACACCCACTTTTCACTATTTATGTTATGAGTCCCATGTAATGAGTCCCAAGTTCGATTGATAAGGAAAAATATTACCCATTCACATAGGGGGCCTATCGACAAACACCTTATCTACTCCACGCAAATATTACAGAGAATTAAGAAGTAAAAAAAAACAAATAAACAATGATCCTGGGTCGTATTTCGCCCGACCCACTTGGGCATAGAAGCCGGAACATCTAGCTCGGCAATCGCACTTTCAAGCACGCCACCAACAAGACATAAAAATAAAACCAAACCCTCTATAAACATAAACATCACACCTTTTTATCCCCGAAGGCAGGCAGCAGAGGTGCTCATTACGGCACTTATGTCGGAATACTGAAACGCTACTCAATTTTAAGTCGTGCTTAAGTATAGTTCTATCTCTACAAATTCTTTGTACAATGACAGAGATGGCACGATATTAAAATTTGAGCACGACTTAAAATTGAGTAACGTTTCAGTATTTCGGCATTTATGCCACTGTACAATGTAACACCCACTTTAAACAAACCAAACACGCGATCCTTCTCCAGATTCAACCGTCTAATCTTGCGAATGCGATCGACCCTAACACTCCTCCGGAAAGCATTAGCTGGCGAGATCGGCATGGACGCAGTACTGGACAACGTGTCGTACTGCATGTTCAACGGACAACTGCCACAAGTGTGGAGGAGCCTGGCCCCCGCCACTTGCAAGGGGCTCGGGGGCTGGATGGACCACTTCATTGCCAGGACTAAACAGTATAGTGATTGGGTAAAGTCAAAGTCAAAGCATTTATTTCAATCAAACCATAGTTTGGTACTTTTGAAACGTCAACAAATACAAAATAAATAATAGTCTGTCAGTCAGTCCGTCAGTGAAACTAGGTGAAGCTAGGTGCTATGCTATCACTACATAGTATATATGCTTGTCACTACATAGTATAAAACGAAATCTAGCTATTCGCCGTTTATCTGTCCTTATGTATGCTTAGATTTTTAAAAGTACGCAATATTTTAGGGCGTTTTTTTGAATAGGTAGAGTATACCAAGTTAATTTTAGTATTTTGCCTGGAAATTTTTAAAAAACGAGTGCCTATGCTGTTTGATGCTAAAAAATGTGTCGTCACAATACACAATTTCATACAAAATTCATAGAAAACTGTCGTTTTTGACAGTTCGTAAAAAGTATTGAATTTGACTAGTTGACAAGTACCCGATTGTTTTTAATACAATTATCACATACAAAAACTCGTTAGTTTAATAACACCGTAATGCTTAATAACACTAAATTTATGAAATAATTTATTATTACAGGCAACAATGGAGGAACCGGTAGTAATCTGGCTATCAGGTCTCCACATCCCGGAGTCGTACCTGATAGCTCACATACAGATAGCGTGTCGCCTGTACACCTGGCCACTCGACCGCTCCACGCAGTTCACCAGGGTCACCAGCTGGGTCTCCGCTGATGAAATTGAGGAGAGACCTGTTACGGTACCTATACATTATTTTATTTTTACTCTAAGAAGTGCCGACCGGTTTGATACTAAGGATTCAAAGCAAATTGACGTGAATAAATCACAGCGTTGTGCCTTAAATGAGGCTACTGGAGGCTTAATCCCCACCGCTTCATTCCTCTGCTGTAGACCCATGGACGATTACTGAATCATCAACCGATCTGTGTGTTTGGTAGCCAAATAATATTGACTGTACGGTGGGTGTGGTGGCTGGGCAACCGGCTGCCGCGCAACGTGCAGCGGAGCAACTCTTTGTGTGATCCACAAATTATGTTCGTTTCGGGTCTGGGTGTCATGTGTTTGTGAACTCGTATGTTTGTAAACGCACCCGCGACACAGGAGAAAATCCTACTGTGGGGTGTTTTTTAAAAGAGAAAGGAAGAAATGATTATTATCAAAAAAGTCCTTAAAGGTTGTTCCTGCTCCTATATTGGTACTGATTTTCTACAATATGCACTCCTGGGTGCTTACTCTTGATACCAATCTCAATGTCAATGCAATTTGAATCCCATAAAATATCAATAATAATTCAATGTCAACACTATACAACCCCTATTGTAGCTGTTAAAGTAGCATTCAGAGTATTGAATACAATATAGAGCCAAACTCAATACTATTTAGTTCCTTCAATATCCACGCAATACGATAGCAATGGGCGCTAGTGTTAAACCTCAAGAGCACGAAATTTCACAATACCAATGTCGATCGATCGGAATTGGATTCAAGAGTAAGGTCCCTGGAACAAATCAATGTATACCTATATGCTTACTGATCCGATATTGTTATGTTATCCGCAGCGTCACTTCAGCTCCTTGGAACATATTAGGTACACACGGCTACACATCGAGCTTTCCATAACCAGTATAAACTGAACGTTACATGTGCGGAAAGATGATGCGACGCGACACCAGGATAAACTGGTTTTGTATATATTAATGTGTGGCCGTGTGTACATAAACTGAAAAGCGACACGGCTAGTACGTAGGTACATTTTCAGTACAAGTCAATATTTGTTAGCAAGCAAAAAACATGTGTGTACACTTTTTTCTTTTTTGAATGTGTAAGTTTAGGTATTTTTCGTTGATGAAATTAAATAAACCATACTTGTTTGTCAGTAGAAGGAAAACATCTGTTAGTTGTTAAAATGTACCATTTCGATGACAAATGCGATGGCACGAGTCAAGAAAGTTGTTATTGAGATAGATTTCGACATTTTTATTAATTTCTTTTTTTAGCAGAAGCAATATATGTAGCAGCAATATGCAGTCTACTTCCGGATATTTGAAAATAATTATTTGGGCATCCGGTAAGCTTGCCCACACGACGAAACACAATGCAAACGTTGTTTCACGTCGGTTTTCTGTAACGGTGTGGTATCACTCCGGTCGAGCCGGCCCATTGGTGCCGAAGCATGGCTCTTCCACACTTGTGGGACAACGTTTAAAAGAAAAAGAATTTCTCTTACTCGGAAGAATATTCTAATATTATTTTCCTTAATTAACAAACATGACATAACATCACGCCTTTCATCCCCGAAGGGGTAGGCAGAGGTGTACATTATGGCACTTAATACCACTGTACAATGTAACACCCAGTTTTCACTATTTATGTTATGAGTCCCATGTAATAGGGGGTGAGCCTATTGCCATATACCGGGCACAATTCCAGACTCTATGCTACGACTGAATTTTTAAAAACCCAGTATACTTTGCCTGACCCGGGAATCGAACCCGAGACCCCTTGCCCGGCAGTCGCACTCGGCCAACAAGGCAGTCGGTAATTAACAGACCATGTTCTATATTCCCTAGGGTTGCTACGTCCGAGGTTTGTACTTGGAAGGTGCGCGCTGGGATCTAGAAGACACCTGCCTGCGACGCTCGCACCCGAAGGTGCTGGTCACCGAGCTGCCCATCATGTACGTCATACCCATTGAGGCACACAAACTGAAGTTACAGGTATGTTGATAATACTTTCGTATCATCTATACTAATTACTAGTATTTACTAGAGGGTCGTTTGTTTGTTTGTTTGCAGTGCATCGCTTCTTTTCAGGCAGTAACATTAACATATACTGTTTATCTTACGTTTTATTCATCACACTAATACTAATAATGTGAAAATTCCTTTGTTTGATTGTTTGTCCGTCAAACACTTAATAATCCTTTTATCAATCACAGATACTAATCAGTCATCGGTACCAATTCAATCCAGCGTAAATTTAGATTAGAGCATTAGGGTATAACCTGGGTGTCTTCAAGGCCCAAGTGAATAGGTGCTTATGGGACGACGTGCTCCATCGTAGACCGCATCATCGCTTACCACCAGGCGAGATAGTGGTCAAACGGGGGCTCATCAAATATACAAAAAATACCGAAGTTACTTGGAGAGGTTTATGCTCAATAATGGACGTCCTGTGGCTGATACGATGATGATATTGTACTGGTAGTACAGTATAATATAAGGAATAAGGACCTATTATGCTGATAGTCGAAAAACGTCTCCTAGACAAATACGCGCCGATGTAACCTTGACTATGCGTGTCTAGACGGGGCAGCCCCGGAACTATAGATAAAATATATTTTTGTTTACATACATAATTATTCCTATTTAAAAAAACACGGATTTTCCTCTCAGTGTTCGCGTTAAGTGAATGTTTTTGTACATAGATTAAACATATGACGCGGTACGACTTCCGAGTATTGTTTTGTAGGTCGCTCAAATAGTGCCTGCTTAGTGCACGCTAAATTAGTTCTTAATGACGTCGCTGTATCTAGGTAACTTGTTTCATTGCTCTGAATCAGATAAAGTAATTATATTGTCTGCAAATTGATTGTAGAAGTGGGTTTAATCATTCGTACTTTTTTTATGGGATAAGCCGGTAAACGAGCAGTCGGATCACCTGATGGTAAGCAACCGGCATCGCACATGGACACCTGGAACACTAGAGGCGTTACAAGTGCGTTACCGGCCTTTTAGGATTAGGAATTTGAGGATTGTTGGGGAATCAGGGATTGGGGGAAAGGGGGGGGGGAATTATGTACTATGCGTATGCGTTTCAGCTCGTTTCAGTTTTAACTGCACCTAGTTGACTCCAAAACTATAGGGTATGTTTCATTATCTATCACATACCTACATCATCATGTCGCTATTACTACAGATGAATGAAATAACTGGGTAGGTTCAACATAGGATTGGAATTAAACTTTCTGCAACAAATGAAATATTGGGAAATGAATACAGTTAACATTTGTGTATTCGATAATTTAAGACCTGAATTATTCCAGAAGGTACCTAAAGAAGGTAATGTTAGATACCTACCAACTTTAATAGGTAATAGGCTAATTAAAGTAAAATAATAGTCATAATCAGTGAAGAACGTCAGTGTAGTAATAATGTTTATAATTAAACAAATACTTATCGAAATCTCTTGTGAAATGATCATAAAGCAACTTACTCACTGTGCAACCGGTTTACTATTCTTGCTATTAGATTTTTAGTATTAATTTAGTATGCTTGTATATTGTGATGTCTAACAAGGTCGTTGACAAGGCTAAAAGTTTTAGTATTAAATAAAATAGCCTTTATACATAGCTAATTTCTGCAACTGTCAATATTGTGAGATTCAGAAATGGCCTCTTTAAAACACAACATCATGCCTTTTATCCCCGAAGGGGTAGGCAGAGGTGCTCACAGAAGTAACACCCACTTTTCACTATTTATGTTATGAGTCCCATGTAATAGCAACTTGCAAATCGCACTTGCGACCACACGGCCATCGAGGCAGTCTCTTTAAAAATAACTGACAATACATAAATATGAAGCTTGTTCGAGAGTTGAACTTTATATTTTTGAGTCTAGGTACATGCGTATGAGACGTTTCATTACTAATGATCACTATTCGGCTATACTTATTGACAGCAATGAAGTCATAGCTTGGCAAAAGTTAGTATCAAAATCAATGTTTAAAAGAACTGTAGTGTTATTTTTGATGCTTAGTGAATACAAATCTTTATTCAAGTCTGTCCAGTGACCTCAAAGGTGGCGATAACCTACATATTAAACATATTCAAGGCCAATAGTGTATCTGTCTTTGTTTATTAGGTAGGCATAATGTTTGTCTACAAACAAACGTTATTTTTTACATCATTTCTTGATAAATTTATCTTTTGTAAGTATTTTTAAACTGAGAGGTTCATTAATCACTCAGATTTTTTCATAATATTGTTTTTATATTGTGTTTGGTTCTAGTGTCCATACATAACATAAGCGCACTTATTCAGAATATATTTTGGGTTGTAGGCTGGCTTTTTAAGACGAAACGTCGTAGTAGTAAGTAGGAGTCCGGTTAGCATCTAAAGACCCTTTAAACAATATGTAGGTAATGCCTATTGCCTATGCCTAATGAGCCTATTGCCATATACCGGGTACAATTCCAGACTCCGTGCTACCACTGAGAATTGTTTAAAAACCCAGTAGTACTAGTACTTTTTTGCAAGTTTCAATACATCAAATAATACCTAAGAATATTTTTACAAATATACGCGTACCTATTAATATATTTGATCTTAATTATAGAGCACCAGAAAAATAAACATTTGCTCTATTATTTCCTACCACTCAATATAGGTATTTCCGTATAGTCAGTCTGTTTAAATATTATCTACTTTAACGTCACTCACGTGTGTGGAAACAGGTGTCATGGAAAACCTAGCAATTTCTTTTTTATCTCGAGAGCTGTCAGTAGATACTTTCGAAACTGTATGATATGTAGGTAGCTTACATATGCATTTTGAAATTGTATTAAAAAATGTGTTCTTCTATATGACTCGAAAGGTAGGCAAAAATGTACTAGATACAGCCATGTCTTTCGGCCAATTATGTTGAGCTCAGTTTACACAAGACACTACGGCACAATTCTAGGCATACACAGGGCTACCAAGTGCTACCAAAAATAGGCTATGACTTATTATTTGATTAAGTCTTGGATTTCGTTACTTCCTGTATTTTATTAATGTGATACATTATGGTTATCAAGTGATTCATATGTCAAACTCAAGTACCTAGCATACGCAGATTTGAGATTTTTTAAATTATCGTAAAGATAAAATAGTTACTCGTGAGATAATAAAATTGAAACGTTAAAGAAGAATATACTATCGCCGATTATTGCGATGCAAAAATTCAACTTGAATTTACACAACTTTTTTTTACAGAACACGCTACGTACGCCAGTCTACACGACATCGCAACGCCGCAACGCAATGGGAGTCGGTCTGGTCTTCAACTCCGACCTTTGGACCGCGGAACACCCTAGCCATTGGATCCTACAAGGCGTTTGCCTTATTATGAACACTGATTAATTAAGAGTTTACGTTTAAGTGGCGCTAGTGTCGAAAATGGTCGTTAAGGATCCTTAGAAAGATCAATAACGCATTACGCTTGATATATAGACTTCTTACCCCTTTGGGAAAAAGTCAAAATGTTATAATATTATGTTGAGGCTATCTTTTAGACAATTTTAAGGAATGTAGAACTTAATTGGCTTTCATGGTGCCAGTTGTATCAAAAATGTCTGGGACATTGTCTATATAGGCAGCGAAGAGTGTAGGCATTCGTCGAGATATTCTCACACATACCAGTGTGTTTAATAAATAATCCGTCGATTGTCTTTTGTGACGCAATTTGAGTATTAAAAACAAACCACTGCTTTATACAAGAATCTAGTCAGGAAAGCGACCTGTTTTTAGAATTATGTTGTCTCATTATAAGGTTTTTAATTAGATGTTAATTTTTAAATAAAGACTGATTAGAATATAAACGATTTTTATTATATTTTTTATATAATTAACAATATGTTTGACATGTCTAAGGAAGACGTAACCTTTCGGTCAAGGTTGTCTGGTCGATAGAACAAGTGGCCTTCACCAATTACCTAAGTACTGGTAAGGTCAACACACTATTCTTTGCACAGAATAATCTTAATAATAATAATTATGGTTCTTGTTAGTTTAATGCAAATAATCGTCTGATAACAAGGTAAGTTTATTTGCACTTAGCTTTAACTTGCGGTAGACACAGATTATAAAATGAGGTGTCTATGAAATCTGTCAGTCGTTGCCACTTCACCCATCCTTTGTGGAATAGAAACTCTTTTGTTTGCTCCTTACCAACATAATGAGGATCCTGGAAGTAATATTCTTTTGTATAGTATGTTTATTGTTTATTTGCATGATAACATTTTCCCGAGTTACATCTATGTAAGCTCCGAGGGTTGTCAAAAATTGTCATTTGAATGAATTACTCTGTATTAAACATTATTATTTTTTGTAATCTTTACAACAATAATAAGTTTGCAATGTATGATTTAAATTACCAATAGGCTGAAATATTCCTTATATTAGTATAGTTAGTATAAAAATTACATACCACTACCAATAAACTAGCATTTCGCTGTCCAACATGAACACCTAGGATTCCCTTGGAGGAAGCATCCACATCCCCGCCCATCATCACTGGACTGCCAAACTTATCAAAATGAGATACCAGAGTGTCCACTATAGTCTTCAGTTCATCCCCATGATTCACATGCACTATTTTGCTTGGAATGTCATATAATTTGTCTATTACGAGACATACCTATAAATAAATAAAAAGGAAAAAGATTAGGTGATTATTAATAAATGTAGATGTCTAAATATGTCTAAATAAAAATGTCTGAATAGATTTTTCTGTGTCACATAAATTAAACCATTATACCTATTACACCTACTGTTGCACATCTCTCCATCACCCCATGGTTGACTGTTAGAAAATGCACGGCATTAAGTCCATCATCATATGTTTATTATACAGAAGTGTTAATAAATAAATAAATAAAATGTTTTTTTTTATATAATAATGTTTTTTTTATATAATCAAATGTAAAAATGTATAAATCAAGTATAGAAATAATAAATAAATAAAAAAAACGTTACATGCGTATAATATAGTTTATTACAGCAGTAATTTGAAGCTCAGATATTCTAGAATTATTATAGAATCCTGGCTTATTAACTCCTGGCTTACACATCTCTATCTGAAGTGGACTAAGATCATGCATTATTGGGACAGTATTTTTACCTGTCCTTGTAGGGCTAGCTAGATGAATGATTAACTATTAGGTACTAGTTTTGAGTTTATTAGTATTACCTCAAAACTACCAATCCATTGCCTTGAACCCAAGAAACTTTGTGGTTTGTCTTCGAGTTGGACTAAAATATCTTGTATCTCTCGTATCGAGGGAACTTTGGCTTCACTGTTAACATTTTCAGTCATCCAGGAACATATTGTTTGTAAAGTTCTGTAGCCACAACCCCAGCCCTGAGAAAATGTAAATTTATTTACAAAATATTAACATAACCTCAAAACATTCCGAACTTGTAATTACACTTAAACTGGATAAGACAGTATAAAATATATCTTACTCTATCGTCGAATCCATCACAAAGGTAATGGTAGTATTTATAATTTCCTGAAACTAAATATATTTTGCCGGAATCTTTCGAAATTCCAGCTGTTTCGTGGACGTTTGTCAACAAATCTGACATTTTCGTGACAATGTTGCTAGACTTAATTATTGGAGTTTTGATCTTGAGACTATTTTTTTTGTGGAATCGGTTTTTAACTGTTGTTGGTTGATATCGACTGAGAAGCATATTACTTAGGAAGTCGTGTGTTTATAACAGATTTACTGAGAACTTTTCTTGACGTCTATAAACATAATAGGCATTGTCAGGTTGATAGGTCGAGTTAGTAGTCAGTCGAATCGAATAATCGCGTGCTGTCAAAACCCGAAAATCACTTTTAATAATATTGCCTAAATCTGTGGAATAATAATATCGCTATTGCTAACAAAATATTAGGTGATAATTTATGTAGACAGTATGAAAGAACAAGTTTTTTCGATAGGTAGGTAAGCTTGTAAGCAGTAGAAGATACCTACTTCGATCCAAACATTACGTAATTTTAAGTCAGTGTGCTAAAATAGGTATAAAATCTGCATAGTAACCACGCACGAGATTTATTTCCAAATACCTTATCAAAACACAGAAAATTAAGAAAAATAAAGAAAATTAGGTAATACTTACGGATTGCAAAATATTTATTTTCAACTAGGTACGGTTGTTGACCCTGCAAATTTTGTACCGCCAATTTATTTTTCTCACTTCTTAAACCTTCCCTGGACTTTCAAGGACGTTTCAAGGCCAAAATTAATTAGCCAAATCGGTTGAGCCGTTCTCGACTTTTATTGAGAATAACCAACGGAAATTCATTTTTTTGTAATTTTGTTTTATAGGTATAGATTTTCTTCTATCTATACTTATAATAAATCTGTAGAGAGGCCAATTCTGTACATAAAATATATTTAAAAAATAACTATCAAGGGGTGGTTAGAGATCGCTACTGATGCCAAAAATGCAATCAGTAAAATTTTTGTCTGTCTGTCTGTCTGTCTGTATGTTCGTTATGGAAACAAAAACTACTCGACGGATTTTAACGAAATTTGGCACAATTATTCTTCATACTCCTGGGCAGGTTATAGTATACTTTTCATTGCGTTACGATCAATAGGAGCAGAGCAGTAAAGGGAAATATTGGAAAAACGGGAGAAGTTACTCCATTTTTTAAGCTTCCGTCACGTGTGCAGGCTTATAGGTTAAAGCTACATAGAAATCATGTATGACGGAAATATTCTCCTTAAAATTATATAAAAAATATTCCTCGACAGCATATGTCTATCTTTTATGGTTGACTCACAATAACACGTGAAACTCCTGATAGCTGAGCAATTCGGTGATTTCTGATTGTATTTGTCTACTCTAACGTTCACAATACTCATTCATAGACTTTACGCTGTAACTGAAAGGCCAATGGTTGAAATTAGCTTGACTCGATATTATAAATGAAAATATGCGAGTTTATGTGTATGTTTGTTACTCAGTCATATTAAAACGAATGAAGGGACCGGAATGAAATTCGGAACAGAGGTAGATTATGGTCTGAAGGTATACATGGCATTTTACCCCTGGGATCGCGGGCGAAGCCGCTGGCAGAAGCTAGTATTTAAATAAAATAATAAAGTACCGATTTTACAATGTATAAAACAAAGGGTAGACGGACGGATAGACGGAACAGTTGGCGCAGTGGGTGTACGATCGGTCGATGCGCAACATGTCGCAGGTTTTATTCCCGAATAGAATTAAATTCTTTGTGTGTTAAATTGTTAATCCGGGTGTTCGTTATATGTATTGTGTAACACAATACAAAATCTTAGAGTAGGATAATATTTATATCTAGAAATAGGAGACACGTTCATTAGCTATACTTAGGTACTTGTCTCTAATTGATTTCTGATGTAATTATTACAATATCGTGAATAAACAATAGACGCGCTAATTAACTAGAAGACGGCAAAATCCTCCTCACGTGTACTCGAGGAAAAATAACACTTTTGTTTGAACAACTGGGATGTTAGGAATAGTTCAACGCACGCCACTATAATGACACTGGAAAAACACCTGTAGTACTGTGGAATAAGAGTTAGTAAATATCTGAGTAACTGTCAAAGGAGTACCTACCTATCTCATGGTAATTAATGTTATTCTTAGTTCGATTCACGCTTTTTTATAGAAGAGGGGCAAACGAGCAGTCGAAGCATGCCAGCCATTGACACCTTCAGCACCAGAGAACTTACTTAAGAGTGTTGCCAGCCTTTTTTAAAAAGCGCTGGTATACTGCAGTCTTTTGAAGGTAGCGCAAGTCTACTATACTCTTTTATTGAAGGTTTGAAGTCTTGAAGGTCGTATCGGTTAGGAAATACTGCTTGCGACCGATCATTCCACAGTTTCATATTTCGTGGAAAAACGCGCAGTTGTGGACTGCCTTCTAAGCTTGGGGTGGAACTGCTGTTACGAGGGATGATTTCGAAAAATTATAGGGCTTAAGTACCTACTAATAGAAACATGATGTATGTATATCGCAATTCGGAGGATTTCCGAGTTGGATGTACCTACTTAATGTACTTATGCTTTTTACCATCACCTGTCTGCGTTTTTCAGGACCGTTCCGTTTACGTTCTGCATATTATTGAGTTTTTCGGAAACCAACACTAAAATTGGGTCCATAAGTCACTTTTTTATCACCATAATGAAGATGAAACCTTTGATAGAAACTTGTTATATATAGGTACATACCTATATGAAATGTACCTATGTGTTTACAAAAATTTATTAGGTTATTAGGTATGTTATGTAATATTTTTTAGGTATCTAGGCTATGTCCGTGCAATGCTGCCTGCGTCTGTTGTCACAGGTGTTGCTGTTGATTTACCTACATATTCAATCTAACTATTAATTAATTTACAACTGCAACTCGATAGACAGATGCGTACTGCGTATCACGTAGGTACCTAAGCATTTACCTAATAAAAATTCTAAGTCCATCAAAGCAATCATCGCACCAATGCAACTCACACTATGTTGAACTAATTATATCATTCCTATTATCTAGGTAGGTATTATGTGCTCAATAAGAAATCACCTACGTATTAGGTAATTAACTTTTTTTTAAGGAGGGAAAATCATCGAATGACTGCTCCCGCCTTGTTGAGCCAGGAGGGAGTGTCAGACTCTTACTGACTAATATAACTACCTCGTTCTTTCTCCTGCGCTTCGGGCCGGAGCCCCGGAAACCCGTTAGGTTCTCCGCGATTCCGAATTAGGTAATTAACTTACGGAGAGAAAGTACTGAAAAAAAAGATACATAGAATTAAAATATTCTTATTCTATGATTTCAATATTTATTCTTAATTGCTTATTTACAAAAAGAAATGTAATTGTAATGAGCATTCACATCGCATTTTGCATACGTTTCATGACAACTATTGGACAAAATATCATCATTAACCTGAAGACACTCACTGCTGAACAATGGCCTTCATTCACCTTAGTCCTTGACGTTGAACGACAATTTGCCACCTGCATCCACTGGCTCCTTCCGATCCTGGTAATATCGTGATGGACGCGAAATAACCATAAAGTCAAAGTCAAAGTCAAAATCATTTATTTCAATTAGGCCAGAATGGCACTTTTGAACGTCAACAAAAACAAAAATTAAAAGTGAAGCTATGTAATCTACATAATCTTATATCTTATACTATCACATAAAGCGGAAGAGTTTGCTTTTTTGTTTGTTTAAACGCGCTAATCTCCGTAACTACAAGTCTGATTTAAATAATAATAATTGTGTTATGTAGTGCATTTATCGATATAAAATATCACTCTACGACCAATAGGAGCTGAGCAGAGCGTGTGAAATCGCGCGGAAGTAGCTAGTCTATAATAAAACAGTAAAAATATCGCGGCTGTACAAACAATATGTTTAAAAAAAACAGACAAAGGGTGACTAAACAACAATATCACAGTTAATTTTTTTATACGTATAAAAAAATGTTTGTATATTTGTCTGTTTGCACAGGCTAATCTTCAGAACTAGCGAAAGGACTAGAATGAAACTTTTTGGTGTATAATAAAATTAATTATGTTGTAAAACTTGAGGAAATGTTATGATACCTAATCTCAGTAGAAACGCGGATTCTGGAATTATGCCCGTTAGGTATAAGTCAATAGGCTGACCCCCCATTACATAGGACTCATAACATAAATAGTGGACAGTGGGTGTAACATTCTTCAGTGGCATAATGTACCTACATCTCTGTCTAACCCTTCGGGGATAAAAGGCGTGATGTTATGCTATGTTATTTTAAATCTCAAAATTTAATCATAATATATTATTATGCCTATTTAAAATTTTACCTTAACTCAAGAACAAGATCGCAAGTAAATAACTGACGTGCAAACACTAATTCAAAGAAATTATTTTGAAAACATTACAAGAGCGGCTCGTGACATTTGAACAGATGTACGATGATACGGAATTATTGGAATTGCTATGTACAGGAATATAGCAATGGCAACAGGTCAAATATTTGGCTAGTTCGTTGTATTAGCTACAAATCAAGCTATACAAAACTAGTTTATCATGGTCTCCTTTTACATGATCGCTCCGCGTTGTGAACGGTCTGTTTATACTGGATTCTCATAGCTTGATATGTAGTTATTTGTACAATATTCGTTCTGGGTCGAGCAGGTTATCGTCACATCGCTATATAAGACTGTACTCTGAAAAAAATTCGGCATAAACTCGTTTCGTTTTACGCGTCTCTCTTCATCTGTGATATTTTGTTAATAACTACAATATGAGAGCATTTTTGGTGAGTTTAAATACCAATGTTTATTTTTCTAATTAGTTTTTAGTGTTTTAGAAAGGTGATAAATTATCTACATAGCATTTTTTTTGTACCTAATCATTTTCAAAATATAAACTAGTGATACTAACACTGAACCATTTTTTGTTGAATCGATTTTTAAGATACCAAATTCAAAAGGAAATATAATAATTTAAAAGGAAACAGTGAATTATGTATACCTACCTACTGAAGTTTTACCTACATATGTTGATAGGTTCGTACAAACCTATAATTTTACCA